ACCACGTTCGCTGAATTGTGAACGCTCGTTGTAAGGCCTCCCTCACACTGCACCACATTTCTACGCCGACCCAACATGAGCGGCGAATTCAGAGATGTACCATCCTTTAAACCATGGGGCCCTTTCATCTCAGATAGTTACGAGAACGAACCTATCACCGAATCAGATATCATCATCGCCTCCGTGGTGTGGGCGCTGACACTGATCAATGTCATCATAGCCCTATGGCTGATACAAAAACAAACACGAGGATCTCGATCACCACTGAAGAGTGTGTACATCTGGATGATATGGCTGGAACTTATCGTTTCGTTTGTGATGGGACTTGAGAGTTTCCTGCACTTGTTGAAGTACATCAGACCGAGTAAGTGGCTCCAACGTACGGCAATCTGGGGCTATACTGATCAAAGTACAGGTTTCGCATTTTACTTCACGATTCTCTTCTGGTGGTGTATTCAGGTTCAGCTTCTGTTGCAGATTATCATCAACCGTATTCGTGTCATCGTACCTGACCGAAAGCGGTCGAGGTGGATCATGATCACCACTGCCGTCTTCGTCACCGCCATCAACATCAGCGTGTTCAACATCTGGGTTCCAGCACGGTTACAGATTAACTCAACGTAAGTTGCATTTTCGCTACGCGCGTTGTATGAATGGTTGAAACGAGAAAGATGGTTATCTGAACTCAATCGACGTAGCAGTCGTGGCAACGACACTGTTGCAGAGAGCGCACTCAAGTCTACCATACAGTGCACTAACAAAGCATCAGGTATCATCTTGTCAATGAGTACTGGGACCGAATCGAGAAGGGTCTTTACCTTCTTGTCGATGCAGCGTTGAACTGGTATTTCTTGAAGACTGTCAAGGAGAATCTCATCAACAACGGCCTCACCAAGTACAACAAGCTTGTTCGCTTCAACCAGCAGATTGTCATGTTATCACTTCTTATGGATGTCATGATCATTGCTGCGATGTCGATACCAAACTCTTTTGTGTACGTACTTATTCCATTGAGCGCCCACCTAGCTCGCTTTTCTAACCCATCGTTTTCTAGATACATTCAATTCCACCCACTTGCCTACCTGGTTAAACTCAACATCGAGATGACAATGGCCAATCTCATCAAGCGCATAGCAATCTCCACATCACGCAAAACCGGCATGGCATCTATTGCGCAAGAGTTCAAATCCTCGTCCAACCAATCCACATCCGGCCAGCGCACTGGCGGCACAGTTCCCCACAAATCGCGCGGCTCAGTCCACGAGCTCGCGAGCTTCGCTTCCTATACTGTCGATACGAAAGCGACAAGCGACCAAGACCAGCATCGTGTCGTCAGCTTTGCCCCCACAGGAAATCAAATCAAAGAGACAAGGGAAGTCATCGTGCATACTGAACCAAATCCACACTACGAGCGCAGAGGCTCTGAAGTGGAGATCTCAGGGGGTCATGGGAAGAGACAATCGCACGGCGTGGTGATTGAGGAAAGGGGACTGCCCAGGCAAAAGAGCCTGGAGAGTATAACCGAAGGCAATGAGAGTATGAGGAGTGGCTTGACGCCGAAGCGGCTAGTAGACGATAGTGATGACGAGGCGGCGCTCGTGCAGCAAAAAAGCTGGGGATGGCCGAGACGACCGAGCTGAACATGAAGGCCATTGATGTATAGAATCTTTGTTTGCTTGTTTAGCATGGCTCGGTTGAAATATATAATACCTATTGTTTTCGCGATATAGACATGCGATGAAATGATAATTACAGATCAAATAATTACGATTAGACGGAATGTTTCGTTCCTCATGCTTGTGTCCTCTTAGCCACGCTGCGACCCTTGTAGAGCATAAATGCTTTTCTCGACAACGTTCTTCAGTCGATTAGAGCGCTCTCTTCACCTCAGCGAATGTCAACCACACTCATGTGCGTGGGCGCATGCTGAAACCCGGCTGAATTGGACAGGCATCTGATTCTAGACAGACCAGCACTGGGTATCAGGTGTTGAGTGATCACGCCGAGCAGAGTTTCGGAGACTATATGTCAGATACGCCGAGTTGATGGGCCGGGTGGTCATGCCGAAAAGCAAGCAGACATGATGCCGTCGGGTATTATGAGAATCGATGTGAGGCTATGCCGATATGCAAGACATGATACTTCCGGAAAAGCCGCTGGTGACCTGATCGATAGGATGGCCACGTAATGCGACGAAAACTCCATTTGAAAGACCAACTCACAAGACTTTCACTTACCTTATCATTGACATGGCGATGACAAGCCGATGTAAATCGCAGCTTCGCCTGGTCGTTTGTTTGAACCACAAAGACACGCAGGGACAGCGGATGTTTTATCCATCAGGAAGACAAGAGGTTGCCGCACTGTGCGCTTGACTATATTAGGTAATCTAGACATACACGTGAAATTATTGCATTTTGATTCTCACTTTTCGATGCTCGAGCAGAAATGCATTGCGAGTACGGAGACTGTCCGCACATCGGAGATTGCTGCGAGGATGTTGCGGGTAGAAGGAATGCTCACCTTGCTTCCCCGGAGCAAAGCAACGATTCCCCCGCACTTGCCAACAAGGAAGGTTTGCCGACCATGCACAATAACCGTTCAGGAAAGATTGCTTGGCATTCTACACGCGTATACGGATTGAACAAAGCTGGTAAGCCGTGTACTCAGCTGATGGCACGTCCCGAGTCCTATGACCATGTTTAAAAGATGCTTCTTGTGCTGTAGTCATGTAAACGTCTTCAACTTTGCCATCACATAGCCTGTATTCGCTCAGGTTTCGTCCCTACGTCACTACACAAGCCACGAACATGGGGGTAGGCGATATTTCGATCCGCTCCAGCGAGCGTCCTGAGACGGGCAGCGTCAACATACCAGTTGGTGTGTTCCCAGCGTCGTCAAAGAGCGATTCAGTCGATGCACACAGGGTTGCGAACGAGATAGTCACACGGTTCAACGATGCGCTTGCGAAGCGAGATCATGCAGCGATTGCAGACCTTTTCTGCAAAGACAATAGCTACTGGAGAGACCATCTGGCCATGACTTGGGATCTGAGAACTGCGAAGGGCAGCTGTAAGTGTCCCTGCGCGCACTGCATACGAGACATAAACTGACTTTGTACGCCCACGTTCAGCCGAAATCAAGAAGTACTTGGACTCTAGCAAGGTCCGGCTGGAAAAAGTTGAAGTTAGCAAGAGCTCGGATTATCGGGCGCCAAAATTTGGAGCAATCGACGTTTTGGGCGACGTCAACGGCATAAATCTTTTCGTGACCTTCGAAACAAGTGTTGGGCGTGGCGAGGGTGTCATGAATCTCACGGATGACAGCGGGCAATGGAAAGTGTTTACGCTCTACACCTTGTTAAAGGAGCTCAAGGGTCATGAAGAGCCGCTGGGGCACCGACGGACGAAGGGTGTTAAGCATGGCGGGGACCCAGCCAGAAAGACCTGGAAGGAGACCCGGGATGCGGAGAAAGAAGAGATTGACCCGAAGGTGTTGATTCTAGGTGCTGGGCAGGGTGGTCTGACAGTTGCTGCGCGCCTGAAGATGCTCAACATTCCTGCACTCATGGTGGATCAGAACGAAAGAGTTGGCGATAACTGGCGCAAGCGGTACCGGCAACTCGTACTGCACGATCCAGTGTGGTACGACCACATGCCTTATGTACCTTTCCCAGCACATTGGCCTATCTTTACCCCCAAGGACAAGCTCGCTGAGTTCTTCGAAGCTTACGTGAACCTGCTCGAACTTAACGTATGGACTTCTACGAGCCTCAAATCAACGTCGTGGGATGAGGGCAAGAAGCAGTGGACCGTGACTGTCGAGCGTCGGAAAGCAGATGGATCCGTTCAAACGCGGACTTTGCACCCGAGACACATCGTGCAGGCAACTGGTCATTCAGGCGAGAAGAATTTCCCCCAGATCAAAGGCATGGAAAGCTTCAAAGGCGATCGGCTATGCCACAGCTCTGAGCATCCTGGCGCGAATCCAGAATCTAAAGGCAAGAAGGCTATTGTTGTAGGGTGCTGTAATTCCGGGCATGACATTGCGCAAGACTTCTTCGAGAAAGGGTACGACATTACTATTGTGCAGCGCAGTACAACATGCGTTGTCTCCTCCGAAGCCATCACCGACATCGGCAACAAGGGTTTGTACGATCAAGATGCGCCGCCCGTTGACGATGCCGATCTTACTTTCTGGGGCTTGCCAAGCGAGCTTCTGAAGGCACAGCAGATCAAAGTCACTAAGATCCAAGCTGATCATGACAAGAAGATCCACGACGGCCTTCGCGCAGCTGGCTTCGTTGTTGACAGTGGGCCAATGGATTCAGGCCTTCTTATCAAGTATTTTCAGCGCGGTGGCGGCTACTACATCGACGTCGGAGCATCTCAACTCATAATTGATGGGAAGATCAAGGTCAAGCAAGGCCAGGAAATTGCGCAAATTCTGCCAGATGGAATCGAATTCGCGGATGGTGATAAGCTGGAGGCCGATGAGATCGTGTTCGCGACTGGGTACCAAAACATGCGCACGCAGGCACGTAAGATCTTTGGCGATGAAGTAGCGGACCGCGTCAGCGACGTGTGGGGATTCAACGACGAAGGTGAGTTCAGAACCATGTGGCAAAAGAGCGGTCATCCTGGGTTGTGGTTTATGGGTGGTAATCTGGCGCTCTCAAGGTTCTACAGTCGGATACTAGCGTTGCAGATCAAGGCTGTAGAAGAAGGCATGATAGAAGATGCTGAAGGTGCGAAGGCAAGGCTGTAGTGATATGTGACTACCATAGAACCACGAAAAGGGCCGCGGAGGTTCAACGCACCTGGTTCAAACAGCTATCCGAAGCCTTTCTCCCAAGTTTTGCCATTTTCAGATCTAGCGCGGGGTATGTCCCCACTTCTGGGTGCCATCTTAAACGACACAAGCTCCAAATCTGCATCAACTAATCTGCGTGCATCATCCGTCATACGTGCATACTTACTCAAGTTCTTCCTCCAGACGTCATGGCATCGAAGCCCCAGGTCATCCTCGTCGTTGGCGGAACGTCCGGAATTGGATACGCCATCACGCAATGCATTCTTTCATCGCCTTACCTACCATTGAATGCCAAAGTAATCGCATTTGGGCTTATAGATTCAACCATCAAGCTCGAGTTTACGAAACAACAGAGAGAGCGCCTAAGGATAGTCGAAGGCGATGTCACAGTAGAGGAAGATCGAGAGTTAGCGGTCCAGACATGTTTTAACCATTTTGGAGGACTCGATACATTGGTGTACTGCGCGGGCGTTATCACACCGATACAAAGATTGGAGAAGTTGGACATGGAAGCTGTGAAGAGAAGTTTTGATATCAATGTTTTCGGAGCCATGAGTATGGTAAGTAACAACTTGACATCCTAGCACTCTGAGCACATCTCGTACCGCAAGGTATTGCTCAATTACTGTCCTCATGACTAACGTCTCTTAGGTTCAGCTCACCCTCCCACATCTCCGTGCGTCACGGACATCTCATCCTCTAAATGCTGGTCGTGGCAAAGTTATAATCTTATCTTCAGCATGCGATACTACAATATCCTACCATGGTTGGACCCCTTACAGCACCACCAAAGCCGCACTAACCCGGTTCATTTCCTGTCTCGCACATGAAGAGCCTCTACTCAGCGTTCAGGGCGTATACCCGAAGTTGACGCGGACGAAAATGATCGATGGATTAGTTGAAGGGAGGTATCAGGGGGTTATGGCGGACCATGAGATTGAGCGGTTCAGGATTTGGGACGAGATGGGCGACGAGATGGTGGAGCCACCTGAGCTCTGCGGAGACGCTATTGCGAAGTTGGCGCTCGGACTTTTCGAGGGTGGAAAGAGTGGAGAGACTCTATATTATTACGAGCACATTCCACGGAAGATCGAGGGGACATGATGCATATGCTGACCGCGATCTGTCTGATTGGTAAAGCACAATATTCATGCGTGTGAAAACAGTAGTTTCGTATTGAATCTCTGCTCAAGATCTCAAGCTATCTTTTCTCCAACGAAGGCTTTTCATACCTTACGCTTCTCCTTCGCAGCCTCCTTAATGATATCCGCAGCCTTTTCCGCAGTTGCATAGACAGTGGTCATGATATGGGAAGCTGGCAAGATGGGCATTACACTCGCGTCCACAATCCTCAAGCCCTCCACGCCGTAAACCTTCAGGTTCTGGTCCACGACACCACCGTCTTCTCTGGAACCCATCTTGCAGCTACCTGCGGGGTGGTAGAGTGTCGACGCAGTACTGCGGATAAAAGCGTCGATATCCGCGTCGGCGGTGACATTGCCTCCGGGCGAGACTTCGAAGGGGTTGAGCGAGAGAATGGATGGCGCAGCAGCGAGTCTTCGAGCAAAGTGCACACCTTCGCGCAACAGTGCAGTATCGACTTCGTTGCGTAGAAATCCCACATCGGCGACCGGAGCATCGAACATGCTGGACGAACTTGCCTTTACACTTCCACGCGAGTATGGATGCTGGAGTCCGAGAACCATGACGCCGTCAGCCCAGATGACCTCCATCATTGCGGAGTCATTAGCCTGAAGCTTCTTGTTAAGAGAATCAAATTGCGCTTCATAGCCTCGTGCGACTTCAGCGGGCGTGTTGGGTGGGAGGGAGGCGGATGATCCACCAGCGACAGCCTGAGACAAAATGGATTGCGTGGCGTTAGAGTAGGTTTGCACTGGCAAGAAAAGAAGGAAATCGCCGGTCGGGGAGGTCAGTGGGCCAGATCTGTCATTGTCGTACTGCTCGCGAGCTTGCGCGGCGAAGGTAGCGTTTGTTGTCAGGGTGTTGGTCAGGATAGTGGTGTTTACTGTGCCGCTGTCAGTGGTTTCTTCAGCTGGAACATATAACATTATACTCACGTATGTTCACTACAACAATAGAAAGATGGTCGTGCAGATTGTATCCAACGGCAGGAAGATCAACAACTGTCTCAACGTTGATTGACTCGAGCAGAGAAGCTTCACCAATACCAGACACTTGCAGCAGTTGAGGCGTATGCAGCGTTCCAGCAGCAAGAATGACTTCCCGCTTGGCTTTGGTCTGTTGGCGGGTCGCATTTGCAGAGGCCGAGAACTCAACACCAGTTACCTTGACCGCTTCCGTATCGTTGCATTTTTCTGTGAGAATACGCGATACAAGGTTGCCGGTAAGAATGTGAAAGTTTGCGCGCGCTTCAGCGGATGCATAATAGGCTTCCTCCGCAGAGGATCGTGTTGCAGTCTTCGGGTCCAGGTTGTGTGGGCAAAAATAACCACCGAATGCGTTTCCAGTTGCTTGGTCGTTGACAGAGATACCGAGTTCCTTGGTAGCTTGCACTATATTCTCTGAATAAAGCGTCAGTATCTCATGTATTGCAAAATTTGTGTTGGACTCACTCGTTGTAGGCCAAAAGAAGGGAGAGTAAGTTGTTTGCATGTATCCTTTGTCTCCGTGGTATTCGGGATTGACTTCGATGTTATATTCTGCTTCAATCTCTGGTGTCGGTGGCGTAAAGTTCTCGTTCTATAACCTGGTTAGATGCTTTTACGCTGTTGCTGAGCAAACGTACCTTTTTAAAATACGGTAGGAATGTTTCGAAGTTCCAACCCTCGTTTCCTAACGTCTCCCATCCGTCATAATCAGATCGTGCTCCACGATCAAAGACCATGCGATTGAGTTTCGTCGATCCGCCCACAATTTTGCCTTGCGGGATGGAAACAACGCGACCGTCCAACCCTTCATCCGCGGCGTAGGAGATATTCCAGTCGTACTTTGTTCCAACAGCACCGCCTGCTAAGCCTGGAATGGTGACATAATCCTCATTTTGGTCGCTGACACACAGGTTAGTATCTTAGCGATGCATGTAGATCTCATGTAACTCACAAATCGCCAGCCTCGATGACCAATACGCTTACATCTATTCAGGGTCATGTTAGCCGCTTGCATGCCACGCGACATGTGTAAAGCCTACCCTGATCCTCGGATAGTCGATTGGCAACTGTGAGACCCGACGCGCCGGCGCCTACAATCACATAATCGTATTCTGGGAGGACGTCTTCTGCTCTCGAAACCAGTTGCGCATTGGAAAGTGGGTGTGCGAGAAGACCAGTCGCAGAAAGGGCAACAGTCACTCCGAGATTCAATAGTGAAGGCATGATCGCAGCGTACAACAACAATCGTTCGTGTCGTCCTGCCAAAAGTACTTAGGTATATGTACATGTACATGTCGAGCAACCGTAATGACACCGCCAGTCGGGCCGCCCGCATCTGCCGATGTTGAGCACCAAGAGCGGCCTAGCCGAGGCGGGTTCATCAGGCTCGTCGTCCTATCGCCGCATGGCGCGTTGGCGAGGTTCCGATTTATAATACTTCAGCGGCTTTTGTACTACGTACGCAATAGCTTTTGAGCACAAACAGATTAGCGGAGGCGGAGTTGGACCCCACCCGATCCTCCGACCTTATCCGGGGAGTGTGCCGTGGTGGCTTCATGCGCCGTTATTGTGGCTTAAAGGATCGGCTTAATGGACCCGTAATTGGTTTCCAGCATCAGTTCGGTTCCTTGATGGAAGCAGGCTGTGCTAAGTAGCCTAAAACAAATATGTGGTCCCTTGTACATCTGAGCCAGTCTATCGGACCTGTTCCTTCCAGTCGCAATTGTTGGCGTTGCAGCACAGTCGAGTACACATCACGTGCCATCTATGGGTCCTGTACCTCGGGCCGGGCGAGTTTCGCTGGCTGTCGTTGGCAAGCACGTAAGCTGGCAAGCAACCACCCATCAATCTCGAGCAGTGTAATCGACGGAAAGAGTTGAACTGCCGACGCGATCTAGAAGCTCGAGCGACGTAATAATTGTTCCGCATTAAGATTTAGAGATGAAAGTCGGGTTGCAGAGACACCTTTTAGGTGTAGCGCTCCCAGAAATGCGGTGGATTACTTGCAGATGAACATGTCATCGTTGCTGATTGTCGCCCAAGAAGTACACCAGTGTTTGATGCGATCCATGTCCACCCAACCATTTGTCACGTCCGGGCTGCAAGCATCGAAGCACATTGTGAATCCAATAGATCGATTGAGATACACTGCAAGATCTGTCTGCAGGGTCGAGAAGTACCGCTGAACGCTAAGAGCAGTAAACAATGATTGTGCATGAGGAATCCATACGCGGGCAAATCTTCTCACCTAGAGAGGTCAATGCGACTACTCACGAAACCGCCCAGATACTACATCCTTGCAATCTGCCACGCCTCCTCTCCTTCTCCGATCGCAACTCTTTCTCCCTACTATGTTGGTAGTTCTCAATTATGAGGCTTTCGCTGGTAGGTTCCGATATTGGTCATTCAGCAGCATTCCTCGCCATTCCATCAACAGTGAAGATGACAAAGGTATCCTGTCTCTTCGGCGCCGACATTGCGGCCTCGACGGACGAGTGATTCTTTCTCTCACTCACTGTACGCTTCTCACAAACCGGCTGATGCTCTCTGGACAAGTGATCCTTACTTATTACACCGCCGCACCCCCAGTGTTTGCAGGTGATCTTCTCGTACATGCTGACGTGTAAATGGAATGTTTCTTGGCGAACTTGGTGTCCCAATCAAGCCAAGAACCATAATTGTTGCACTGTTTGAACCCCTGGACCGACTGCGGTGTTGGTTCTGATGCATAAGTAGGTGAGCGCAGCCAGACATGCCATCAAAGAAGGAGGCATGATGCTGGTAAAATGAATTACCATCTGACGAAGTTTCATGTCATCCTTCGTTGTACGATAGCTAAGCTTAGCCGTTAACATCGGCGCAGAATCCCAAAATCAACGTCACTCAATAGCATGCCCAACTTCGCCTACGAACACCAGCTCATCCGCTTCGGGCGCCTGGTCTACAGGTTCCTGAACATCCGCCCCACCATCCATCATACCCAAGGCCTTTTTCCTCAGGTTCAGTACAGCCATCAGGTGGTTCGCATTTAGGGGCTCCTCTTTCTTCGCTGCGAGAATCTTTGCGGTTTTGATCGCGCTCTTTATTTGACGGCCATTGAATTCCAACTTTGCCAAGTTGATCACATCTGATTCCTCAATGTCGATCTTCTCGTTTTCCATGGTAGCCAGGAAGTTACGCCAGACCTGCTGGCGGTCAGCTTCTGTAAGTGAGCTGTAGCTCAGCGTAATATCGATTCGAGATTCGAAAGCTGTGTCGATGCTGCGCATCCGATTCGTGGTCAGAATCATGATGCCTTTGTAGTATTCGAGTAGGCGAAGGAAAACCGAAACAAGTTCGTTGCGTTGAAGGTTGTTTGATGTGCGCGCCTCCATGAATACGTCCGCTTCGTCGAGGAGGAGAACAGCACCGAAATGGCCGCACAGCTTTAGTGCCTTCTCAAGGTTGTCCTCGACAATACGCGCTGTCGTTCCTAGGTCACCAGCACCAAGCTTATACAGGGGTCGGCGCAGGTGTTCCGAGACAGCCTCCGCGGTAAGTGTTTTACCAACACCTGGGGGGCCACAAAGAAGCATAATCATGCCCTGACCTTTGCCGCCGATGAAGCTAAACGTGAATGGACAAAGTCAGTATCTTCTCACGGGCAGTTCATACGGGGACATTACTGACTCGTCGAATGGCTTCCCTTGCTTGAACTGATCACGGTCTACCAGAGCAAGTACCAAGTCCTTTTCGTTTTGATCCAGTACTAGACTGTCGAAAGCACGCTTAGCCCATGGTATCTCATGGATCTTTGTGACATCCAACTTCAACCACTTCTTCTTTTCAATATCGAAACCTCTGACATAATGAACAGCCAAGAGACATTCTTTGTCGGTCATTGGCGAAAGGTCCACTTGGATTGGCGATCCCACAGTACTGGGTATGCTGGAAGAGTATCGATTCATCGATTGGGCCCAGGTAAGTTGTCCAATCTCGGATAGTTGAGCATAGTCCGGAAATGATGGAGCCTCGAATTTGTGGTATGCTCGCGCATCAATGACCATTCGTTCGTTTACACGCTCTTCATACTCGTCGGTGAAGGCTTTGAAGAAATGGCCGCGAAGCTGTTCGAATCTCCGACCGCGAGTGATAAGTCGCTCACGAACCTTTTCTTCGTTTGGAAGTCCGTCGAGGGGCGAAACCTCCAGTGCAGTCAAGGCTCGCAGACCTAAGAGGTGCGTGTATGTAGTCAGTGTATGGCTCACATGCATTTCATAAGGGGTCATCTCTCACCATAATATTGGGGTACACGCTTTGCTTGAGCAAGAAGACCACATCGTCTTCCATCCCAGTCAACCACATCAACGCCGATCGACCAGAATATCGGGTTGGGCGGAGGAGGATACATCAGTTGGCAACTGCGTACCATGCCAGCCGAGTCGGTCTCATGTTCCAGAACTATCATTGCGGGTATATACACTAGATTCAGGTCTTCGAACGCCACATGGCCCGTCTTTTTCACATCTTCGATCTTTTCGAACGATTCCTTCAGTAGAGGCTCAAGGACTTCCTGGAGCAACTGTAGGTGGCGTTTAGTTTCAGAGTCTGGATCCAGATGATCTTTGTAGCTAACCATCGCTTGCCATCGATGAATGAATGGGAGAAATGGTGGTGAGAACGACTTCATCTCATGTTGTGTCAGGCCCGGGTAGCCTTCCAATATCTTCTCCAGAGCCGTATGGAGAAGCTCACTGTTTATGCGTACTTCGTGGATAAGCCATTCGTCTGTTTTCTCATTGAAACGATGGTAAACATTCACTGCAAAGGCTTCTCGAGTTTTCTTCGTTCGTAGCTTATCGCCAGTAGCGCCGTAATGAAGCGGTTTCTCATCCACCCAGTGAAACCTGTCTGGATCTTGATCGGTCGGAACATAGTATATGTCTCGGTGACTGCAGCGCTTGCCCTTCTCTACAGCCTCGGCTAGGTCATCTTCGGGAGGAAGCTGATTACCGGGAGGTAATCCAGGTCCTGGAGGAACAAACCCAGGCTGTGGACCCAGAGTAGGGTCCCAGAACCCGGCGTAGTTCATCTGAATCCAGTTAGTAGCTTGCTGAGAGTCTAAGCTGTAGCGCTGGTGTCTGACCATCTCTTGATCTGAATTTGGCCTTACCCGGCGTCGTCGGGGCCGCGACCGTGGGCTACTGACCTCATACTGCAGCGGCATACCAGGCTGACTGCACATGTTTCTTTGTAGACGAGGCTGTACAGTAGTAAATGCGTCGGTTGTGCGTGCGTCTGATAAGGTCAAGATACTGGCAGCACGATAATTCGAAAATAATAATAAGAGAAAGCGAAGACGAGGTGCGCGATGATTCAACGAGACGAATGAATACTTGAGAGACCATGGACACCTTTTTGAGTGTGTAGCAGACGTGTCAAATCGAGGTTCACCGGAAAGACATTCGTGCGTCAATGGATGCCTGATAAGACCGGTCAACGCCTTGCTACACGAAAGCCTCACGAACCATTGGCTAGGGGCTTAAAATAAGATCCCCGCACCTCAACAACATCCGGAAGAGTAAGTCGGCGTGAAGAACATGCGTGACACCACACCCGTGAGCGAAAAAGAACGGAGCATCTAATCGCATCCTCCACCTCCATGACCTCCTCCATCTCCGCCGGCTATGTCAAGACCATGTCCACCACCGAAGCCAATAGTATCCGTGCCCGCATGCCCGAAGGCTTCATAACCTCCATGCGATGAGATATCGTGCTCACCACTCCCAGAATCATCCTTTGTGGAGCATGTAGAGCTTGGATGTACGCTGTTCGCCAAGTCATCGTTTCCACCACGCGTGCAGCCACGATCTCCAGCGCAGCCAGGGTCGTGATGTATAACGTTCGGTCATCCACCAAACCCAGAGCCATAATGTTGGTGATGATCGATCTGAGCGAAAGGACCAAAGAGCAAAGACCGGATCGCAGGGTCAGTCACATCCTGCACCCTGGGTATATCTGAGCCACGCGATCGGTATCTTGGCGGTAGAGGTATACCTGTGTCTCTTGTCTGTACAGGCTTGGTGCTGGTGAGCGGATTGAGTTTTATGATACGTGTGGGCTGTCGCTTCGACGTCGACGAAGCTGCGGTGGCTTGTCTGAGATCGCTATCTACTACTTGGTGTTCGGAAGGCTTATGACGACGTGTGGGAAACTAGTGATAGTCAGTAGAAGTCTATAATCTTTAGTGCTAATACCATACTATGCAACGCATCGTGGCTGGTTTTCGTGACGCGTGAGGATGAGCTGGAAAGACCCTGGTAGTCAACGCAAGTTATGGACACGAAACGACACAGGCTCAAAGCATGGAGCAGGACCGCAGTGGGAAAGGGTTGGCTGTTACGTTACGCACATATCGCCATCCTTCGCAGCAACACCATAGCCCGGGTACTGCCTTGTGGTACCCGAAGAGCCGTGGTACAGCCTTTAAAAGTACCACGATTTGTACTGTCCAGGATAGAAGCGTAAAAGACTACATCTTTGATGAATCGCATACCTTGTCCTGACTGAGATAGCCCTGAACGGCTCGTTACGCTGCATCGCGCAACGCGACTTTACTAATTAGCTGCAACAGCTCCTTGCTTGCATTGTCTCGCGAGAAGTTCATGAAGACCAGTAGTGGTTCGCAGATTACAGCGCATGGATTTCCGGGTATACTGACCAAGTGCATCGCGACAAACCTTGGGAATGCAGTCCCTCTCCCACGACGCGACAACAGTGCGTGTAAGGACGAAGTTCTTGGACATGGCTCCCCACACATTTACGCCTTGGTGGTGACTGCAATGCCAAACAATGCTAACAATGAGACAGCATGATAACGTTGACCGAGTTAGTTGATGGCAAAGTGAGGTGGCAGACGCGATGAGCCAGAGTGATTGTGGCCAGCGCTCGCGCTAGGGCCGGCGCGACATTGATTCTGCTAAATCGCTGCCACAACACGGCCATAACATCTTCTGCTGTTGTTCATTATAGGGCCGAATCCTGCGATAACGATTCAGGATTTCCATTGGATTTACCACCCAGCCATGCCACCCATGAGCAGATCCTCAAGGTTATGACATCATCGCAGCCTGGCTGTCCACACCCGATACGAAACGCAAGGGCTATCGGAGCGCCAACCCAGAATGATTGTGGTGTGAACCCCTATACCAAACAGTATATCGCCCACACGCAAAAGTGCGTCAAATTTCACTGCTATGGTCGATTATCCGACACGTTGTAGATGAAGAACCGCTTACAATAGCTCAATGGGTCCCTAGATTGAACCGTCTTCCGGGCGCACGTAGCAACAGTCAGAGCTGACAATCTGAGACCCGAATCATCACGTTTTTCCATGGACTGCCACGTCGACGAAAACACGTGAGATCCTTGTGTAAATCACTTCACCGCTCCACCCAGGAATCAAGGCACCATCGCAGGATACGAGAGTTGATTGTTGACATATGACATGTCATGTGCAAGTTGATTCACTCAACACAACTTTCGTGTTCTTCAACTCAAGCCCCAGAACTTTTGCGCTGAACGACCCCACAAACCCTTACGCACTTCATTCCACCGCACCACTTGAACTCAAGACCCCTACTACGTCATATTTGTGCGCCATAGTCAATCTTGGTCAACCAAGAAGTCGCAATGTGCTACCACAACTACTCACAGCACAATGGGTAAGTCGTTTCGTACCGCAGCGGAATCGCTGGAGAGTGGTTCTTCTTGAAAACTACCTCTCTGACTGCTTTGATTTACAGGTGCGGTCATATTGGAGAGTCGCATACGCACCCATGGACGCTGTGCGACACAGCGATAGAGACGCTTAACCGAATTCGCGGGCCAAACTCCCCACCAGTCTCTCCGCCTGCAGTAAACTTCGCATCACCACCCAAGCGCAGCTCGTCTACACGACGTTTTTTCTCGCTAAGTGGACAGCTTTCCCGATCATCTACAAATGCATCAATAAATTCGCGACGCGCTGTTTCTGGCCCTTCAGGCGCAACCACGCCCAGAACGTCAGACTCAAGCGCAGGGTCCTACAACTGTACCACGACTCTGGACTACAGCACCCTACCAGATCACCAGCTCGCGGCCGTGAGATGTGAAGTCCCAGTCAAGCGCACACATGTCAGTAGGGAAATGGTCGTCTGCAAAGATTGCGCACGCGAGATCGGCCATATGCGCAACATGATCCGGACTTATGACAAAACTGGTAGCATACGTGGCACCATCGCATTTGAAAAGTTCCTTAAGTGGGAAGGAGAAGGCGGAGGCGAAAGAGAGGGCGATCTGACGGTACCGTTGAATGATGATGATGATGGAGGGGTGTTTGGGGCGAGGCAGGCCATCATTCTGGGTCATCCAGAGAGCTCGTTGAATGCCGAGGGGCCGCGTGGCTTGGGAACTTTGGAACGCGAAGGCGGTACTGGGTATCACTATTAACGACGGGATATGCCTCGAAGAATTCAGAATGAGGGGTGAACATGTCTTGAGTCTTGGTGGTGACTGCGGCTGCGCAACCCCCTACCATTCGTGTGGTCCGGCCCCTCCCTTAACTTACCAATAGTGTGTCATAGGTATGCAAGTATGAAATAATGTTCGAGATCCTTCTTCATCATGCGACAAGACGATCGCGATGCACGACCCGGAAGGCCCGCCCCGCAGAGCTGTCAAAGGTCGTATGAGAATTCGCATCATGGTATGGTCTCGCCACGGTCTTGGTATGCCGCGGAGCTTGTACCTGGATATGCACACACGACCCACACAAATCACTATTCCCATCACCAGTTCATATGAGTCAGAATTCAAAACCATGCAAGGAAAGTGATCCTCAAGTCAGGATTGCTGCGGGGCACTGCTATTTGAATGTTCTGATCAGCTCAGTGGCAAAATCCTGTCGTCCACGTTTGGCGAATGTTCAAGAAGGCTACGTTGTCATATCCCACGGAATGTACGTTTCCATCTACTTCTCTGAATTGGAGTTCCGCGCATTTTCTGTATCCACGGCCACTTCTTTGACACTGTTCCCTGTTCGCACCACTCGTCCCTAACACCATGCATCATAAGTCCCATATCCGGAAGCTGCTTCAGGCTGCGGGGCGGCAATCACGGTTGACGTGTAACCTTGAAGTGAATCCTACATCCCGGACATGCAGGATTGCAAGCTTATTAGCTGATTCATATGTCACTTCACGGCTTCCTACAACCTTGCCGTTCAGTGTCGCAAACAGAGAAACCTGTCTCTAGGATGCTTACAATCCTACTGTTCACCAAAGTAGGACTAATTACCATTGCCCTACCAATTTCAGGCCTCCAGCAGACCGAAAGGCACATCTCTATCATCATGGCTCCCACATGCATTGTCTAGGTAGAAAGTGGACTCAATTTTCTGCTATACATCACGGTGCCAAAAACTGATTGCTGAAAATAATTTGCCTTTTCCGCCCACAATGTGTCCATCACCCATAGCGATAATATGCACGCCTCATGGCAAAACAGTGATAATCACGAAGGCACCGAGTTTCATCGGTAAGTTCCGTTACTCGCATGGGTATCGGAGAAAGTCACCGGCGGCGAATAGACTGGCAGAAGTGACTGACGCTTCGCGGCGTCTGGTGAGCACTACACTAGGCGGGGAACAGCTTCCGTGCAGCTCCACATTTTATTTCTAGTCCCAGTGGCCAGTGACCTCGATTAGAATTTCTAAGTCTGGAGATGATCGTGAACGCTGCCTTTCGTTCGTCGGTTTTGCTCTCCGCTACAAACAACACTCCTTCCTTCCTGCCTAAAACTTTCCACTCTGAGTAGTTTGCTTTCGGCAACACCCACCGTAATCTCCTCTTGCCACTGACCTAGTATCTCTACAAGGAAACTGTCTGCCCGCGGTAATTGCTTCCGCGGTGCGTAGTCGCGAGCTTGAGATGGGACCAAACTATTGGCTCGGCGTCATTTCTGCAGTCTTCAACAGACATGTTGTCTACCTACTCAATGTAGATATATGGTTAAGTTTTTGGGTATGCCAAGCCATCTCAACTCCTGGTACGAGAGTGTATTGGTTCGGCGCAACGTCCGTAGCGTTCAACAGGCATATAACCTATTTACTCGAAGAAGCTGCTATGTGGAGTTCTCTTCCTCCGCGGAAAGTCAACATATTATACGAACTGATATTCGATTAGCGGTATGTCGCCATCAATCAATAGGAAGACCTCCGAATGACTCAACAGAACTGTGTCATTGAATTATCGCATTGCATGGAGACTCAACTCAAGACATGGAATAACATTGGCTTGGCGATATATCCGCTGTTTTCAACATCCCCAAGATTTCCCGGAATAAGCAGGTAGTGGACGTTTTCACATTTGCGGTTGATGAATCGGATACATCAAAGCTATCAGTGACGTTTGGGTGTAGTCGAGATCAGGCTAGTGACGGCTATACAGGTTCTGAATGCTGATCTGGACTTTCACTAAGACAAACAGAACAAGAAGAGGTGAGGAAGTACGAGCGAACTACTTCTAGCATGATCACGGTACTGCTGTACCCGGAAAAGAGAAGTTTACGAGGATACAGACACGCCACTGACTTCGTGTACAAACGAGACGATCGTAAAGCCAGCTTATAAGAGCAGTGAATGACACTAACAGTCATCACAAGGTAGAGACAGTATTGACGCGCTTTCCACAATGACCACTATGTACCATGTTCCTTTTCACGGTCTCGTCCTGCAACCTTGTCCACACGGAGAAAACACCACTAGACTCCGTCACACGGGACGTGCTCACTAATGGTAAGATATCTAAGAAACACTAGTCCTTTTGCAATGATGAATTCCTTTCCTACCTAGGTAATCTCCATCGCATTACCAGTTTCCACCACCAATCACGCAGCCAACCGTCCTGCCACCGACATCATATCTGCGCAGTCGATCTCCGAGTAGCATTGCATCAACGCGTCTCCAAAGAAGCTGCCGTCATGTGCATCGAGCTTCACACCCGCTACCGCCGCTGCGCACACACGCGCCTCCTTCATTGGACTTACTGCCCCATTCTCACACCTTCCCAACGCCAACCAAGCACTGGGCGCGCCTGCAGAAGACACAAACTGCGCTACAAGGAAAGCAATGATAACGTCGGCTGTTTCGAATGCAAACTGTCGGAGATTGCTGGCTGGGGCGCAGTGTCAAGATCCCTAACTTCCTCGAATCTTTTAGAGACGTCGCCTACCGTGGCTAGTTTCTTGGACTATGGGTGCAGGTCAACTACCTTCCCGGCGTTTGTGGGGAGATCGCCAACAATTCCGATACTAGAGAAGTCGCCGACGGTCTCTACGTTCGCCACTTCGGTTGAGTTGCTAAGTATTGGCATCAGAGAAACGGAAAGCAAAGACAGCGAAACCAGTGTTGCTGCGAGCGATAAGTTGCCGATTCTAGGACCAGGAGATTGGCGGACGAGTGATGATAGTGACGAGATTTCGGGAAAAGAGCTGGTGGAACAGGCCAAAAGAGGTGGCGTGAAAGGATGGTTCAAGAAGAGATTTAAGGCCAGGGAAGGGTACGATGGTGCAGTTCTGGGATTCCAGACGATGGATGCTTAGGCGGCAGATGTGGCTAGAATATAATATGCTTTCAGACTGCATGGGTAGGTTCTGGTTAGAATGTTGATAGGTAAAGCATCGACTACCTTCGGGCTGTATTCAGGATCTTCGCATGCCAATCGAACGCGCTCCACACGTACCAGAAATGCTACATGATAACGATGATTATTCCCTCTGCGCTATCTGCGCAAGCAAAAGCCTGTATACCTCCAGGTATTCATGTGCTCGCCTTGTCTTTGCAGAAGCCCATGAATGCTTCTGCTTCTTACCAAAGCTTTGTCTCAAACCTTTCCCTCAGCTTCTCATACTTCTTCACATCGCCCACACTAGGTCTAACAGTCTTGGCTGCCTCAATAAAGTCCAACTCCTCCACAATGTCACTGCGCCGTCTCAAGGCATGCTGTCCAGCTTTTCGTAACATACTCTCAAGATCGGCACCCGAGAAGTTATTGCAAACATCTTGGCGGCCTATCTCAGCAAGTTCAGGGGCGATGACGCCACGCTTGCGAATATGCGCTCTCAAGATATCCACACGCTCCTCTGGCTTGGGAAGTTCGACGTAAAGTAGGGTCTCCAAGCGTCCAGGTCGGAGCATCGCTTCGTCGATCATCTCGGGCCGGTTGGTGGCTGCGATAAGGTAGATGCCTTCACGCATGGATAGGCCATCGAGCTCGGTAAGTAATGTGTTGACAACGCGTGCGGAGGCTTCGTGAAGCTCGGTAGAGCGTTTAGGTACGAGAGCATCGAGCTCATCGAAGAAGATAACGCATGGAACAGATGATCGAGCGCGCATGAAAACCTGGCGTAGAGCTCTTTCAGACTCTCCTACGTACTGCAACCTGTTAGCATCGAACAAAGATCATATCAGAATATGTAGCGTACCTTGTTCAGCAGTTCCGGCCCCTTGACACTGATAAAGTTCGCCTTGGACTCTGCCGCCACCGCCTTAGCCAGAAGCGTCTTACCGCAACCAGGTGGTCCCCATAAGAGTACACCGGTGGGTGCAGAGATACCAAATTTCGCAAACTTTGCAGGATCTTTGATAGGCTCGCAGATAGCCATCTCGAGCTCTTCGCGGACGCCTGCCAGCGCACCAACGTCTCGCCATGTAGTGTCCGGTACGGTGGCAAAGCCCTCTCGTTTTGACGATGGGGTAATGGTAGGCAGAACGGCTTCAAAGGCTTCCATTGTGATGACAGTATCTTCGAAACCTTCTGGTCGGGGAGCTTCCGTGTCTCTTACACGGGTGATTAGTCGCCTAATCGATTGGTTCATGAGGCTATCGGCATTAAGAGAAATGCCACCGTCGATCTCCATCGTAGTCTCCGCGTTGGCTGCCTGCTTTTCAAGTGCTCTTCGAAACTGGTCCATGGACCATGTGCCCGCTTTGCTTACAAGATCTTTCAAATCAGCGCCAACGAATCCTGCTGTCCTCTTCGCTAGTACACTGAAATCGACATCAAGGGATAGCTTTGGTTCGCGTGTAAGAGCTTGGAGTATAGACCGTCGCATAAGCTCATTCGGTACACCCATGTTAATCTCGGTATCGAATCGGCCTCCTCGACGCAAAGCTGGATCCAGACTGTCGGGACGGTTTGTAGCGGCCAGTACGATCACAGGCTTTCCATTGTTGCCCTCCATAGCAAGACTGTCCATCGATATCAGAAGCTGGGCAACTATCCTCTTCTCCATCTGACTCTGGGCACTGTCGCGCTTGGGCGCAATAACGTCGATTTCGTCGATGAAGATCAAGCATGGGGCAACCTCCTTGGCCTTCTCAAAATGCTCCCTTACTTGCTTCTCAGACTCTCCAGACATACCCGACACGACGGATGGACCCAAAATCTCAATAAACGGTACACCAAGCTCGGCAGCGAAGGCCCGACTTATGACAGTCTTACCACATCCTGGTGGACCATGGAGTAATATACCGCGTGGTATTGGGATTTTGCGGTTGGCGTATTCCTGAGGGCAGAGAAGAGGCAACACGAGATGCTCTTTGAGCTGTTCTTTGACTTTTTCCACGCCACCGAGATCTTCTAATGTAACACCTGTAGGAGCTGCTGTGTCGATCTTGCTCTCCTTCTCCTGTGCCCCTGCCTTCTTCTGTCTCTTAGCTTCCCTCTCCTCTTTTGTCTTCCCACTGTCTCGCTTTTTGCTCTTCTCGCTCTTCTCACTCTTCTCCCCGTTTGCAGCTGGCGGGATTGCCCATTGACTGACAATTTGCTTATTCATCCAATCGCTCGATCGGTCCTTTTTGTCTTTCGGTTCGTCCATGGTAAAGTCTCCTTCGAGTTCTGCCATTTCGTCTTCGGAATCGGGTTCTTCGTCTTCGCGGATAACGTCAATTACGCGGTCGATTGAATCCTCGATTTGCTTCTTTGGCCGTCTCTTCAGGCTTGAGTTGGAGCGTTGGATATAGTCGTAGACGGTCGACGGGCGCAGTTTCAGCGCCGACTCATTCTTCTCGTCGAGATATTTGCGCACCACCTGGTACACTTCCTTGTCCAGGCCTGCCTGGAGGGAGGGTCGGCCTTTTGATACCATGACAACTATTGTGGTATCGCAGAAGTGTCAAACGTAGAGCGAGGACGGTATTTATGCGCCAGGAAGAGTGTAACGTAGAATAAGAAAGCCGGTTTGGTGCGGCCAGTGTACCTTGGGCCAGAGGAGTCTATGGTGGCTGCGTTGAGTGTCAATTCCCGTGATCTGGAACTGCTAGCGCTAGTGAGCCTTAGCGCCTATCATCAAGAAACAGGTACAAATGCGGCACAGAATGGTCACGTCGGACTTGGACTTAAGAACAATGCGACGGTGCTATTTCACTTTTGATGCGCATGCTCGCGTCTCCAAAAAAGTTCGCGACGACTTATCGATAAGACTAGCGCGGAACTAGCCTCGGCCCTAGCTCGCATACGTCAATCAAGGCACAGGGACATGTCGCATGCGCAACCCTCATCACTCATGGAGATCGTAGCAATATGGGTAACTCGAGCAGCGCAAACAAGATCTCTGCCCAGGATAAGTGAGTCAAGCCCAGCAATGTGTTAAAATGTCGCTGACATGCCAGGGCGATCCTGGATATGAAGAACCAGCGCGATAAGCTGCGACAGTACCAGAAGCGAATCACCGTCCTCACCGACCGCGAGAAGGAGATTGCGAAGGAATGTCTAGCCAAGGGAGATACAGGCAAGGCAAAGCTAGCGCTGAGGAGGAAGAAGTACCAGGAGGGTCTCTTATCCAAGACCGATGCCCAACTAGCGCAGCTGGAGATCCTCACCAGTGACGTCGAGTTCGCCCTGGTGCAGAAGGATGTCTTGTTTGGTCTGCAGCAGGGAACGGCAGTTCTCAAGGAGATCCACAAGGAAATGGGCGGCATCGAGAACGTAGAGAAGCTGCTGGGTGAGAACGAGGAGGCTCGTGCTTATCAGGAGGTGCGCCGCATAGCCAAGCCTTTGGTAGCATGTATGCTGATAGACATTCCAGGAAATCAGCGAGCTCCTTGCGAACAAGATGTCCAACCAAGACGAAGACGAAGTCGAAGACGAGCTCGATGCTCTCGAAGCAGAAGTCAACGGCACCGTTCCTGCGTTACCCGACGCGCCTGTCGCACAGCCACAGTTCACACCCGAAGAGAAGGCGCAAATGGCCAAGGACAGAGCGGCGAGACGGGCGAGGGAAAGGGCTGCCGAGCAGGCATCGCAGCCCATGTTGGCGTGATGAGACATGGCACTGGCGTATAGATTGCATTAGAGCGTGGCGTTGGGGTGTTTTGCTGGCATGGCGTGGACGACGTGACACTTTGGGCATACTGCATGTTTGCTACACCTGCGCACATACACAAGAGTCTATATGGAGTTTATTCTACGGTTTGGTGCATGTGGTGACCACGTGTGCGAAACGTGGGCAATGATGCATCGTCCTAGATGTTTGCCCCTTATGTCAGTCTCGCCTTCTCTTCACCCGCCGAGCACGTCATACCATAGCTCCTGTCCTACATCTACACCATCTTTCCTGCCATCCATCTACGACGCCAGAATCTGCCGACCCTGCATCAACAACCCTGACCCCGACATCCATCCGCATCGAAGCTCGAAGCTACCCCGCCATCCACCCCACCACTTCCAGCCCTACCGCGCAAACACACCCAACATTGCCCACAAACATGTCGCACTCACACTGCCACGACGAGCATCACGACCACTCCCACGCTGACGGCCACGACCACAGCGACGACATCACCCCAGCCCTCCAGAACATCCTCTACGAACAACTCGACTTCCCCAAGCTCGTCACGCTCAACGAAGATGAATCCAACAGCGGTCGCGCAATCTGCCAGAAGACATGGGCCCAGCGCCTCGAACCCGAGCCCGAGCTGAAGAGCAGTGCCGATGAACAAATCCTCATGACGGTGCCTTTTACAGGCCAAGTGCGACTGCATTCCATCATCCTACGAACGAGCCCTGGCCCCGACTGCCCCAAGACCCTCAAAGTCTTCGTCAACGAAGATTCGCTCGATTTTGAAACCGCGGCCGAAAAGGAACCCACACAGATACTGGAAATCAGTCAGACGAGCGAGGTGCAAGAGATACCCGTCAAGAGGGCCAAGTTCGGCACAACACGCAGTCTGAGCTTATTTTTCGAGGACAACTGGAGTAATGGCGAAGAAGACGAGACGAGAATAAGCTATCTGGCGTTCAAAGGCGACTTTATGAAGCTGAACAAGGAGGCTGTGTCTGTCATGTACGAGGCCGCTGCGAATCCCAATGATCATAAGAATATTGTAGGAATTGGACAGGGCGTAGGACGGAGTATACAGTAAGAAGACGAGCGCCTGGCTAAGGCGACATGGCCATGTTGAGGGAGCTTCACATTGGGAATGGCGCAAGGTATGGTGTCAAATCAGGTTCATCAGGGTCATTATCAGTTAGCATGGATATGCTACAGTCTGTCGCTTCTTGAACGCCAATATATGTATATTAAAAGCATTTCAGTCTGAAGGGTCAGCAGAGGCGCATGGAACATTTATTAGAGATGACATACTCAGCGTATCATTGCGCTTTCGTGGGTATCGTGTCGTCCATGTATGCATGTATATCCTTTTCCCGTTCCGTGTCGCCTGTCGACTTGTGCTCTGAATGCATCCACGCTCAACGTCGCTCGTTTTGTGGTGTTGCTCCAATGCAGTATGCTGGGCACATAGTCCATCTCTCTGTGAGGCCGCGTAAAACCCTCTTCGCCCGCTTCTGAGTCCAACTCCCGGTATCCGTTCGTGGTTTCTTTCCTTGCTCAAGTATGTTTCGTTCCTCCGAGCACCTCTCCGTGAACCTTTCCCCAGTCGATCTTCCCGTCAATCTCTTCATCCACCCTACCCACCACCGCCACACTGTCACCCCGTATAATGTACAGTCCGAGTGGTACCTCTTCACTAGGCTCTTCGTCTTCTATCGGTCGGATGATGCGCTCGACGGCTTCTTGGAGGACGAGGTTCATGCTACCGTCGCATGAGTGGAGAAGGCCGACCATCGTGCGGCCATCGAGGGTGAGAACTGATACACGCTCTAAGAAAAGTCAGCAGGGAAGATGATACCACAGCAGACGGGACTTACTGTTTAGGTAGGCGTTTAGTGCCATTGTGAGGGTTTGGTTGGGGTATGCGTTGGTTTGGGAACTCGGATATTATCTAAGGGCGGCTTCGTGAGACCAGCAGATATAAGATATGCAAGAGATGTCCTTGAAGCGCTATCTGCACGCGCTCGAAGGATGCTCGCGCAAAATTCCGTGGTATAGTATCGCGTTGTGGAAAGGTTGCGACTTGCTCAAAACTTGGTTCGTCTAAGTTCTGAGGTTCGGATGGATATTCTCGGCGACAGAAGGTTTGCTAGAAGATGTCTCGGACGAGTGGACGAGGAACACGGCGAGTTGCTTGCGCTTGTCACGATTTGGTTGAAGCTGCACATGAAGCTCGCGATGCTTTGCCGGTGGAGCTTCAGATGGCACGTGCATTCGGCCAATCAGAGTCGCAGGGACATGTCTGCCTAGGTACCTAGGTAATGTCTTCGTTCTGAATGTCACAATTATCTCATTCTCACAGCTCAGTGCGACACCTAGGAATATGTGCTCTACAAGAAAATCCATATCCAAGACATCGATAACGTCCTACCTAGGTATCATGTACTTGCGTGCTACCTAGACACGCCGAAAAGTCGGGAGCCAGCACTTCCTCTAGCTCTTATTCGTGATGACCACCTCCGGATGACTTACAAGGAATGGAAACTCTGTCTTGTAATAGAGTCTCCGGAAGGCTGTATGGTCAAGGTTTTGTATTCGTTCAAGTTTGATTTGCACGGAGGTGGTATTGTCCCATGGTTGGGTGTAGTGGTACCACACCGCGATATTTCCAATTATTCTTGAAGAATCGCTGGCATTCACCCTTTTCTGATTTTTTGATAAAACTTTTTTTTTCTAAAGCGAGCAACATGGCGAATCTTCTCGACGCTGTTCAGCAGTACGCTTTCCTCGATGCACTCTGTTCGCATCTACGCATTACCGACTTCAAAGCACTTTCAAGAACCAGCTCCGACTTTCGAATCTGTCTCACAGGAAGATTCAGATCACGAGAAGAATGGAGCTTCATATCCTTCGATACCTGATGACTGGAAATCCGTTATCTGTGATGCCCTTGGTGGTCTAAGCAATGTCATCTCATGCTGCAAGTGCACCCGAATCATATGTTTCCAATGCTAGTGGTTACACATTACTAAGGGAAGTGCCAATACTCGGGGTAACGGTCGGGCACATCATGCATGCTCGACATGCTGGAATACGGATTTTGAAAAGCTTCGTAGCGACGATTCCTCACATGCATTTCCCGCGACACATGGTCATCGTACATGGCGACAGGCGCAGCTTCAAGGCGACTTCTGCAAGTGGTCCAGCAATTCATTGCAGACCTTGCACTAACGAGGTCAGCCCACCTCCGAACTATACCCCAATCGAAGAAATATCGCGTCTAGACCAGTTCCTATCTCCGTACCCAGAGCCTTCCCACAGGAAGTGTATCGCTTGCCCCACATACATGTCGGAAGACGGAATGGAAAAGGTGAATCACTTCTGCCCTTCCTGCAATCTTCCTATACAAATGCGCAATGGCGATCATCCTGTCGAACGGCAGTCTCAGAAACTAGGCGACTATCGCGATGATGAAAACGACATCGATCGTGAGGTTGTGACGATAGGACCCGACTACGAGTCTGTTCAAGAGTTTTGGAAGCGGCAGTGGATAAGAACCAGCGGCCGGTTGAGTCCACCGACTAAATGGCAGCCTGTGCGATATGAATGGGAACGTATCAACCAAGGTTCGGTGCTCACCGCGGATGAACGTAGCCACTTGGATCGGTGCTCGTACTTCAAGCCCATACGTGCACCTGTGTGGGATTCTAAAAAGCTTCTATTCGAGCCGCCTCCAATCCGACTCCCTCACTATATGTGGCGTCGTATCATTGGCTATGTTCTACACTAGGTACTATGTTTCCATGCAACAGGATTATACTAACAACTTTCCATCAGGAGAACCTGGGGCTTCTGGACCTGGATCGTGTGAGATATTTCAGGTCTATTTAGTCTAGAAGAGTTCCTGGTCTAGCAATTTGGTTCTGTGTCCAAGTTCTTCACATACGTGAGAAGATAGGTTTGGAGGAAATGGCAAGGACATCAGTACGTATGTACGGTGAGAACAACGTGGATATCATTTAGGAATGCGTGACTTTGACACCTAAACCTATTTCACCTAATTCAAGACATTAAACATACGGCCTCCAATAGTTCTCTGTTCGTGGTTCGGACCTCTCAAGTGCGACGGTACTGGAAAACAACATGCATATCGCTTTCGAAGCGGTGAGCCCTCGGATTCGCTCGCGTGAGCACCTGTGATGTTTATCAACTCGTGAAACAGGCAAACTGGGTATACACGATATCAGAATAACGTCTTGATCCACAAAACAAACATTTAGAGATGATGGCGGCCGTTATTCATAGTATTCGTGTATGGTGCTATACTCTCGAAATACATGTTTCTCGAGTGGCTGGGATTAAGGTTTGTGGGCAAAAAGTAGATAATCCGGAGTCGGCCCCTCACGCGCGACCGACCCACGGTTGCGTTGATAAGAACAGTCGAAATCGCGATGCGCAACCATAGTTCAGTTTAAGAGACAAATACAATACTTCGATTGCCAAATCCTCCAGCTTTATCCTAACTTCCTACATAAGCTTCAACAGCACTTCTTAAATCAACTTAACGATACGAACATGATCACCGCCACAGTCCGCACCGCAGGGCTTCAAGTCCGAAGCTTTCACAAGACCGCTTTAAACTCAGTTTTTAACGAAACGACAACCCGTGAGACCAAAAGAAGTTATCTTCGCCATCACGGAAAGCACAATAAAGTCGAACATCACCAGTCTCCCGTCACACCATACAATACCAGTGTCCGAGCAGACTGGCAACGCTATTGTGCAACCGAGCACCATCAGATCTGGCCGTCTTCCTTTCAGAAGCACTCTTTTCATACCAATTTGTCCTCGCAGGATACACCAATTACCAAACCAACACATGCGATGACCTTCCGAAAGGACCGCGAGATGCACATTGCCGCACGCCAAACACCGCTCAAAGCATCAGAGGAACACGAGAACCCAGATCGTGAATTCATGAAGACGTGGCTCGGCGTAAAAAGGGAATTTGGCTACCTGCGCTCAGACTTGCTGGACGCTGTGCTGGCTGATGGTAGAAAGGTTCAAAACCAGAGCTTCATGGGGCGGCTTTTTGACAGCGAATCTAAGACTCAAAATTAGACAACTAAGTGTGCATGCTTGTTACCTGCGCTTTGTATCACGTTGCTGTATTGCTTCTACTTGCACGGCTGTATCTCGAGATTCCATTCCGTAGTGGCAGAAGAAGAGACGTGACGTGTTTGTGTATCACGACTAGTATGTCAATATATGGACACAGGAAGTATCGGTAGAATCTGTACACAAATGAGAACAACGGGTCCTCGCATTTTGCTCATGAGGATCTTTTGTACATACCTCCGCTTATCTGGTGTTGGTGTTGGTGTTTTGTGGTGACCTAAAAAAAAGCCGGGTGACCATTACCTAGGTAATTACCATACCATACCCAATCCAGCATGGTCATTCACGCGCACATCTTGATAAACTGTGTCTTCGGTCCATTTCCGCACAACTACCAAGCTTACACCGTTTTAACGATTGGCACCCAAAATTCTTTTCACTCTGCGCTGTCATCCAACCCGTTCTTCTGAGATTAACATGCGTACATATCGCCCGACTTCCAGCAGGATCAGTATACGCACAAATGATGTCATTTTGGATGCCTCCCGAGGTCAACATGCACATAGAATTTCGTACCAGCATCACCAGAGCATCATACTATAGAAGCCATCATAGTGTCTGACTAGAAAAGCATACTTTGCCGCGGTCGCAACGGAATATGTATCTTTTTCTATGCCGCTTTGTTATGGGATTGACATCCTTATACTTTTAGTCGCATCTTCCCAAGTTTTGCGCGAACCTGAGTTTCCGATCCATCGGCGCATCTAAAAAAAAGGGCATCGCCAGCATTCCGACTGCAAGAGATTTATTCCAGCACTATCGCAACTTCCACAAACCCGCTTGAAGTACGATCTTCTCCGTTGTTTAGATCCAACCCCGATGCCATGCCAGCAACAGGCGCAAAGGACCACGATACCGAGAAGATTAATAGTAACGCATCGCAACTGCCACCATGGCGACAGAGGTTACGTCGCGTAAAGCTTTCAATGCTCCCAGTTCACAATCAAGAAGGCAGCAAGGGGCTGACCCTCACCACAAGCAAGGGTCACGTTTATCTCCTCGACCAGTTTCGCGAGCGGGTACCGCTGCGGATCCGTAATCGTTCTGTCGCTATGATCTCTGAGTTTGTCGGCACCTTCCTGTTCATGCTCATCGGTCTAGGCGGTAACTCTGCTGTCATCAATGATTCAGCCGTTGCTACACAGACCGGCGGAGGAGATCCCTCAGCAGATCCAGCTAAGATCCTTTTCATCGCAACGTCATGGGGCGCAGCTGTGACAGTGAATGCGTGGAGCTTCTTCCGGATTAGCGGTGGGCTCTTTAATCCTGCTGTAACTATGGCTTTGATGCTAATCCGCGCTGTACCACCGCTTGATGGCCTTCTCGATATCATCAGTCAGCTTTTCGGTTCTATCCTAGCAAGTGCTATCGCATACGGACTATTGCCATCAGGTGCTCTAGCGGCTACTGAATTGGGTGATATGACCACCGTCACGCAGGGGTTATTCATCGAGATGTTCATTACAGCACAGGTCGTCGTGGCAGTCTTCATGTTGGCAACGGAGAAACACAAAGCTACGTTCATTGCGCCCGTTGGAATCGGATTGACGGTATTTGCGTGCATTCTTATGTATGTGTTCTCTTATTCCCCTTTGTCACTATTCGCAGTTGCAATCGCGCATTTCCTCTTTCATAACACGTAGCTTATGCACCTAGGGCCTCAACATATACTGGCGCAGCAATGAACCCAGCTCGATCATTCGCTGTGTGCGTTATCCAAGGAAGTTTCCCACACTATCATTGGATTTATTGGGTTGGTCCGGGGTTGGGTGCCTTGCTTGCAACTGCCTTCTATCACTTGATTCGCAAGCTGGAGTACTGGACTGTAAATCCTAATGTCGACGACTACGAGACGAAGGTTGGAGAGACTATTCGAGATGTCGCAAGCAGGGTTGCCGACATGTCAAACGTTCCTGGGGCAAGTTCGAACGACGATACATGAGTTTAGTGCAAAGGTCGAGACTGTCTCGCAATTGCACTGACAAAGCGCCAACACGCTCATCTACAAGCAGCTTTCTACAACATCGAGCTAGCTCAACCTGATCATTCCTCAACACGTCCGACGACATTCCTACTTGGACACCACTCCACAGCCAGCACAGGTCACCACCGATCAGCTCGAAGAAGCGATGCATTTGATAAGAGCTGCGCAATACTCCCATGTCCATGCAAATGCTACTTCAGGATATTGCTCTCGTCATGAAATTTATGGCTTGCGCTTCAATCATGGATGGTTTGGAAAGCCAACCAGTCAAGTATAGATCTTGAGGGATAGAGCTTGGAGAATTGACAGCGCGGTTGCATTTGTCTGCGAAAAATGAAACATTGCGGGCTATAAAGCTGTAAGACTATATAGTAGGCATGCTGAAGGCTGAGAGCGCTGAACGCAAATATGTTTAATGCATTGAGCGCTCTAGAGCGGCATGAACTCCTGACCAGCCTGTGCACGATCGGTATTGCTTGAACCATATGTATCTACCCTCGTAGACCAGAACGACAGCCCAGCGATCAAGTCCAGCCAGGTTTCCAATGCGCAGAACAAAGGACGTTCGGGAGGCGATAACGCTGGTAGCGCACGGATCGCATCTTGTCGTACCTTGATGTGGACGGAATCCAGCAGAACCTAGCCACCACCAACACCAACCAGCTTGCCCAGCCATCTCAACTTCCTTCAAAGAACGTCCGCTCCTGTGCTCCTGTATTCACCTTCCTATTCGACAATACTGCGCCGCCTGCAATCATGTGGGTTACACGAGGCCTCCACTGCAGACCTTGTTTATCCGGGTTGCCGGTTGCTTGGTGCCTCTTGGCGGCGACGCAGCGTGCCTTGGGAGGCTTGACACCTGCTCAATGCGGCAACTAGAAGGCGCATATCAATTAGACTGATATGTACGATGGAAAGCAGATAAAAAGGAGCGTTGCCTTGCTAGAGCACGACAAGTGCTTTGTTGCATTCGTCTTGTGTTCCTACCTGACGCGTCGTTTGGGTCACTGAGTGGGGAACGTTGATACCCTGCTGCCCGCAATGCGTTCTTTCGCAATCCTCGCTGCGGCATTGCCGTTGGTTCACGCAATTGAACCTCCGCGCATGCCACACCAGCCTCTCGGCAATGGCACCAAGCGTCTGAGCTACAACGAAACCACCAACAGCCCTGGATCTTTGACACCTTCAACACGATCCTTCACCTGGGTTGGCACTGGGGAAGATGGCGACTACATCTACACAGCTGCCTCTGGCGACTTTGTCTTTGAGAATGTCGCAACAGGCGAATCGTCCACTTTCATCTCCGCTGACCAGGTCCCGGAGGACTACTGGGATTACTTTATCTCGCCTGATGCCACCAAGGTCATGTGGGCCGTCAACTACACGAAGCAGTACCGCCACTCTTACTTCGCTGATTACCTGATCATGGACGTTGCGACTGGAGAGTCCGTGCCTCTTGATCCCGAGCAAGTCGGGGATATTCAGTATGCCGAATGGAGCCCTGCCTCGTCGTCTCAGGTCGCATTCGTCAAGGGCAACAACCTGTACATGTCCACCAACGGCACTATCACTCAGATCACCGAGGACGGAGGGCCCGACTACTTCAACGCTATTCCTGACTGGGTTTACGAAGAGGAGATCTTCGGCGATCGCTACACTCTATGGTTCTCGCCCGATGGCGCTAAGGTTGCTTTCCTTAGCTTCAACGAGACTGGTGTTGGCACATTCAGAATCCCATACTACATCGAAGATGATGCTGAATATGTTCCTGTTTACCCCAATGAGTTGGAGCTTCGCTACCCCAAGGTCGGCACAAAGAATCCGACTGTGGTCATGAACATGCTTGATGTAGAGTCTGGCGAATACACCAACATTCCCATTGATGCTTTCCCGGAGGACGACCTTGTCATTGGCGAGGTTGTCTGGCTTACCGAGGAGCACAGCAAGGTCCTTTACCGCGCCTACAACCGTGTTCAGGATATGGAGAAGCTCGTTGTTGTCGATGTAGAGGCTGGGTCGTCCAAGGTTACTCGTGAGCGTGATGGTACCGATGGATGGCTGGAGAACTTGATGCAAGTTCGATACATCGGAGCTGTTGAGACTGCGAACGCTTCTTACGGAAACGCTACTGAATACTACATGGATCTCTCTGATATGAGTGGCTGGGCGCATATCTACCTCTTCCCCGTCGATGGCGGAGAGCCTATTGCACTCACGTCCGGTGAGTGGGAAGTTATCAGCGTACCCAAGGTTGATTACTCCCGTGGCCTTGTCTACTACACTTCTACCGAGCACCACAGTGCTGAGTCCCATATCTACTCTGTCAGCTTCTCTGGCGAGAAGACTGCGCTCGTCGATGACAGCGTGGCTGCTTTCTGGACTGGATCTTTCTCTTCCGGCGGCTCATACTATGTCCTCCGTTACGCTGGCCCCGACGTGCCATACCAGGAGCTGTACTCTATCAACTCCAGTGAGCCAATTCGCACAATCGTCAACAACACAGCACTTTACGAGAAGCTTCAAGGCTATGCTCTCCCCAACATTACCTACCTAGATATGGAACACCCAGACGGCTACACTTTGGACGCCATGCTCCGCCTGCCACCCAACTTTGACCCCTCCAAGAAGTACCCTCTCCTCCTCATTCCTTACGGTGGGCCCAACGCAAAAGAGGTTCACAAGGACTTCAACCCACTCAACTGGAAGGCTTACGTTGCCTCCGACCCTGAGCTCGAATACGTGACCCTTACCGTCGACGGCCGTGGTACTGGCCGTAAAGGTCGCGCTTTCCGTTCTCTCGTCACTTCTAACCTGGGTCAACTTGAGGCCGAAGACCAGATCTGGGCTGCCAAGGAGCTTGCAAAGAACGAGTGGATCGACAGCGAGCATATTGGTATCTGGGGCTGGTCTTACGGTGGCTACCTCTCCTCCAAGGTTGTTGAGGTCGGCGACCCAATCATCAGCTACGCCATGATCACAGCCCCTGTCAGCGACTGGCGCTTCTACGACTCCCTATACACTGAACGCTACATGAAGACACCCGACATTAACCCCGAGGGTTACAACCGTAGCCGTGTTCATGATGCCACAGGTTTCAAGAACATTGCTGGTGGTGTCGTCATTCAGCACGGTACTGGTGATGACAACGTGCACTTCCAGAACTCGGCTGCGTTGGTCGACCTGCTCATGGTCAACCAGGTCACTCCTGAGAAGATGCAGAACACTTTCTTCACCGACAGTGATCACAGCATCAACTTCCACAACAACGGAAAGTTCCTATACAGACAGTTGAGCAAGAAGCTGTTTGAGGAGAAGGCACGCGAGGGTGACAGCAAGGGTGGCCACCAGTGGAGCAAGAGGGGTCTGGGACGCAAATGGAAAGCTTGAACAGCTCTAAAATAGTTGTCTGTGATAATGCGACAATGTAATGCATAATTCAAAGTTTCACCTGATTTCAGTGCACAGTCACCAGCCACCCGGCCTCTTTCTCAAGCTAATGCTGATGCATGAAGGAGATCCTCCGATTCTCTCGGTCCTATTCACACAATCAGACCCCTTGTGTTTATTCTCATCCTTAGCGTTATTCTCTTCGTCGATAAGACTGTGATTTTTCCTTAGTGCGCCACCGAAACCTGCAGGACCGCTTGCGCTTCGCGCAGTTTTACAAAGTACAGAAGGAATCTTGGGAAAAACAAGTGCTCAATCCACTATGTAGTCGCCGAATGTTTTGTTAGATGGTTGAAGTAACGGCTATTGTCGAAGGATATGTATGACCCGGTGCAGCTGTTGACAGGGTATTGAAAGATCTAGAGTCGTATGCAGATTCACTCGAAATTACATTGGGGCAGGCTGAGCGGTGACAATACGCGTGAACGGCCACGGGTCCTGGCAAACAACTAGACGATTGTATGACTTAACATCCGTCTGCATTCTGGTACATTCACCTATGTACTCTTAATCCAACACGACATTTGAACGCCCAGCCAGATCTATTCCAAGCTGAGATCCACGAAAAAATACTTCAACATGGCGGCCGAGACCACCGGTGCTACAACGCAGTGTGTAGATGCGCCCGACTACCACTCGCTCAAATTCGAACACATGAGCAGGATATCTAGTCTTGCGGAAGGACATGTTTACGCGCTCAGATACTTTCCCGGTGAGCTACAAGCTCTCTTGAACATTGCCTCGCTCAAATTCCACGAATGGGCTCCTGGTCACTTTGCTTCGGTTTTGGGTTGGCCAAAAGAATCCAAACAAGGCTCGAAACCCCAATCGGCGCTATCGGAACATCTGGAAATCCACTGGGGAGAGGGTGATAGAACTGTTTTGTTGAACGATCGCTCTGCGCTATCCAATACGGGTATCCGACCGCAAACCATAATCTCTGATACCGATGAAGTTTTGTCGAGACTGCAGCGTGGTTTTGAACTCGCCCCTCCGTTCTCTACTATCCTTACGGTGGTAGACCACGAGCACCTGACAATGCTAAGTGTCTTTTTCCGCTACTGTCTCTTGGTGCAAGGCCATGCTACGGCGACGGAGAATTTCCAGTACAACTTCTGGTTATGGTTCGAGAAACTCTGTCGCCATGTCGCCAGCCAAAGTACACCGGATAGCCCGCCAGAACACGTTGATGTCGCTGCATCGCCAAAGGCTGAGAAGGAGCCGGATAGCTTTTGCAGCCAAGTTGAATTGGATGATCGAGCACATAATAACAAAACTACGGTTTTGGAGATTGAGGAGATAGAGGAAGTTGCAAGCAACCATAGTTTCCATGGAGAACTGGAAACAATGCGGAAGGAAGTTGAGAAATACAAGTTGGCTTGTGAAGAGCAAAGCAAAAAGGTCGAAGAGGAGAAGCCGTGGTTGCACAAATCGCGTCTCGCGCATGTGAACTCCGAAGCCATGCTTAGAGAACGTCAGAAAGAGGCAGAGGAGTGAAGGTTAGGCAATAAGTGTTAGCGAAAGAGTCACCAAAAACCTATGATAGTATTCTATTCATTGCCGGTGTCACATGGTGGAAGACTGAGGGATATGAAGAGGACAGTTTTGTAGAGTTAGAAGCCTAGGAACCGTGAGAGCTGAAAGTCTCTAGAAGCCAAGAGGATTGTTCAACCGTTCTAATTCACTATTGACGTGAGGATGAAATTAGATCTTCTTTAGGTCCTGATTGTTGATTATGGAATAGTGAAGCTGAACTGGCAATAAAACTCGATCCAGAATCGCCCATGTATCGGATCATGAGAGCCGGCAGTACTTCTCTGCCTAAGTAAGAAGAATATCACAATATTTCGTTTACGTACTGCCTCCCGAGGCGAACAGAAAGAGATCCAGGTTAGAGAGGCTAGAAGATGAGCCTCATTGCATAGCAGTATAGCTGGATTAGGTCCTATGCAGCGCCGGAAAAGAACACTAGGGCAAACCCAGACCTGTCAAGTAGAATGGCAGGGCATCTGGTTGCATTCGAAGGGTTGGAAGGGCTCTCTATTGTAGAGACATCGATATGTGTTACTTTTGTAGAATCTCGTCTAGGAGTTCAACGAACTTGACGGCCATTTTCTTTCCGCCCGATTCATTTGGCTCAACTCTGGCTGTATAATCACTAACGTTCTTGCCATCAAGAACCTCATGTAGTGCGCAGGGTACTACCTCCGTACCATCGACTCGGATTTCTTTTGTCGCAATCTTGTACATCGCTCGAATGGCTGCTTGCAATTGACCAGGGTATGAGTTGTATCCTCTATATGTGGGTGTACGATGTCAGTGCATGTCTCATGCATATTTCGCACAGAAATACATACAGTGCCTTAAGTTGCGCATCAGCCCAACTAGTTTGTCCCAAGCCAGACTCGAGTGGGAAGTATATCATACAGACGATTACAGCACGAGGTTTCGTTTTAGCGGTGAGACGGGTGACGTAGTTCTCGACCTTTGTACCGAACATATGCTTGAAATATGTCAATGCCCCTGCGGTACCGTTCTCCAAATTCTTGCGAGGGGTCAGCCAGGCGAGCTGCAGCATATGGCGGATCGTTGAGGAATTTGGCTTCAGGGCGACATCGTTGGCACCAACACTGACAATCAAGACGTCGTTGGACCGAATGTTGTCGCGAATGAACTCATCATGAGACATCAGCATTTCGTCTCGATCTCGAAGCATCGACTCTTCCACTGCAGTGTTGATGCATGTAGCACGATCCTCCAGCAGATTGTTCAGCCAAAACGCAACATCTGGCTTTGGGACAACAGGGCTCTTGAACGTCTGGGAATATATATCTGGTAGCTGAGAAAGGACTATGGGGCTTCCTTTGTCAACCCAGTACTTATTATCGAGAGATGAATCGCCAGCCAGGTATATGATTGGCTTCCCAGGCCGTTCTGTGAGTGTGATGGTACGAAAGGTAGCCAGGTCATCGATAGGGTGACCTTTCCACTCGAAGTAGAAGCGCGAGCAATTCATCATCGGGATGGTAGGTGAGGATGAGGACGCCATATTCGATCACTCGAGATAGCTGTTTGACGGGGTGATGCGTCGCTGTACAACGACACGCAACGTTGACACGATCAAGTGATGTCGTACGCGTAACAAAAGAGAGTCTGGGACTTCAAAGGGACAGTCATCGGTGCTGTTGTACAAGGAGAAAAGACACATCGTTGCTGTGCGCTTACGAAGGATGATGTGTTAGGCAGCCGCTTTGGAGATGCGTAGTCACGCACGGACCTCTACAACAATGACATCACAATGAGAAGATGATCTAATCCCCAATGGCGAAGATGAGGTGTGAAATAAAATTGCCATGCTAATAATCCATGAGATCATTCCTAGGGGACGAAGCTAGAAAGACCTCGCTCATCCAGTCCGTCTCCCCCAATCGGCCAGAAGCTGCTCCTGCATAGCGAATTGCACGTTCTTGGCCTCGAGCTCATCAGCCATTATGCGATGCTCGGGATCTAAGCACTTCCTTTTATCTCGAATCTGTGCTTCTAGAACGTCTATATCTGCAAGGTATTGCTTGGAGACCATTTCCAACTGTACGACAAGTTTGCTCTTCTCGGCATGATCCGCCTCGACGTCGTGCATGCTAGCTACAAGTTGGTTAACAGATTCTTTAGGGCCGTGGATATCGAGAGACGATGTCGCAGAGATTGCACTTTGAACGCGTTGCAGCAACGAATAGTTGCGCTTGTCGGTAGGTTGGATATTGATTGTCAGGGCGACAGTGGGGAGGGGTGTAACCTGCAGCTCTGTGGAAGATTGGACCATTCGGTTGAGAGATGGTACAGTGCTGAGACTCATGATCGACTTACCGAGATCCTCAAGCCCAGCTAGCAAGGCAGGGTTGTTTAATGGGTTGGTCGTAGGGACAGGCGTACGCGGCGTTGTCGAGACGGTTTGCAAATCAGAAAATTTCAGCGAAGACCTGATTGATGAAGCTGCCTCAGGCTCCGATGCCAAGCAAAAGACCGTTGAGAGCCCGAGTGCAGCTGATGCTGGATACACTGGAGTACACGACTTAGGCGGAGCGTTGCGATCTGAACTGAGGACTTTGATTTCCAGGTCGGCGGCGCGCAAACGGTGTATGTATTCCGCAATCTCGACTTCGTTGTCTTCGGGAGCGACAGGAACAGTGTCAAGATATGTGATCGCGGAAAAGCTCAAAAGTTGGTTTAAGTAATGGTTGGCGTCGGCATCTTTGATCATGCCAGAAGTGAAGTGCTCTTTGGCGAGCGGCTCTTTGGCATTTCCTTGAAGCTGCTCAACTTTAGCGCCGTAGCTGTCAGTCTGCTGTATCAGTGCCTTGATACTTTCCACATTATTAACATGCTCCTCTATCAGGTCAGCATTAGCATTTGCGAGATGGCGAAGACCTTCTGTTTCTGCCTCGGCGGCAGCCTGCATTCCTTTCGCATCTTCAAGTTGATGAAAGATGAAATTCCTGTGCTCTTCACAGCCATCCTCATGGTGTATATTCTTGAGGTGAGCGTTCTCCTTCTGGAGATACTTGATGGTGTCCTGGAGGTGGGAGACAGGGCTAGGTTGATAAGGGTTTGCATCAAGTTCGGAGCGTAACTTTGTGATAGTCCTATTGGCGTTTTGCTGGATTTTGGCTCGCTTCTTCCTTTCCTGATCCAACTTTGACTCAATGTCGCAAATCTGGCGTTCAGTGTCTTTCCGCAATGTGACCATGTCGTCATTGAGGGCACCAAGGTTTCGGCTCTCTTTGCTCAACTTACCGGCAAAAGTACGCGCCTCTTGCTTCTCCTTGGCGAGGTCACTCTTACAAGCTTTCAGTTCTCGAGATGCCTCATCGCACTGCCATATTAGACTGGTTTCTGTCGCTTGAAGCTTTTCGATCTGTCTCCTCAACTCGGCAACCTCCAAGTCCTGCGCCGAATTAATGCTATCATGACGCGATATCGTGGCTATGTTCTGCTCAGAGTCTAAGAGAGTGGAAGGAGAGACTGGCGGAGACGATACTTGGCGAGACATAGCTTCTCGCTACTCGTATCGCCGCGAAGAGATGCGTCAGTGTGTACTTGAGAACCTAAATGAGAATAGAGAGAGTATTGTACTCTTTTGTTTGGTGCATCTCGCATTATGAAGATTGTTAAACACGTGCGTCGATACATTGTCAGTCGTGTGTAGTGCAGTGTATTGTGAATGCTCAGATTCTAGGGACTTGACTGTGTAGTATACGGTGTGTGCGTGGTACTGCGCTGCGCTGTACCTGCCGATACTCCGGCCTATCCTTGGCCGCGTCACGTCGCAGGCTGTAAAAATGAAACCGTGCACCGCCACATATGTTTGACGAAGCGGCCCAAACACCGGTTGAAGGACTTTGGCGTTGAAACAAGGGCCCAACGCGTCCGAAAATAAAGCTGTCAAGTTACAGAATATTTTAGAGGGAATATGGGCACAAGTTGAATGAATCGTGGGGTTACAAGGCCAGGACAAAGACGAGAAGATGCGAGAAGGTTGTGCAACGCGTCGCATCACTACTGGCGCTAAGGGCTGGGATGACGGCGATTGACCAATGAGCAGCAGCACAGGTGGCATTCTGATCATGCGCCACTGGGCGGTGACGTCGGTTTCAGGGAAATCAAGAAGGGCGAGGGTCGTGGCAGCATCATCGCTCGCAGGCTGTGTGAAGGCATAAAGAACCAGGCTGCTGCCGTTTTGCAGCCTTCCCCAAGTCGCTCTACACAAACCTCCGCCTACAGCAACAGTTCAAAATTCGACTCTCGGTAGCGAAGACCATCTGCAGCCACATTCCATCGTACCCGCCCGTAGTCCCCTGCAGCCATCCATCGCATAGCCGTAGCGCCTCCATCACATCAACATGGTCGCTCCCGCCCTTGTACTAGGCCTGCGTGGCGTACAGGTCGTCTTCAGCATCATCGTCCTGGGTCTTACAGCCTACAGTATGTTGCATGCAGACCATCGCTGAATATGTCATTGCTAACACATCTGCAGTTGTCGATGCCTACATTGACTGGGTCCCGGCGAGCGTCGCCTTCATGCTCTTCACCTCCATCTGGACCCTCCTTGCTGTTGCATACCTCGTCCTTGCGCCAGCTCGCTTCCCTGCTGCAGCTCACAAGTTTGCCATCGGAGGTGTCGAGTTCCTGACCATGATCTTTTGGTTCGCGGCGTTTGTTGCCGTAGCCTCTCGGTGGGGCAACGCGTGGTGGGTCGGCCGTCACGGCACCTTCTACAGCTGCGGTGTTGCTGCTATCGTTTTCTCAGCCTTCAACTGGTATGTATACTGAATCTCGTCTACCCCCGAGCAATGTACTGACATATGACAGGCTTGCCTTCGTAGCTACCACTGTTCTTGCCGCGCTGCACATCCGCAGCTCACCCAGGAATGACACCGCTCCTGCGCCCAACATGGCTGGCGTCTAAACAACCATCAACTGCTGCGCATGACGGCACAAACAAGGCATTGACCTTATACCCAATGATACCCAAATATTTCCTACTCTTATGCCTCCGATCAGAATGTAATGTCCAGCGCGGCGTTTGTGTTTTGCGCGGTGCGTCCAGCTCCTGACACCACTACTCATATGATTCGAGCTCTTAAAGCATTTCGCATAATGGAATTTGTTTTCTGATGACTTCGTTGCAGATTCCAACTGAAGTTTTCGTGATTGTCGCGGCGACAGATCTAGGGCAGCTACGATAGACGTTCGCCATACTGTGGCTAGCGACACCGGCGACCAGCGTTTGGAATCATCGACTCTTGCTGTACTCTTTCCGCAGAAACCCATGCGTCTTTCGCTGCCTCTCCTCACTGACCCTCGGGGTACGGTACAGCGACGCACTACCCGATGCGAGTCATTGTGCCCTGCTGCGTGCCTCCATACGAATCACGAACAAAGCCAGCGCTTGATAGTAGTTACCTTGGCCGACTTCACACTCACGACTGCCGTTTCATTGACTTCCAGAAGGCTTCAACTCAGGTCTGCAAAACACTTCACAATGAACACGCTCTCGAAGGAACCGAGTATGCCTTGTTGAATTGCCAAATTCTGAGTACCGCTTAGCCGGGTTGCGATACGCCCGACACTTTCATAATGTTGGATCTTGATGAAGCGCCCACCACAACATCATGATTGCCCTGCATTAGGGACTAACTTATCCCGGCAAGGTCTCGGTAGCCTGGTCACTCTATCTGCGTCGCTTACATCTTCGGAGCAATCCTACGCCTCCCGTTGACGGAATGTGTACACACGGACCTTTGTACCACAAGCTCTGAAGCTACGGGCTTGGTCTTGTTGGGTGTGGGTTTATACGATTTTGATTGCCATGCTGACGTTCCAACGCGCCTCCCAAACATGATGATCCCGCATGAGACCCCACCTGTCGCTTCGGCACGTACATTACAAGTCTTTGCCGTTCTCAAGCTATCGTTTACCGCTACTCGCAGTCCCGCCTAGTGCGGGCACGTCTGGGTTATCATACGCCGACGCTTTTTCGTTCGCACCATGACACTGAATATAACCTTCACGTCCCGTCCTCGTAGTCGGCTCAGGGCGAAGTCTGACACACTGATTGTCTTACTATCCATCGATCCAGAGCCAGGCCCGAAAATTGTTCGAGTATGGCGATATTGCCTCTCAATTCACCATTCGAGATCCACGGTGTCGGGTCAATGTATGCTGGTCGGCACGAGTAGACGCTGTCTAGCTTGACGTGCTACTGCGACTCCAAGGTGCAACATGAGGACAGGTCACGTACCAAGAAACAGGTTAAACACAGGCTCAAAGATGCGCTCGCGAGCAGCAAGGCGTTTGTTCGGGCTGTTCTGAGCCTTGTTCGGTAGGAATGCAACCCGGTAATTGGAGGGAGCAAGCCCTATTTAGCCGGCTGCCAAGATATGCAGCCAACGTGCCGTGACGCTTACCCAATATAAGATGCTGGTTCGGTAATACGGTCGCCGTCTCCGCCTTAGCCTACCTAGGCTACGGAGTATCTGGGGTAAAGAGCCGGGGTAGTGGATAGTCCTTTGGCCATGCCGGATTATAAAGGGTATACCCCCAGCCTGCCCGGCCTCAAGCAGCCTTCAGCGCTTCAACACCGGCATCATGGGTCTCATCAAAGCTCAGGATGGTACTTCCGACCCCATCATCACCCGCATGGTGGAGCAGGACAAGGTGCGATGGTGGAAGAAACCGAATCTGCGCATCATGTACATCTGGCTCTTCTGCTGCTGCATGGGCGTCGAGATCACTTCCGGCTTTGATTCTCAGCTTATTGGCACGCTCCAGTTTTCGGTCCCTTTCAACACATGTAAGCTACGAACGTGGTGGCACCTAGCTCAATGGACCTGACAGTCGCAGATTTTGGAGATGGCTACAAGGACGCAGATGGCGAAGCCAGCATCGAACCCAAGATTATTGGTTTCATGTCATCATGTTACCAGCTCGGTTCCATTCTCGCTGTTCCGGTTGCACCATGGCTGAGCCAAAAGTACGGCAGACGTATGTCGATCTTCGTCGGCTCCGTCATCATGGTCGTTGGTGCTTTGCTGCAAGGGTTTGCTCAACACAGTATGTCCACAACTCCGCTAGCTACTTCGTGACGATTTTGTTGACATATCTCAAGTTGGCATGTACATCATTGCGCGTATGCTACTTGGCTTTGGTATCCTCTTCGCGATCGTCTCTGGTTCTTCCTTGATCGGAGAGCTAGCTTACCCCAAGGAACGACCCTTCATGACCTCACTTTTTAACGCTTCTTACTTCATCGGATCCATCCTTGCCGCGGCTATCTCTATCAAAACAACAGAGATGGTTGGAAACTGGGGCTGGCGTGCACCATCTTTGCTGCAGATCTGCCCGTCGGTCCTGCAGATTTGCACCGTCTTGTACGTCTCTCAATAGAAATCTTGGAAACTATTACTGACTTGGACAGCCTGCTGCCTGAGAGTCCACGTTGGCTTGTCAGCCGTGACCGCGAAGATGAGGCTTTCGCCATCTTAACAAAATACCACGCCGAAGGCGACCCAACCTCCATCCTCGTACAAGCCGAGATGGCACAGATCCGATCTACTATTAAACTCGAGATGGAACACTCCAGTCGCTCTTGGAAAGACATGGTCCGCACGGCTGGTATGCGACGTCGTGTTCTCATTTCGTGCTTCCTCGGTCTCTTTACGCAGATGAGTGGTAACACTTTGCTCTCTTACTACCAAAATCTCCTGTTCAAGTTGATGGGGTACACCTCCAAATTCGCCAAAACGCGCATCAACATCGCCAACCAATGCTGGAGTCTGATAAATGCTGTCATTATCGCGCTGGTTGTCACTCGATTCCGTCGTCGCTGGATGTTCATGCTTTCCGCTGCGTCTATGACCATGGTTTTTATGGCAATGACTATTTCCTTCCAGCGCCTCCAGCTTGCTGAGTCCCAGGGAACCAAGAACCAATCTGCGCAAATTGCTTCGCTCATATTCTACTTCGCATACTCCCCTTGCTACAACATTGGCAACAACTCCCTCACATACACCTACCTGGTCGAACTTTTCCCGTACGCTCAGCGAACCATGGGTATTGGTATTGAACAGATGTTTGGAAAGCTTGCCGGGTTCTTCTCTATCTACGTCAACCCGATTGCGCTTGACGCTATCGAGTGGAAGTACTTTGCTGTCTATTGTGGATGGATTACTTTTGAATTCTTGTTCGTGTATTTCATGTACCCTGAGACGTACAACCGCACACTCGAGGAGCTTGCTTTCTGTAAGTACAGATTGAAAGGATTATTTCCCGGGATATTGCTAACTCCAATGCAGTGTTCGAAGACAAGGAGCTTGCAGACGAGGCGGTCAGAGCTGTTGAGAAGACGGTCAACCACGGTCACATCGAGGGAACGACTACCGAGCACGGCAAGATGGAGACCACTACCATCGAGCGCACATCTTAAACTGAACCTTGCCACCATACTTGATGTAGCACGTGTGCCCAAATTCGCCGTTACTTGGCAAATATACAAAGTCTTTGCGGTCCATGATCTACGAAGCACCTGCATTGTCACATGCGCTCATGAAATTTGGTGAATCAAATGCCTAATGAACTATCTTTTTACGCCAAAGAATGATATGTGACTGAAATGGGTGGTGGGGTAGTCGCAATAAGCATTCATGCTTGTACCCAAGTTTAAAAACCACACACCCGAGTCCGTGCCGTTACAACAACCCTGGTCAATCTTTCACTGTGGGCCACTAACCGCAATCACCTTGATGGTCTTACCATATGGGTTTCCTGAATGTTCATCTTTGTCGTTGCTGTCAGCGCTTCTTCTTCTGTTGAAGCTTTGTCTACAATTAGATTGTTTGGTTGTTTGCGACGAGATCATAAACGTAGCGCAATTGTTTGCGTTATCGCAGCAATCGAAAACTTACTGGTATGAAGATTTCGATTACCTTGATACAAGCTACTCATGCCATGGTTTCTCACACTCCGAGGAAGCAGTCACTTCCTATATGATGGCAGCGCAGCGCTTCAGTATACTTGAGTAATTTTCAAGACGCGAATCGATTGCATAATTTTACATTGTGATCATCATGTTTAACATAGTTCCCCATATATACACTGTTCAAACCTCACCGCTACCACGATTGAAACATCACTGTAAAACGCAGGTATTCCTCTATGCTCCTCGATCCCTCCTCGATTTCCTCATGGCTGTATACTCGTTTAGTGAGATCTTCTTCACTGGCGGAAAAGATGCAGATACCGCAGTAGCATCGGGCAACACATCAACGACCTCATATGCCTGAGTAGCCACTGGAGTGGGCGTGGGTGGCGTGACCGAGCGTTGTGGTATCGAAACCGGTATTGGGGCTACACTGATCGTCCGCTCACTATCAGTAATCGTTCGCTGGCTATCGCTCCAGGGGGATAGATCCGGCTCGTTCATGGCCAACAGTATACGTGCGGCCTCTTTATCTTCCTTGGAGTACACAACCAGCTTGTTCAGCATTAGCATAGTGGCTGCAGCCTCTCGCTCTTTCTCGGTATGGTTCCCAGGAATGGTGTCGAACGTGCTAGCCCGGGTGTCAGTTGTATTGAGGATGGAGTTGAAACTCGAGTCACCCTCGGCAGCAGCAGCAGCATGTTTCTGTAATGAGCTCATCATTCTCGTCTTGGGAGTGATTGGTGAATGGTTCGATTTAATTAGGGCTTGATGATCGGTTGAAAAGTTGAAGGGTGGATCGGGAACTGGTGGAGTTGAAATTGAAAGTTTCCGTGGAGAAAAAGGGGAATAAGTGCAGTGTGGACCGGCTTAGGATCAGCTGCACGTAATCACTTTTCTACAAAATATAACGGAGGGTTCGTGGCGAGATTGATGGACCGATTATCATGGTGAATGGTCACTGAGCCCGCAGCGTGGAGACATAACAGGTAGGCACCAATATAGGAGAGAAAACATGGCTAGATGAAGGCTGATGGTAGACTATAGGTCTTGATTCCTATCTAAAAGAACCTACGTCAAGTGTTTTGTGAGCCAAAGCTCGTTCCAACGGCCATCTTCCGCCATCAATATGTCCACCTCTCCTTGCCTCTGCTTCATCCCTAGCTCTATCTGTTCAACCATTTGGTCAGACGCGTCAGCCTTCGGTCTGTGTCTCAAAAATTTGTAGCTTCTAGCTATCGAAGTCTTCTCTATCAGTTGACATCATTTTTTCTTCTTGCAGTTTTGATCATTTCCCGCAAGATTGAAGTGGATGAATGTTCGGATTCTCGAGATAAGGGAACGGAAAGAATGACTAGAACATACTGGTACCATAAAGGTATTCTATAAAAGCACAGTGTCGAGGTCTGAGGCACTATAATACATTGCTATGCTATTTAAAAATCTGGCTTTTACCTACATGCATGTCGCAGGTAAATACCCATCTCACTGTATTAAGATCAATTATTCTCTGCAGTCTTTGAACTAGGCTTTGGTTACTGCGGTACGATCTCCCAACCTCATAAAGTTCGTACGTCTGATGAATGCTTTTCATAGATGGATTACGCACCTACTGCTACTTCGTCATACTAGCGACTCACTATATTGTCTATCCACCCAGATTAGGCCAACTCTCACTTGGCTCTCACGACCAGTCCCGCTCGCGCCACGTACTAGGGTCACCTTTCATGGTCTTCTCTTTCTCAATGGCCCTTCCTGGGATCAATGCTGGCCAACCATCTTGTCGCCATTCATGTAATCTCCAAGACGCATGATAACCTAATGTATCATCGCTGGCCTCTATTCGAGGTTCTGCATATGTTGGATCGATGGGTAAGAGAAGGTTCTTCTGGAACACAAGGTGAGACGGAGCTGCGCTTCTTATCCCCAGTATTGTCTCGATCTTGGCTTCGGCCTCTGTCTCCACGTCGATATGATGTCCTTTTCCGTTTTTGATATTCTCAATAGCCTCGTCATACACAGCAAGAGCCGCTCTTCGATCTCTCGGAGAGCAAAGATCGCTTCTGGGGTCAATTGGTACCTTCTTGATGAAACGCAGTCGGCTGTCGCTGAGGCGACTTGAGAGGCGCGACGCACCGCCACCAACATCTGAGGGTGTACTGGCTGGTATATCTAAAGGGCCACTGTGCAGGAACTCGCTCATAGACAGAACGGTGCGTCTCGTAGGTGCATCCGCTGGTGGAGTGTTGCGTTCACCTGGAACGTAAGTACTTTTGGGCGAGTAAGACATGAATGACGTAACGCGGTAGGTCAACTCCAAGAGACAAGCGGAAGACAGTAGTATGTCGAACCGGACATATAATTTATACAGGAAGATGTAAGAGCGCTAGAGAGATGACTGACAAGACAGCGTAGTCGCTTCCTGGTGAGTGTGACTGCATAACAAACGCGCTATTCCACATTTGGAAACCAAGCAGAACCGCACGCTTCTCAGTTCAGGCTACCGTATCAGTTGCGCTGAAGGTATGTCAACAAAGCAAGGGAAAGGCGATTTAGCCTATTGATGTAAGGCGTCACAGGCCCTCTACCAAGCCATTTCGTTTGAAGGCAACTTTACCAGTTCCTTTTCAGCACCAAACGACCTACTTGCCAGACCTCGGCCAAGCAGTTTTGCGATTTTTCTGCCGAGTTTTGCGTGCCCTCCTTGCATCTATAGTGAAAGTCTCAGTCTCAGCGTGTGTTGCAGAAAGAGACGTAGTGGTTGATGTAGAAGTATTTGTGGTGGGTGCTTCAAACAAAGACTGCTGTACCTACTCAAAATAAGCAAGTTTCATTACCTAGCAGCGATACGACATACTTGAGCCGCAAGCAAGCCTTCGGAACGCTCGTATAACGAAGGCATGGCAATGTCATATTCGCGAACCCAACGCAACATCATCGGCCCTGGATAAGTGGGAGGATAGCCCTACAGTATGTAAGTCTCATGGTAGGTTAGCGGATGAGGTGACTGATTCACCTCAACCCTAAGCGGCTTCCCGCTTGCAAGGGTCTCGATTCGTTCTTTCATAATGACGTTCAATCGGCCGTAGAAACAAGGTGCTATAGTCATAGCGTCCGCGCCTCTTGCTGTGATCTCAAGTAATTCTCGTTGTAACTCCATGATATCTTCGTGTAGACCAAGGAAGAGCAAGAAGAAGTCGTTGCAGTCTTGCTGGGTAGGCTCACCTGCGATACACTATCAGTATGATGGGGGAAAAGGATGTATGTTAAGGAAGGGCTGCGCACCGTACTCAGCTGCATAGATAGCGTCAATTTCGTGCTGAGACAGGATACTGAATCGACTATCGCGGACGCGGAGTTGCTGTTGAAGCTGAGGGAGCGGATCAGCTGTCTCGATTGCGCTGTTGTGGCGACAACTCGACATGGTGCTTGGTTGGCGCGCGGGAGATCTGGGATACACAAGATAAGTACGCGAGCCGCACGGAAGTTTAGAAGCTTTCAAGGTGAACCTGAGGTTGTACTCAGAATGTTGTGGGGCTGATGGTGTAGCGTACTTTACAAGACAGAGTTCACTCTCACCAAGTTCCCCCAGTAACCACCTATTCGCACCCCTCTCATCTCAAGCGTGTTCAGATATGGCGGTCAGCTTCACAGAAGAAATCGGAAGAAAAGAGATGAGACAGGGAACGCGACAGCACCTCTCAGGCAGCGTGCCTGCTGGGGACGCTAATCGTAGTTCATCCATCCTGGTGCATGCATCAGAATAGAGCAAAGTGCAGCAATTCGTCTCCTCCTCAACCATCCTTGAGTATACACTGACTTTACGACTCTCTGTTGAATCACCATCGGCGTCTTGTACAATGACTAGTTTCCGTAAAGATTGACCTAGCACGAATACCTTCCACGCTGCCTGAGTCTTGGCATGGATAGTATGCAAACGAGCTTGTCAATTTAGAGATCGCGTCCCACGAGCACTTTGTCGATCTTGTGATGAAGAAGAGGCTAAAAGAGTTGCTGCCGCTGCCCTCTCGGAAACATACGCTCTTCAAGTTGTTAGCTTACGGTTCAATCTAGCGAAAAGAAGGTTTGGAAGTGATAGACATTTGGCTACCCTTTGGTAGACATTTCTGGTAAAGTGTGCACCTTCCAGCAACCACAGCACAGATTGAGGTCAGTGTGCAACTTATCGTACGGCACGCTTTGCATGTAGAAGCGGCAGTCTTTTCGGCTTTGAACATGATGATGTCGTACTGAAACATAGTTGCCCATAGCAGGGCGTTCCGATTCCAAGTTTGTTTAGTATCTCTTTCTATTCGCAACAACAGCGCTTTGGATGCGATCGACCGAGCCATGCTGGGTCTGTGATGTGCGCGTCCGCTGCGGGTTTACCAGGTATAAGGGCTGGCCGATCGTTGTCTTCCAACGATCCCTCGGTCCTCTAGTCACAGGAATCACGAATATCAACAGAATTGACGGCTCGCGGTTTGGAAGACTGGTAGAGAGTGTGGCATTGAAGGTAGTCGTTGCTCGAGCCTAACTGCTAGACGTCACCGTCGGAGATTGCCCGCTTTTCCTCCGATGCATCGCCAAGATGACAGGAACGCCTCATGAGGCGTCTGTCACAATTAGATTTCAAGTCCTGGAGGACTAATATCTTCTGACTATCATGTTTGCTGTATTGAATGGCATGCTGCTCTCGTATTCCCACGACGCGTGTCCCTCAGCGACCAGAAGGCTGCGCCACACCAGGAATGTCTACGCGCGTCTCGGTCGGGTCTAGGCTTGTCGCATCCCCTGAGTGCGGGCTGACGTTCGCAACGCGCTTTTTTTGACATCGGGCCACTGCGATGGGGTGAAACACGTTTTGGACATCTGTACATCTACGACATCGATCTTTGTCTGCTCCTCTAGCTACTAGACTGACAGATGCTACGCAACCGACGCTAGCGACCATGTCGTCTTCTTACCGGAAGCACATGCCGCGTCCGGCACGCCTCCTCTTCAGCGTCCTGCTCATATACGGCTTCTTCTGGATCAAGGGATGGCCTCGCACATACGACGACGAAGAACTCCCTCCGAGCAAGCGGCCGCAGCAAGAATCGAACCTCGGCCCATATCTAGTCGACCATGACCAGCTCGTCGTCGCCGTTACCACGACCGCGAACAACGTGTACAGCAAAGTCGCACCCCTCATCCTCAATACCGACGAGCGAGACCATGGCACGTTCCTGCTCTTCTCAGACCTACAAACGGAGATTGGGAGGTGGCCGGTATTCGACGTCATCTGGCGGTACGGATCCGAATTCATAAAGAAGACGGAGCAGCTGGAGAGATACCGTGCTCAGGTCGACTTCGCGCGGAGGAGCATACCCCTGACCAACTTGAAGAAGCCGGACCCGGAGGAAGAAAGGAGAGACATGGAAATACTGCACAAGTACAAGATCCTGGAGACTATGGCATCCGCGTGGGAGTACCGACCAGACCGCAGCTGGTACGTCTTCGCTGGCGACGAGACATACATCAACAGGCCAAACCTACTCGACTGGCTGAGCCAACACGACCCGGATGCAATGCATTTCTTCGGAAATCCGCCAGCGCCTGCAACGGCGCTTGTCCCCGACCCTTTCGCTGCCGGCGGCACATCTTTTATTCTCTCGCGGCAGGTCATGCTGGAGTTGTTCAAGAACCGCAAAGATTTCATCCAAATGCGGCGGGAGCACATCTCGGAACATACAACAGCATTCGATCTCGTTTCCAGCGCTCTGCAGGCCGAACTCAAGCTTGAGTTTACTGTTGTTTGGCCAGGTATCTCTGGCTTCGATCCGAGCACCGTGCCATTCTCGCCTGCTATATGGTGCGAGCCCGTCTTGATGATGCACCACATCACCCCAGACCTCGGCATCGATCTGCTCAAACTCGAGAAGGACCGACCTTCCGACCAACCCACCCTACGCTTCGCTGACCTTTGGTACCGCTTCATGACCCCAGAGGACCTGAACTACACGCGTGATGACTGGGACAATCTATCCTCCGAGTCATCCAACGGACGATGGAACATCCTCTTCGAAGGCCAACACCCCGATGCCGACCGAGCTCAGAACGGGGAAGAGTCGCCAGAAGCATGCCAGGCGTCCTGTGAAAACAGCAAATACTGCGTCCAGTGGTCCTACTCGTCGATACTCCAGTATAACTGGAACGACAATCCACCGACTAAGTGCCATCTTAGCAGCAGTATACGCTTCGGAGCGCACAAAGGTCCACAAAAGCTGAATATTGACGGGGAAATTAGCACGCTCACTTGGAAGAGTGGGTGGAAAAAGGACAAATTCAAGAAATGGGCGAAGCAGCAACGGTGTAAGGAGCAGCATCAGTAATTCGAAAGTATTGTCATACTCAGCGTTTCAGCGATATTCATATTCAAAAAAAAATGTCGACCAAAAGTCGGGTTCCAGATTCTTCTTAGGCCATTGTTCTGTGCATCTTGGCCTCATTCTTCTTCTACACGCTATCTCATTAGTCCTTGTTTGATGTCGATTGCTAATTGCGTAGTTACATGTTTCCTAGGCTTTATCGTATGTCCAGCAAGTTTCAAGACAATTGCCTGCAAGCGATTCACTATATAACCCGGTATGACGCTCAAACACTTGTAGAGCCACGCCTGAAGTACAAACCTAACCTGCACCAATGTTAGACGCTGAAGACGGTGGCGACGCACGACCTCGACATGATGTGAAATGAAGCCTTACACCAGGCAATACGATGGTTGCGAGGAAGTGAAAAGTGTACACTGCATGCAGTTTGCAATTATGAAGTCTTGAGCTCAACGCCCCAAATGTCCGCATCATCATTGTTGCTGCCGTGCCTTCGAACACAACTATATTCACTGCACATGGCACTGATATAAAACTATTCTGGAATTATATTATTCTTTCTACATATCTTCACACAAAGTCAACTCACCATGTCTCAACCGAACTCGAAAGACAATCGCGCCCGGCTTCCCGAAGCCGCCCACGAAGATACCCCTGGCATTGCTGGAGATCAGGCACGCAGCCAGGCTCCCCCTTACGCGTACGATCATGGCATCCTAACAAACTATAACCTTGCAGCGTCATATACAACTGTTTATGGTATGTTGAAAGATCGAGAAAGACGTTAAACAAGGCACTGACGATGCATGTGCAGGCGACTCGGCTGACAGGGATTGGCAAGACGTTGCTCTACTGTTCGCCAGTACGCTTCTGAAGGTCAATGCGTTGAATGAGGCGCTCCATCACGCCTCTCAAGCCAGGAATGCACACGCTTTCGCTTTGTGCGATGACTTCGTCCGCAACTTCGATAAGTGCCTTCAGGATCGCATCTTAGCCCTCGCCCATGGCGAAACACATGACGTTCTGGTATGTATACTTATCAAATGTATCACCTTGATCGCTACTAATGCAGCCAGGGTCATGAGCGTCTGCCCGGAGCAAGCATGATGCGCTGGGCCTCAAAGAACGCTTCAAAGACTAAAGTGGAATCTTCCACTCAGACCGTAGAAGACGACGGCTCCGTAAGCTGCCATCACTCGTGTTATACCCTGCTATCACTGACCGATTCTAGTCACATTCGATTTACGAGGTCACAGTACATATTCCACACCCTGATAATGAGTCTCCTCGCAGGGAGCGTTCCCGTATCGTGCCTGTTGAGAGCACAGGCACTGAAACTGTCCCTTTCAACGATGACCAGTTCAGCACCAAGCAGGGGATATAGATCAGTATGGGCTGCTCTAGCAGGATAAAAGCATTGAAAGTAGCCTCACTGATATAGCGGCGAAATCAAACTTTGCTATACCCAAAGATAAAAACACTACGTATTGGCGAAAGGGTTCCTGCGCTGTGTACGTTGAGCGAACGGAGATCGATGCTGATGTGACCGAGAATGAGCGAGTGCGGAGAAGCCATCGCGGTGGAAGTCAGGTCGTTTCCAGGGCATGTCGTTGACAGCGATAGGCGCGTTAAAAGCGTCGGGGAAGGTCTCTTCCGCTACGTCGATGGTCCATTCCAAGTTGTGGGCGCCAGATGGCCTTGTTTCCACGCTTTGATCAATTGTATAGGATATGTCGTTGGCCCAAGTTGTGTTCAAACGGGAGATTGACGATAAAAAAAAAGTAAGAAAGCTCAGACAGCTCATTGGAGATGAGTGTGTGTTGCGTTTCAATTGCGATGTCATCGCCACGCTTGGTACAAATGGATCGTGAATGCGCGCCTGTAGAAGCATGGTTGATCCAACAGGCAAAAGGAAAAAAGAGCAAAGAAAAGTGAAGCCTAGTGGTGAAGTCACAATTATGGATGACGAGGCGCCTGCATTGATCTGTCGTCTCTCCAACACAGGTACACCGATGCATAGAATCACCAGCCGTCATGTCTTTAATGCAACCATTTTTGGCGCGTGGAGGTTGTCGGGTACGCGTCTACGCCACTGCACGTGTTCTCGCTTGTGCGAGCCGGCCGCTTGGTCCTTCCCTGAAGGATCGACGCTTCTGGGACCTTCAGGGCTGCATCTTTTCAGCCTTGTTATCGATACTACCTCATCACGGGATTCTGGGTCATCACGCAGACGAGCTCGCGCGAGGTTTAACGTTTCCTTGCATGCCTCATCACAGGCTGTGAGTGTGGGACTGGAGCGTCCAGCGGCGCGCGGCCAGACGCGCCGCGCGATTTGGAACAACAAAGGTCCGTGATCCCTAACAAACTGACCTGACAATGGCCGCACGGGAAATTCGTTTTGAAGGATCATCTTCGCAATCCTCCATCTCCACAAAACCCCGAAAGATGAACCTTCATGCTATTTCAATCCTGATGGCCAAATACGGCGCCGATACCTATCTCAATGCACTGCCATCAGCAGGTTCCATGACCTGGATAGAACCTTCAGTAGGAGAGGAACCTCCAATTCTGGTGATTGGCAGCATAGGCAACCGCAACGTGCTTGCTTATCTGTTGCCACGTGGGGATGGCACTAAGGATGTCCGCTATTGTCTGAAACATATTGGCGATGAGAGTCCGCCCTCGCCATCGGAGCAAATCACTTGTGAAGAAGTCTTGCAAAAGCCTCTTGTCGCACCGTTCAAGCATTTGGTTTGCGGGTCAAAGTTCAAGAGGCGGGTGCTTAGCATGGTGGTCCGGTATTACTTTCTGTCGCGAGGCTACCTAAGCAGCATTGATGCTTGGAACGACGACTTTGGCAAGCGATTCGCGACTATGTTGAGGAAGATGTCCTGGACTTCCAGTGGAGGACTGCCCCTCCATAGGACCGTGGAGGAAAGTCCAGAGCCGGAAGATGGAGATAGTGCGTATGGCTTGCTATCAGATAGCGGAAATGGCGAGCCAAACAAATCTAGGAGCACTTTCGTGGAGCAGCAAAGCTCTGCGATGGGAATTCAAGATCGGTGGAACAATGAGGCAAACCCGGATCTACATCGCCTGCGAGAATTCCTCGATGAACACGACTCGTTGTATCTTCTAGACAACATTCCTGATGCTGAAGATGTCAAGTTTGTGGATCAGACATATATTCTCGAAGCGCAGCCCAAGAAATTATTTATAGGAAGCCATACAAAGTCAGGAGACGACATATATGCGTACATGGTGCTGCTACAGCAGCGTGGCTTCCATGAGATCCGATTCTACGTGGAGAGTGCCCACGGACACAAGACGATAATGTCTGCCGAGATCACAGGCAGGCAGCGTATATTGCATCCTTTCAGTAAGACATACCCTAGGAACACGGGACCCTGCGAACAAGCTGATAGGGCTCGATTCACGCTTATGGTAAAGTGGTACTTTATCGCCGCCGGAATTGCAACGGATTGCGTCTTAGAAGAGACCAAGAGTTATCCTGGGCGTTTTCACGCAGCACTAGGATACATTGCTGATCGAATGGGGTCTGCTGCCGTCAAATCCTCGAAACCCGTTGCGAACAAGGATGCTATACCAAATGATGCTACACCAGATGATGCTAGTGAAAGTTCCTACGTTCCAGAAGAAATCGACGTCCAACCTACACCGCCCCGCGAACCACCACCCAAGGGACTTCGTCTCCCAGGCACTATTACTCGTAAATCGGCTCCCAGCAAGCCACCATCACAACCAACGCTCAGGAAGAGCTCGTTCACAATGACGTCTACCTCCGAAGAAACTTTTACGTCCGAGACCCCGCCACGCGGCGCTAAGCGCTCAGCCGAAGACGAAACATTCGAAAGTCTCACTAGGCTAGTCATGAAACAGCATAATCTTACCAAACACCTGAACGACGTCGATCACGATCTGGAAGTTATGGATGCCCGGTTTGAAGCCTTCAAAGAAAAGTGGGAACGAGAGCGTGCCGAGTTGGAAAAGAAAAGAGACAAGATCCAGGAAGAAAGGAGCGCTGTGAGGAACACGTTCAAAAAGCAGAAGTTACTAGATATCGAGGACTGATGAGCGTTTAGTGGATTTATCCTTTTTGCGAAAAGGTTGGCATATCAGGATAATGAGGACTTTGACTGACATGAACCTAAAATAGGCGGGTGTTTAAACTCAATATTAATACAGAAATCTTTACATGTTACATTGCATCGGGGTCTCAGGGTCATTGGGCTTCTCTCACGGACCTTCATGTCCTAACTTGCTGCGTTCGCCGAACAAAATTCATCAGCCGACAAGTACTTAGTCTTATATTCGACTCGTCCAGCCCAAGCACGCTGCGGCAACAGGTCCACATACATATGCCCATCGCAAACAAACCGGAGGATATGTCTTTTAGGAAGCGACTACACCGCTTGTTGACGTAAACAGCGTTACTTCCAGGCATGCATGCCAAGACGGAATATGAAGAGCAGTCAGGCACGCGGAAAATCGCCAGAAGAAGAATGGAGACGCCACTCACATCGTTGTTGATCTATGATATTCACCGCCAGCTCTTAGTAACTCTGCGTCTTATGCAACGCCCAAGGAAGCAAACGCTCCACGATGCCCTAAGCCTACAGCTGCTCGACAGATCCGTCGTTCCGCGGCCTGGAACATGGGTCTAGAGCAAACGCAGCTCGCGGTGATGCTGAATCTGATAACTGATGCGTCATCTGGAAGAGCGTTGATAGCAATTCGAGGTCACCTCGAGATGCAGTCACCACGGCTTTGTTACGCTAATCAAGTCAGTCTCGTATGACCTTCGTCTTCGCCTTTATTTCATCCAAAAGTCTCTTTCTGTTTTGCTCAGCTCCATCTCAGCTATGTCCTCCCCACATGGGAAATCCCAGAAGGCTCCTATCGTAGACATTAGTGACTCATCAAGCCAAGCATCTGAGGACAACGTTCTCCCAAGAGAGCCTCCAAGGACAAATCGCGTCGCCCTACACTACGCTGCCGAGAATCCAGACAAGCCAGATGCGAGGGCGAACGGCCAGTACGGAATGTTCTCGCAGTGCAGCCCGCTATCCTCGCACTTGCCGACTAAGACGCCAGCGAAGCGTAAGAGGGTATCCGGTGGTAACAAGGAAATGAGAAATGCTGGCAGATTGAAAAAGAATAAGAAACCAGAGATGAACAAGATGTCAAGAGAAGAGAGCCCGCTATTCGAGCCAGAAGAGGGCTGGGGTGCGCAGATACGGGACGATATAGATGCCGACGCTCTCATGTTGAGTCCACCATCGACACTAGCTTCTGAGAACCGCCTGCCAATGCGCAAAAAGAGTCGAAGTGCTGCTGTTACTATCCGTACCAGTCGTAGCAAGAGACCATCCGTCATCAAAACTAAACCTTCGAGCTTTGAATCTAACTGCGACTTTGGTTCTAATGCCAGTTCCAACATCGTCGTCTCGACGAAACCCTGCCCTGTCATGACAGCGCCTTCGACAAAGCCCGGTTTCACAACCAAGATACTGAAGGGATTCCTAGACAGCTCGCCTCTGTCTGGAGACTACTCTCTCATCGATGAATACATCGACGTTCTCAACAAGTTAGCCGCTCAAGATGCTGCGAGCGGTTCACGCAAACGATCGACCGACGAGCTCGAGAACGAAGAAGCCACTATTACGCTCGCTATTGGAGGTCTTCCCGCCGAAGAGAAGCAGCATCTTGCCGCCATTGCTCAAGCTTGTGCTAAGGGTATTCAGGCTGACATGGCAACTTTGAGCATAGCTACTGATATGTCTGCCATTCAAGCGGCCATAGAGACACGCAACAAGGAAGCTGAGGTTTCGCGTCAGAGTGTGCTTGGCATGATGACGAAGAGAGCAGAAGAGCTACGTACGGAACGACTGGACATGCGCCGCAGAAGAGAAGCCGCGTTGGAGGAGTGGGAAGTAAACTCTAACATTGACACCCTATCGCTACAGGAGACAAAAGAGCGTTTGGAGAAAGAGGGTAGTATAGCCGTGGCGGTTGAGCTTGGTAGAAGGATAGAAAGATTAGAAAGCGCTGAGTCAAAGAGGAATTGAAAGGCTTTGGCTAAGGTTCGGCCGTATCTGTACAAGGATCTAGTGGAGATGAGGCCGTTCGGTCCTAGAGGCTTCTCAGCCCAAGCAAGGACTATCTATGAGATAACGTGCCATGTATCTATCAATCAACAACATCTAGTCACAACAAGTTATATATCATCCTTGAACACCTTGTGAGAATCTAGGATAACATCATAATGAGTGGCCAATTAGATAGCATAGTCACGTTCAACAGATACCATGGCAACAAATAGGCTGTAATATAGAAATTCCTGAGTATACGAACAGACTAATGACCCCACTGAGCATTCCTTTGAACTGTCATACTCTCTCATAGCCCCCTTATAGAACGCCTTGTAACAGATGCTAATGACTGCAAACAAAGGAAAAGAAAACGCGTCGCTCATCAGAGCACGCATACTACACATGGCTAAGCTAAACCTCTATCTCAGTCTCAGCCTCGGCCATGACCTGCTCTCCCTCATCCAACATATCCAAAACCCTCTTCAAACCACCAACCATGTTATTCGCCTGGCCCACCAACAACAACTTCTCCGCATTCGCCGGCAGACCCAGATAAGTAGGTGGCTCACGCTCAGGAAGGTCGTTGACCCAGCCCATGAATTCCTTCCAGCTGGTCGTGCTGGGTAGTTCAAGGCCGTCGCTATGCTCAGTATCCTTAACAATCTTGAAGTTGTCTTCGAATGCAGCGGGCGTCATGCAAGCGTCGACGAGAGAAGCGAGTATACGCCAGTCTTCTGCGTCGTCGATCTTGCCGCCGTACATCTCAGTGATGAGGATGCGGAGCATCTCCCATGGGATCTTGGTGGGGGCGATGTTGGATCGACCTTGCGCGACAGTGTCGATCCATGTGTCGATGATGAAACTGCAGCATTCGTAGTCACTGTCATTGAACTCCCAGAAACCCTTCCATCCCAGTGTCGGTGCGTACCGGAGACGCTCTTGAATGACCGCATGGAGGAAGGACAAGAGAAGGTAGACACGCGCCTTCTCCACGGGTTGCTTGTTAGCCTTCTCGGCCAAAGAAGATAGCGAGTCCTTCATGTTGGCGCGAACTCCAGCAGGCTGCTCGTAAGAAAGAACACGAGAGGCGCGAAGAAGGTTGACTGGGATCTTTGGACTGGATTCCATGGACAGGAAGAGGCGGAAGTCAGGGTTGGGCTTGAGCGCTTCGAGACGCTTCTCGAGTGATTGCAACCACTGAGGAGCAAGATGCACGTTCTTGACAAGAACCCAGTTTCCAGTGGTGGCGGCGTTGGCGATAGCTTTGTCGGCTGACGCGGCACCTTCGTTGGAACCCATGGCAATGTTGGAGCAAATGACTTGTTCCCTCTCTACAAGATTGTCGACCTTGTAACTTGCGTCGAATCCAGGGCTGGAGCTGAGCGCCACCGGTGTGACCGCGTTGACTTGCTTGACGATATCGCCCAGATCACCACTTGCGTCTAAGATACCCTTGCCAAACACTTCAGTAACGAAACGCTCAACAGCGGGCACGAAACGGTCCACACGGAATAGCTTGACCAGGACAAGAGCTCGCAGGAGCTTGTCGAATTTGGCCAGATCTTCTGGCCAAGCCTGCGGTACGTGTCGTTCTCCCATCTCTTCGTTGAGGAAAGCATCCCACGCGCTATCTTTGATCTTCTCCAACTCCTCCTTGAACATTGGAATCTTGCTCGCACGCTCCATGGCCTCTTGTTTGCGTTCGGTCTCGGTTGATACGTCAATACCCTTGAGGTCGGGATCGAGAATTTGGTCGATATGTGTCTTGTCCATCTTGTAGGGCGCTGCTTGCACGAGAAGCATGGCAAATGTGACACGGTCCTTCTGTAGCAAGGAAAGCGATGTGCGACGGTATGCATCCACAAAGAGCTCGGTGACAATCTGCTCGATACGAGCAGCATGGCCCGTGATAGAACCGTTACGAACCTTGCGTAGCACAGTCTCGAAGATCTGAGTAAAGTATTGGAGCGAGAACTGGTAGAAGTGGTTGAGATGATGCAGTTGCTCCAGCACAGCAAAGATAGCTGCGCAAGAACGAGCTACCACAGTGTACTCCTTGGTAATGTTCTCCACCTCGGTCATAACACCAGTGGTCTCGGAAACCTTGTCCGAAATGTCCTTGGCCTCCTTCTTGAGTGTCTCGAGCGTTTCGATGACGCGGTCGTCATCCAGAATGTTGCCACGCGACTCGTTGAGGGCTTGGAGCAACCGCTTCTCGAGCTGACGAAGATGGACCGCAAACTCTCCTTGCATCTTAATGAGGTTAGATCGGCGCTCATCGACATCGGGGCGCTCGGATTTGAGGACTTCATTGAGCGTCTGTGTTTGCAAACTGCTCTGCGTAACTGTGAAGTTGACAAATGTGGTACGACTGCAGATATCAGGAGCGAAATTGGCCGAGGGATCGCGTGTCGAGAGGTACAAACGGAAAGACGGCGAAAAGTCAATCTCCTGCTTGCCAAGTTGAATAAGCACACGACCTCCAGTCTTCTGGTATTCCTTGTTGAGGACGTGGTTGAGAATAGGGTCCAGATGTTCGGCATCCTGGATCAAGATCGGGTTACCGAAACGCAAAGAGCTCTCGAGCTGCTTCGTGAATGAGTCATCCAGGAAACTGGTCACTGTGAGACGGCGGTCCTTGCATTCATTCTGCAAGAACTCTGTGGTCCTACCAGAAGGATCGATGATCAGCGGGTAACGGTTGAACCTCTCGAGAATGATGGCGTTCTCCGTACACAGGTCATCCACTGGTAAACCATTGTGTTGCCAGTTCAGGCGGTCATCAGCAGTCGATAGATACTCCGTGAATGGGTTTGTTGGCTTGAAGCTGATTCCAGAGTGCTTGAGATGATCATACCAATCTTCTGTAAGAGCTTTCCTGTACTGCTGATCGTAGTAACCGGCATAGGCGATGAATGCAGCCGCAACTAAGACGTCGCCGACGATAGTATCGATCTGAGAGTCGAATGACTTGCTGCTCTCTTCCCATCGAACACGTTCAGAGGACAAGCTGTCGAGAAGGCGTACACTGCGATCAACCTTGAATTGAACGGTCGACATCTCCGTCTTAATGGCCTGGGTTTCGCTGATCAGAGCGGCGTATTCGGTCTTGTACCGGCCGATACTCTCCTCGAGGTTCTGGATGAGGAGCTGGGTCTCCTTCGCACCCTCTTCAGTCTTTTGTAGCTCCACTTGAAGCTGATCGACTTCAGCACGTAGGGGTCCGACTCGGTCGAGAATATCTGAGTAGGTGACTTGAGCAGACACCCACTGTACGAGAGGACCACAGGCTTTGGAAGCGCGGTTGACCTTCTCGAAAGTAAAGTCCTCTTGAGAAAGGTATTCCTTCTGCATCTTCCTACGATGGGCTGCTGTCATCTGCCTCTCGTTGTCGAACTGCACGATACTGGCGATGAAGTCGTCGCGCCTGACAATGGAAACAATGGTCTTCCAGCTGTCGGGCTTATGTCCAAGAATTGTGCAGACAGCTTCCAGCGCAAGCTTGACACCAGCGGGAGGGTTCTGCATAGATCGAACTTCAGTCAGATGTTGTCGCTTGATGTTCTGCACACTCTTCTGTGCCTCCAAAACAGCCGGCTCGGCAGCTGCCAAGTCATGCTCTACCACCTCTTGTCGCTTCTGAATCTCTTCCTTGTCCTTGGCAAGTTGCGCTTGCATCTTGATCGACCCAGCCTTCTTCTGTTCCGCCTCGTTCTGATCCGCAATCATGCGTTGCAGCTTTTCATTTGCTTCAGCATCCTTCTTAGTAAGCTGTGTTTGTTTCTCGGCAAGGCTTGCTCGCAGTTCCTTGACCTTGTCGAATGTCTCGCGAAGCTTCTCCAGACCGACGTTGAGATGGCGCTGCTGCTCCTCAAGGTCCTCGCGCTTCTCGTTGTAGAGCTTGACATACTGTGCAACAAAGTCCAGGAAGTGACGCGGCGTGAGGTACATCTTCCTGTTTTGTGTCTTCTGCAACTTCGCGTTCTTGCTACGTAATGAGTGGTGTACTGCGACCATGGCGTTCACCACGCTCTCGCGATGAGATGGTGGGAGGGTAAGTCCACGATAGGCGACTGGAATGCTATCTGGCGCAACGTAGTTTGCGCGGTCGAGATCGACAGACTGTGTAAGCTCGGAGCTGACTTGGTACAGAGCCTGATCAGACCAGTCTCCGAACCAGTTGAGCACGCAACGGTTGAAAAGAGCGGGACTGGTAGCTGCCTTTGATGACAGGCCTTCCTCGGGAGGGTTCATAGTGAACACCACGTGGAGGTTCTTGACAATCTGCTCCGTGAACCACTTGTACAACTCTTCCTGTGAGTCGAGAATGATACCTTGTCGCTGCGCACCCTCTTTGATAGCAGTAAGCAGAGAAGCATACTCATCACCCTCAAACAGACCAGGAACCTCCGCGTTTGCCAAGAGGGTGTTCATGCGTTCGAGGAAACCGGAATCAAGAACGTTAGCTTCGTCCATGATGAAGCAGATCTTTTCGCCCTTGCAACCGCATCGTCGAAGAACAGTACGCAAGTCTTCGTCGAAGTCTTCGCCTGAGTACTTTCCGTGAACCTTGATCTGGTAGACACTCAGACCGTTCATCCAGGCGACGAAGCGCGACAGTGTCGTCTTTCCGGAGCCGCTGACACCGATAAGGATAAGATGACCTTGTGGTTGACGGAAGACACGGTCGATGCGGAGAACATGCTCGAGCACGTCATTGAACAGAATGAGTGGTACGTCCACCTCTTCCTCGCAGAAGGTTCGGAGACGAGCCTTGACAAACTCTCGGAGTTGCTCGCGCTCAACCGGCACGTAATTCTTGGATAGCCAGTTGGAGAAGAGGATGGGGCCACCGAGAGCTTTCTCCTCGTCGATAGTAGGGAAGTGTTCAGCCGCGATACGGTGGACGCATTCTTCGGTCCATTGTCTCTCTTCTTCTGCGATAAGTCGATCCTGGAATAATCGTAGTGCTTCATGTGCCCAGATACGGACAAGGCCTTCAATTGGCAAGCTCTCAAGTGGTCGTAGAGCCTCATAGATACCACGTACCCATCGAGTAAGCTCACGGGGGGAGTAAACATAGTGTGGTTGAATGTCTGGCGTGAAGCGCTTTTGCGACTCTGCGTAGAGTTGTACCATGGCCCTGGTAAGAGCGTCTGCATATCCTCGTAAAGTCGGGATGATCTTGAGCACGGCAGTATTGAAGGTACCGTAAATCTGCAGAAGCGATTGCTGTCCGGGGTAGTCGACCATAATAAGCGGAGCATGACGCAAGAACCTGAGTCCCATCGGCGTACGCCCAGCATCTGTGGGAGGGTTACAAGCGCCAACGAATTGTATGCGATCTAGAGTAACCCAAGTCTTGTCAGACGTCCTCCAGAAACCGTTGTGCTCAACCAGCTGTCGCAAGAAGGAGATCGCTCGTTGAGTACCGTACTTGTCGGGTGCAGGCAAGTTGATCTCATCACAGAAGATTACTAGCCAACGGCCAACTTGAGTAGGCGTAAGCTGAACACCATTGAGAGTCTTCTTGTACTCGCAGTATTGCTCGAATGTCTTGATGAGAAGATCCGGTGTAGTCGCACTAGAGAAGTTGAGACCTACAACCTGCATGTTGGGTAGCTTTCGGAGTGCGCTGAACAGTGTCATGGTCTTTCCGGAACCTGGAGGACCGCAAAGCAAGAGTGGCTTGTGCTCTGCGAGCCAAGAGTAGAGAACGTCCTCGTGACGGACCGTGTCCAGCGTCGGAATAACCACATCAGTCTGAGTGACGGAATGGGTGTTGACCTCAACATTCGGTACCTGACTCTGCCAAGTATCCCATTCTGGCTTGTCAGGCTTGACATCGTAATCGATGAGTGAAGTAGATTCGTTGAGGGTGGGAAGCTCGACGTCGGTGAGGCCAGCGATAAGGTCTCCAAATTGCTTGCGCTCCATCAGAGGGCAATCACCAACCAATGCCCACACCAAAGCGATAAGCATCTTCTTCGCTAGATAAGTCTCCATCTTGTCATCCTCAAGAGAGAAGTCCGGGTGCTGCACATTGTACTCTAGGACATTGCGACAAGCCTTGTTGAGCAGAGAGAACAGCGTGTTGAGCGCACGAATGTCGGTGTACTCCATGATGTGCTTGAACTTCCTAGCCATGCTGAGGGCTTTCTCAATAAACCGATCCTGGGTGAGCTTGATGTGCAGGAAGTCGGCGATTAGACCCTGGGTGGTCATTGTCTTCTGAGACATCTGACCTGGAGCAACCGAATCGTCTTCAATATCCTCAAACGGCGTAGTCTTGAGGTGCTCAATGTAGTTCTTGATCATCATATCGACCTCCACAGTGTCGTCGCTGAACCAGACCATACCACAACGGGAGACAGTGGCAAGAGTGGCGTACTTCAGGGTCTCAACTTCGAACATGATGCGAACGTTAGACGGCAAGTTGAGACGCTCTCCATTTGGCAGGGTGAGGAGCTTGTTATCGTCGAGCACGGAATTCAAGTTCTCGACCCACTCGGGGTCAACATCTCCGTCGAATACAATCCAATGGCGCTTGGTGTCCTCACCACGGAGGTTGTCGACAATTTTGCGCAGTATACTCGTGAAGAGACCATCGGTCCATTCGCGAGTAGTGCTGTCAAGAGTTCCATAAAGCTGCTCCTTTGACATGACCTTGGGATCAATGACGTGACAGACGCCTTCTACACCCTCCACGGCTTGAAGAGCGGAAAGAAGGGTCCTCCAGGCCGCAGACTTTCCGGATCCGGAAGAACCGACCATCATGACACCGTGGTGCAACTTCTGAATCTGGTAGAGTTGAATGATCTTGGTCATCCAAGAATCACTGACCACGAGCTTTGACTCAGCGGCGCACTTGTGAATAGCCTCAGTCAACTGATCAAGCGGAGCAGGAATGTACTCAACACCAGGGAATGACTCTTCTTGGATGGCCATCATGAGCTCAACATCAGAGCGAATGAGCTTTGGTGCCATGGTCTCTCGCAAACTCTGGATGATGATTTGAGGCTCCATGCTCGCTTCGTCTAAGGTCTGAGAGTCTTGCTGAGCAGCGATACGAGCTCGCTTCAAACCACCAGAGCTAACAAGTACACTCTTCAATGCACGAAGACCAAAGTCGTAATGAGCTTGCTTGGAAAGACCCCCTGAGCACCTGTCGAAGAATGGTACGACTTGTTTCGATAACTCCTTGGCCTGAGAGAAACCTTGGGAGTAGAGCATAACCTCTGCAATAAGTTCCTTGTCGGGCTTGGACATGGCGATACTTCGGAAGAGCTTCTTGAGATTGTCAGGCAAGTTCGATCGACCCGCGTAACCAGGGTTCATGGTAATGAAGACACCAGTGTTGCCGTTGACTTTCAATTGACGACCAATAAGTTCGATCTGGGACTTCTCATCCTCAGCACCCTTCTTGAGACCCAGCTGGATGTTCTGGATCTGCTGCGACACAGCTGAAAGAATACGCTCCTCCAAACGGTTGAACTCGTCGAAACAACCCCAAGCTCCGACCTGACAGATACCAAGGAAGATACGACCCATGGCCTGGAAATCGAATGTGTCGTCACAGCAGAAAACTAGGGTAAATCGTCCAAGTTGTACACCAAGAGCTTTGACAGACTCGGTCTTTCCAGTACCAGCGGGACCGTATGGTGAGCCACCAAGTCGTTGGCAGAGCGCCTGTGTGAGGGTGAGGAAACAGCGATCGGTAAGAGGTGTGCGTACGAGGCGGTCCGCAACACCCAAGTACTCAAAGCCGTAGTCGAGGACTGCATTTGCCATCTTGATCCTCAGTCGCTGTAGTAGATCATTGCCAGGCTCATATACATATCGCATGCACAGTAGCCACATGTGGTGGGTGGGTGAGCGAGCGCCAACCTTCTCAAGCTTGTGGATGACATCTCGCTGGTGAACGAACTCGGTGATAAGATCCTCGCATTTACGGCGTTGGATGGGTTCAAGATCACCCAAAACAGCCGTAGCGAGCAGCTTCAAGACATTGACTTGTTTCTCATACAACTGAGGCAAGGTCGTTCCCTCCTCAGCGAGAGACTTCTCCACAGCATGAGTCCACGCAATTTGCGTTCCAAGGACGACCACTTGGGTAGGGTACTTGGCGATGTAATCAGTGAAAGCCTGGGGATCCATCGTGTCCGGTTCGATGAGCTGAGCGAACTCTTCGTAAGCCTCGAAGGTCAACTCAGCCAGCGTAGATTTCATGTTAGCCTCTAGTGCACCAAGCCACTCGTTGATCCTAGGTGTCTTGACAAGCGAAATTTCTTTGCGAAGCGTGACCTCTTCTCCTTCCTTGGACGTGAATCCTTGAATCACGCCATCCTCGTCCGTGATAAGTCCAGAAATACCAGCGAACATCTTCCGCAGATGTTTGGCAATACGGAGAACGTCGTTACTGTTACCGATAATTTCCAGTAGGTCTTCGTCACCAACGAAGTAGAATCGAGGGAATGACACACGCTCGCGCTCCAGGTACTCTCCGAGAGCCTTCTGAATCTTGTTCAAGAGCTCAGCGAGGCGCTCTAATGACTTCTGCACACCAGAGATATTGAGGACTTCAAGCACGAAAGGCTGTCGCGAGACCTTCTTCATAACTGACAAAAACTCAGAGTTGATGTTCTGGAAACGAGCCGACTCCATTGGCAAAAGGTGCTTAATGTCAGCGTTACCAGTGAACACACCCTCCAGGTAAACCCATTGGCGTTGCACATCAATCCATACGTCGAACAGGACGTGTACACGGTTGAGCTTGTCCTCCCAAGACGATGCTTCTTCCTCGAACTCCTTGTAGTAAGGCGAGTGGCGCATAGCCTGCAGTGAGTTGAGGTTCTCGCTGCACTTGGCAAAGAGGTCATCCCATCCCCTGATAAGACGGCACTTGTTCTGGTAGTTGACAAGCTCCAGAGCATAATTCTGCCAGGTCTCGCGAACCTGCTTGAGAAACTCTTCCAATGCCATCTCGCCAGCTGCCTGAGTAATGACATCTCGGATGATCTTCTCGCTAGGACCAAGCTTGAGATCCCAAACATCACCGAGGGTCATGGATATTGCGGAGTAACGCTTGTGTGGTCTCAGGTTCTTGAAAATTCTAACCCAATGGCGCTCTTTGACGGCATCAGAGCGCAGCTCTGCAAGGATGGCGTTCTCTTTGAGAAGTTGCTTCAGTGTAGTTTGAACATACTCGAAAGCCTGGTACTGTCGCATCCGACTAGGCATGTCCTTGGTCATCTTGAGTAGGTTATCAAGATTCTGTCGCAGCTTGCGGGGTTGAATACTGGTCCACAATACCTCACGGAGGTCGTCGATGCTGGCCCAGATCGTGCCGAGCGCGGACCAGACGGACTTGAAGTCTTGTACTTCCTCCAGCAGGGTCTCTAGTGCGTTCTCCGGAGACGGTGGCAATCCAAGAGCTTCCTTGGCCTTGGAAATGTTGCTGGACTCGCTCTGCAGCTGGTTGAGCTTCTGATCAAACTTAGCAAGAATGGCAGAGGCATCAGCTGGCGCCAGGTTGCCTGCGACAGGTTTATCTTCCGCCCACTCTCCGGTGATGTCCATGATCTTCTGGTTGACGACCTTGTCTTCGGCAGCAATCTTAGCCCGCAGAGCGTCTGCTTGATCGTTCGCGATCTTGGTCTTCCTTTCCAAGACCTCGTTCAACGTCTGCCATTCATGGTCGATCTGTTCCATCTGCAGCCAGTCAGAGGGAAACTGGTAACGCTGGCGCGCCAGAGTCGCTTGACCCTGGCGGAATGTGGAAATCTCTGGTTCCCACTCGAGGACCTTCCTCTTGCATTGTTGGACTGTGGTAATGAACGATACAGCCTGGGCAGTGGACGAAGCCTCCAGTGTCTGCATCTCGAGATCTTTGCGTGCCTTCTCGATCTGCACATACACGTCGTTCATGCGCTGGCCCAGTCTACTAGCGAACTTGGTAAGGATTTCCTGCTGCCATTGGTCGTACTTGGCGTTGACCTTGACCTGCACTTGGTCATAATCGACGGTGACATATCCGAACTGGCGACTGATATCGGAGTTGTCAAATGTAGCACGAGTCTTACGGATCTCCTGGAGAAGTTGTAGCCATCGGGAGAGATCCTCACCAAGGATGTCATAGACATGCTCAGACTGCAGATCCCATAGCGACTGGAATTGAAGCCACTCGTCAACGTAAGATGAGATGTCACGGAGCTTGCCCTCAACGGCGCCATAGACTTCGATCAGCGAATCGGTGCATCGGCTTGGCAGGTCGGAGAATTGGCTGACCGAGGTGTCGTTAGTTGCTTCAAGTCGGATCTCGTATCGTGAAGCCTTGATCTTCTGGAGGGTACAGATGATGGCGAGCCATTGCTGAAGCTGCTCAAGCCAGCTTGCTCGGGCGAATTCCACTGGCGGGCTGAGGGAGATGACTTGGTTTCGCATAGTAATCTCAAGAGGTAAACGTGCAAGAGTTGGCTTCACCTCGGGTACCTCTGTCGAGACGGCTTCACTGACTGGACGTCGATTTCCGTCTTCTTCGTCGATATTATTGAAGATCTCAATCCACAAAGCGATAGCTCGGCTAAGACGGACCAACAGAATGGACTCAATGCGCGCGTTCATGTCAGATACCCAAGAAGCAAGGTTGGCGTAGCTTTCAAGGTTAAGCTGGTCAATGGACTTCTGGATGGTCTCTAGGTTTTGTTGGAAAGCCTCCTTAGTGTATGGGCAGGTCTCCAGATCCTTCAACGATTTCTCAACCGCAGCGTTGATGTTGACGAGTGTTGCGACCTTGAGTTGGAGTAGCGATGTCGTAGCCGCAAAGTCACGGACAAACTGAACATGCTTGCTCTCACTACGAACGCTTCCACCTCCAACGGGAAAGCCGGATTGTCGGACGTGGAGATCGTAAGCATGCACAAAAGACTCCCACTTTAGAGGAACACCTTTGCCGACAAGTGCTTGCACCTCATTAACATAGTTGTTGAGCAAGAGAGCAACCCCTCCCATCTCAGCGATGGAGCGCAGGGTCTGAGTGTAGGTGCGGACGCTTTCCATGAGGCTAACAGCGTATGGGTACACACGCTTGGCCTCCTTCGAGATGTTGTTGATGCCGTGGGGCACTTGGTAGCCGCGCCATGTCAGATTACGAACTTCCTTGAACAGCGCAATGACTTGTGCATCAAAGTTGACGTTCAGCTCCAAGATGTTTCCTGCAGCACGGTTCCTGCTGACAAGGAAAAGACGTCCGGAGATCTGGAGTTTCCTCCTAGCCACCTCTTGAAGCCAGGACTCGAAGATCGGTCGGGTGTCGAGCTTCTTCTTGAACATACTGCTCTCAGCCTGGAGCTTCTGTCCTTCAGCGTGAAGCGCCCAGTCCTTGCCCAGGATGTCTTCAACCTTGCCCATGTAGCTCTCCAATTGTGTTTCAATCTGTCGAGCCCAGATAACAGCGCCAGAAACCGGGGGGAAGTCACGGAGCTGCGCCATGGCATGGGCTTCAGAGTTACCGTACTGACGCTTGAAGCGCTCATGAAGTGCCAAGATATCCTGCTTGACGTTCTCAATGAGCTGCGTCTGGTATTCGGAAATAGCACCCCGAATTTTCGGTCGGACGAAGAGCGGGTTAAACTTGGAGAAGACGCGGAACATCTCGCTGGCGGTCTTAGCAGTACCAAGACGATCTCTAAGCCTAGCGATGATGGAGTTCTCCACACGAGAAGTACGCTCGTTGTACTTTTGCTCTGCTTGTTCAAAAAGGCGCGTGCCTTCAGGTGAGACATCCAGCACATCGACATCCTTGAGGACATCGTAGGCTTCCTTGACCTCCTTTACAGCGTCCACATCACCAATCTCCTCGATGATAACCGCCTCTTTGGCTGGGGCACTCTCGGACAGGGAGGATTGCGAGCCCAGGACGTTGACGATGGTTCGCTGGAGCTGCTCGTGGTTCTTACGGAATGTCGTGATGTAGCGAATGCGCTCTTCCGTCTCTTTGTGCCTAGCTGCAATCTTGATCGGGATGAACTTCTCGTTCCTTCGCCTAGTCACTTCACGAGCAACATTGGTGAATTCCTTGACGTTCTCTTCCCATGTACGCCAGATGCTCTCTGCAACAGCCATGATGGCCTGAAATTCGGGGTAATCCATGTGCATGAGTGTCTTGCCATGTAGGAGGTTATGGAGCTGTTTGTCGAGGTCGCCGGAAATAGCTTCAACAAGAGGAAGGGCTCGGCGGACGGGGTAAGGGCAAATGCGAAGCTTCTTGTTCATGTGGCTGAAGATGGACTGAATCGCCTCCTGTACCGCTTGTAGTGAGGTTGAAGACAACAGCTGGTCCAGAGGAAATTCTCGCATGAGCTGGTTGTACTTCTGCACCAGATCCGTGCTCTCCTTGAGCCCAGTGTCTGCGCTGAAGCTGACGGTAGCTTGGAAACGCTTCGCGTTCTTCAACACGTCCAAAGTGAGCCTAACACCGGGACTACCCAACTGCGTCTCAATGTCTTGTAGCCTTGACTCCATGGAGATCCAGAAATTAATCTCTTGTGCTGCAGTTCCAGTAGACACATCTCGAGATGTCTTGGTGATTGTCTGTATCGATTTGATCCAACCATTGACTGTCGACTGCAGTCCGTTAAGGAAGCTACTGTCTTGTACGATTGCAGCAGGGATGAGTTCCGGAGAGGGTTTCACGCCACGCTGACTAGCATCATCCAGCGCACTCTGGATAAGCGGGTGGAGAGGCAGTAGCAGCTCTGGGATCTCCACATTCTGCTCGAGGTTGCCCAAACTGACAGCCAGCTCCGCAATCTTCTTCCTTGTCGCCGAAATTCCCGTCCTAGCATCGTTGTCGCCCTTGCTGTATTTCCCCGCCAGATCGCGTTGGCTCTTGGTGTAGGTGTCAAAGTACGGCTCGACCGCAGACTGAATGAGAGAACGAAGAAACTCATAGGGAGTGCCGTCGGGGGAAGAAGCGTTATTAGAAAGTATAAAGCCGGGCAACGTCTGAATAAGAACCTGCTGGCTAAGGGGTATCGCGGGGTCTATGGGTATCGGTCGCTTCGAAATAACAACAAATGCTGCACAAGTAGGAGAAGCCGTAATCTCGGTCGAAATGGTATAGGTAAAATGCTGGGTCGCCCCTGCTGCTTGTATCAGTTTGGATGTTCCTTCCTCTTCGCAGGGTACTTGCCGTTTGCGCCATCCATGCCATCGATACGGGGTTCATCTGCCCGGTCTTTCACAACGTACAGCGCTGACTGCCCCTCGGAGGCGAAGCGGGCGCATCGCTGCAGCGTGTCCTGTAGCTTGGCGCTGGACAGCAGACTACCGGGTGCAAATAGATCCTCTTTCGAGGCTCCCAAGCTGACGTCAAGGACCTTTTCCAGGTGGTCGACGATGATCTGAGGGTCTATCGAGGGCGGTGAGGGACTGGGTGTGCGTATGCTGCCGTTGGGCGCCCCTGGGTTCAAGGGTCCCTCCATATTGATTGTTTATCGCGTTTGTGTTGCTATGAAGACATGTGGTTTGCGCTTCTAGCGGAGTAGTGAGGGACGGGAGTCGGAGAGATTGCTAGTTGTGAACAAGCACTCGGTAAGGCGGCGGTGATGGTGATGGTGCCTCTGTCTGAGTATATTTCCCCAGTAGGTGCACGCGAAGTAGACGCGCACGGCCGTCACACGCTTATCCTGACTAGCGGCAGCGGCAGGGGAAGCGGAGAGATCGTCGTCTGATTGGCTCTTGAATTTGGTACGTATGCAGTACTACTGGAAGGCTTGGGAATTGGTGTAGCCGTTAAACCGCGTTGTATGCAGGACCTGTTGCTGTGGTTACTTTTTGCACGTCCAGCAGCTGCTCGATCCCACACTGAGAGCGGCGAATATCGACAGGCAATGACAGCTCACCACGTGCAAAGTAAGCTAACGTCGGCTCCACTTTCTAAGCTAACTTTTGAACCCACCCGCTCCTTTCATCTCAGGTTTGCAAGGCTGGCACGGAGGTTTGAGCATGGCAGTTCTCGTGAATAGGCGTATGCGCCAGACTCTGATTCGGGGACACATGCACTATCTGTCTCTCCTTCTATCCTCCAACTCCACATCCCTACCTCGTCCAATATCATCGTCATCGTCATCCCCATCTCCGACAGCAAATGTCCCATCAACTCTGTCATCGTGACCACTCTCTCTCCTAACACCTCTCGCATCCCTAGCAGTCGCAGCCGTAGGACTTGCCAACCTAACCTCACCCACTTCCTTCAAGCCGATTCTCCTTCTGCCCCAGTTTACCACTGTCCTCCCCCAACTCGCTAGTCTCTCCATACCCTCATCGCCATTCCCTGTTCCACCACCGTGTCCACCTCCGGCCTCAACTTTGAACTGGTACTTCAGACAGTCCTTGATGGTAATTAGACCAGTTAGACGGCCGCGATATTCGATCAAAACGACCCGTGGACCCATTTTCTTGAACAGCTCCATAACGGTTTCGAGGGGTAGGCGGGGATGCACTGAGAGTGGTGTTGGATCGATATAGCGGGTGAAGTCTAACGAGGTCTGAGAAGAGGTTGTGGGTATGGAGTCAAACGTTGTGTTGGGTGCTGATGCTGCTGTGCCGCTTGCAGCTCGGGAACTGGTGTTGCTAGCAGGAGAAGAAGATGTGAAATAACATTTTGCGTGACCCGGAGCCTGCTGTTCGATTTTGGCGCGATCAATAGCATAGCGTAGTTCTGTTCGGCCGATGTAGCCGACGAGTGTCTTCGTCTTCATGTCCTCCACAATGGGGTAGCCTTGGTAGGCGTTTTCATTCATTAGACGTTCCATCTGACGAAGTTCCATACCTGTGGATGGTAGACAGACCACGCGGCTGGACATGACTTGGCTAACAGGAACACCAAAGGTGTGTTCTTCTTTGCTGTCGAGGAACGGATAGCCATTCAGGTAGATCATGCGGTCTGCGATTCCGCCATGACCAAAACGTTCGCTAACTGCTTTTGTAACACCCACGACTATCATTGTGGGGAGAATGTATGTCAATGCGCCGGTGATCTCGAACATGATGACCACGACGCTAACCGTGATGTGCATGATGCCACTGAGAGCCGCCGCTGCGCCGAGGAAGGCGTAGGTGCCTGGTGTGATACAAGCTCCATCTGGATCGCAGGCCGAGAAGAAAGCTGAGCCAGGGAAAGATTCGTGCAGAGCTTGAACGCAGATACCGACCATACGACCAAAAGCGGCGCCGATGGCCATACTAGGCACGAAGATGCCAGCAGGCACTTTACACCCGAACGATATAACGACCAACAGGGTGCGTAGGACCGTTGCAATGGCAAGGGTTCCAACATTGTGCCAGCGATGGTTCGCATCACAAAGACGGTCATAGCCCTTGTCACCCTCACACTCCTGGAACAGAATCTCCATACTCTCTGTCATATCGATCCTTAAGAACATGTTCGGATAGCAGATAACACCAGTGATGACAGCTAGCGTAACAGCCTCTGTAATGGGGTATGCCGAAAGATACTTCTTGCGAAAGACTTGCATCCTGAGATTCCATTTGATGACGAAAGCACCATAGAGGCCGCCAAAGACACCGATGATGATGTAGAAGAAGGTTTCGAAAAAGTGCCAGGAGCGGTCATACGAGACGTTGAACATGACGAGCTGGCCTGTTCGGAAGGGATTCATAGCCTAGAGATATGTCAGTCTTAACATAGATGTGATATTCACATCCATCAGACTTACAGCCAGAACTGCCGTAGCGACTAGCGCACAGAAATAACTCCTCCAAAGCGTCTTGAGTGGAAACTGATTGCTCATCTCCTCAAGTGAGAAAAGCACACCTCCAATTGGACTTCCAAATGCTACACCTACACCTGCTGCCGCACTCGCACATAAGATCTCCCTCGTCTTGGCCGCATTCCTTCTGTACTTGTCGAAGAACCTACTGATCACATTACCCGTACATACGGCATAGTGCACACTAGGCCCTTCCTTGCCGACCGACAGCCCCGACGCAATAGCCAGTGGCAGGCCAATCGACTTAATGAAAAGCGTGGTGAAGCCTAGGAAGCCCTTCATAACGAAGCCCGCGATTATGCACTTCATCTCTGAGATGCCCGAACCAGCTGCATACGGTGCGAAGCTCTTGACCAGCCTTGCCGCGGTAAAGGAGAACAGAGCTGCGAACATGATGTAAAGAACGTAATTCGCTGGCCAGAATCCACTCCAGCGTTTCCACTCAGGGCAACCACCTTCGGCACCCCAGCAACAGAAACTCTCATTGAGGTAAAAGGCCGTAGTGCAATGTCCCAGTTTGATATCACTCAGCCATTCAGTGATGATATTGAGGAAGGCCGCGTTGAGACCTATCGCAGCGCCAACAAGCGTAACGACAATCCACGCTTGGCCTGCATCGTATGCTTCGGCGATCTTCCGCCTCCATTTCCCTTGTCCTCGGCCTAGGAACACTTTCGCGGTCCTGCCATCTTTCCGCACACCGATGCTATCTCTTTCACGCCGGCGCGCTTTCCGTCGCAATTGTTCGCGGGCAGCGTCTTGAACCCAGTCTATCGTTGTGAAGTCTTCATACCGCTTGATCTCTGCTATCTCTTCGACAATGGCCGCATCAGTATGTGTAGTTTCTGCAGCCTCCGGGTCATCATGGTCAGGGTCGAGGGACAGGAAGGATTGGCCTGTTGTGCGCCGCCGGAGAGAAGGTGCAAAAGACGTGGAGCGTGAGGGCTGATTGGGGCGCGAGGACGGACGGCGCGTGGATTGGGGACGGAGGGGTGTAGGCTGTTGGGAGGATTGGCGGGCGCGTGAGCCAGAGGATGAGGAACGATTCATCGCATCGTCGTTGAAGGGGGTTTTCTTCGCGTGGGAAGAGCGTGGATCAAGTGGCCTGGTTGTTTCGAAGTTTGGGGTTTGGCGTGGCTGCGTATCATCTGGGAGCTATCTCATGCAAGGGTCCCTCCCATCCCAGCTCCAGATCGACGTCTCGGGAGTCCGATCATGCACAGCCACACTTGCGAAGACATCAACCAAGAAAGATCTTTTCCTCTATATTGTGACTACAAGGTACCTTGAAGGTCTTCGCCAGGTTCTTGATTCGTGAACAGGTTGACACAATTTAGCGCATGTCTCCGGGCTCAATTTACGTAGATCCAATTCTGTCATGGTCGGATCAATTTTTGGAGATGGGAAACAATAACTATTCTACAAGAAAATTCCCACCTCGACACCACCACGTGAGGGGAAGCTCATACGTTTCGAGTAGTACTTATACACTACTCTCAAGAGATACAACACATTTTATATAGCAAAATCTCGCGGTGGGTTACATTAGATACCTTTAGGGTGCTTTTTGGTGCCAGTCACATTTCAGACTGCATACGCTTCTCCACAGCAAGCTTCTTCACACAGCACTTCGGCAGCACTTCGGTATTGAATTGAAAAGTTGTATTTCACTTCATCGTGACTTATACAGGGGTATCATATGTCTAAAAACCTTCATATCTGAATCTGGCTTGCCGGCTACATCTACTTCGTGCACTTACGCACAACTCCATCACACGGCATGTCTACTCCATCTCAATAGTACCGGGAGGCTTGCTGGTGACTAGAACATGTTAGTCTTTGTCTCAGTGAGGTCGCATCCGTCAGACTTACTGTCGTATACCACGCGGCAAACTCCGTTCACCTCGTTCACGATCCTCCTGCTAACCCTCTTGAGGAACTCGCCGTCGAAGGGGTACCAGTCCGCTGTCATAAAATCACTTGTCTCAACAGCTCTCAACGCGATGACCTGGTCGTGAACTCGCTTGTCACCCATGACACCAACTGCCTTGACAGGCAGAAGCGCAGCGAACGCCTGACTAATCTTCTTGTACAGACCCGCGGCCTTGATCTCCTCGATAAAGATGTTATCGGCTTCCCGCGCAATGCGGACTTGCTCGCGTGTGACCTCACCCAGGATGCGGATTGCGATACCTGGACCGGGGAACGGGTGGCGCCAGACGAGGTCTTCGGGGATACCGAGCTCCTTGCCCAGCTCACGGACCTCGTCCTTGAAAAGCTCACGTAGAGGCTCGATGACCTTGAGCTTCATGTCCTTTGGTAGACCACCGACATTGTGGTGTGTCTTGATGGTTTGGGAAGGGCCCTTGAAGGAGAGCGACTCGATAACGTCAGGGTAGAGGGTACCTTGAAGGAGCCATTCGATATCACCAGCATCGGTAGATTCGTGAGCTTCTGCTTTGATCTTTTCGGCTTGCTTCTGGAAGACTTCAATAAAAGTGTTGCCGATGATCTTGCGCTTCTTCTCGGGGTCGTCAGTTACGCCCTTGAGGCGGTCGAGGAAGAGGTCGGACGCGTCGATGACGGTCAGGTTGATGCCCAGGCCCTCGTCGAGCGTCTTCTTCACTTGGACGGCTTCGTTGAGTCGCAGGACGCCGTTATCGACCATGACGGCGTGGAAGCGGTCGCCAATGGCCTCCTTCATCAGCTTTGCAGCAACAGTCGAGTCGACGCCACCACTGACGGCACCAATGACCTGTCCCTTGTCGCCCACCAACTTCCTGATACGCGTGATCTCCTGATCGACGAACTTGCTCATAGTCCAGTTGGTGTTGGCCTCGCAGATGTCGATGGCGAAGTTCTTCAACAGAACCTTACCCTTCTTTGTGTGTGTAACCTCAGGGTGGAACTGAATACCGTAGTACTTCTTGGTGCTGTGCGCAATACCTGCGAATGGCGCGTTGGTAGTTGTCGCAACCGTCATGAAGTCCTGAGGCATGTGGCTCAGCTTGTCACCATGGCTCATCCAGACCTCGAGATCGTTGCCCAAGTCCTTGAACAGCTGGTCCATGTGTCCACCGTGACTCTCAACCTTCAGGTTCGCGTGTCCGTATTCCCTCTTCTCGCCAGCAGCTACGCCAGCGTTCTTTCCAAAGTGCCACGCCATCTCTTGTAGTCCGTAGCATATTCCCAGGATCGGTACGCCGAGATCGAAAACAGCGTGGTCGACGTGTGGTGCGCCTTCCTCGTAGACGGAGTACGGGCCACCAGAGAGAATAACTCCCTTGGGGGTGAAAGGCAGATCAGCGATCTTGGTAGTGCATGGCAGCATCTCAGAGTAGACATTGAGTTCGCGGAGGCGGCGCGTAATCAGATGCGTGTACTGGGAGCCGAAGTCGAGTACCAGGATGGTATCGAACGTCTTGTGGGGAGGAATTGGGTCCGAGTTGTCGGTCGCCATTTTGAAATAGAGAATTGATGTGATAGAAGTAGAACAGGGAGAGAGAAGTGAAAGAGAAAGGAAAGAAAGAGGGAGACGGGTATCTGGGGAAGGAAGAAGTCTAATAGTGGGATGCTTTGTGACTGATTCTCACAAAATTTTAGCGGGGCAGGGTCTTGCCTAGTATCTCCATGGATCCTCTGGTACGAGGAAAGGCCGGACGTCTAAGCCGGATTGCTGCCTGGATACAGAAGAACTACACAGAATAGTAGCCCAGAGAATTGCACGGTTGTTATCATGCAAGTGTAATGCTACGAACGATTGTGAATCCTTTTGGGGTATCTTGTCTCTATGAGGTACCCCTCGAAAAACGAGCCCTCTTGTACAAGCACTTGATCCATGTAGCTGGAATATGTTTAATTTACTAACCATCGCTTCTGATTCGAAGACAAAATATGCGACATAGTTGCAGAGTCTCTGTGATTGAGCACGTTACCCCCAAGGCGGGGCTGAAGAATTATTCCACAGCCTATCGATAACAAACGTAGTTGCATCGCGCGCAAAGTCGCGTACCCACTGACCTCACCAACCCTGCCCATACTTTCCACACATCTACACAATGGCGAAACGAAAGTCTGAGAGAGATCCCGAAGAGCTTCCCGATGCATCGGACAAGCGCAAACAGAACGATGACGACGAGTCGGGCAGCGACGAGGTATGCGCCTTCCCTGCTAAGGTCTTCTCACGATGCGCCTGCTCACAAATTCTTAGGACATGGATATGGTGAACGTCGACTTTGAATGGTTCGACCCGCAGCCAGCGGTTGATTTCCACGGCCTCAAGAACCTTTTGCGCCAACTTCTCGATGTTGATTCGCAGTTGTTCAACCTCTCTGAACTCGCGGATATTATATTATCGCAACCGCTACTCGGCAGCACAGTCAAGGTCGATGGCAATGAGACGGATCCGTACGCCTTCCTTACCGTCCTGAACCTAGAGACACACAAGGTACCACCTTTCCATCCGAGATTTGCCCATTCATATGCTAACGGCAAACAGGACAAAAAGGTAATCCAAGATTTGACAACCTACCTCTCGAAGAAGTCTGCGCCGATCCCAGCACTCCCACCTCTCCTCACAACCACGTCCTCCGCGCAAATCGGCCTCATCTTGACCGAGCGCTTCATAAACATGCCCCATGAAATCGTACCACCAATGTACACGATGCTTCTGGAAGAAATTCAGTGGGCGGTTGAGGAAAAGGAACCTTACACATTCACACACTACCTCGTCTTGTCCAAATGTTATTCCGAGATACAGAGTCAGCTGCCGAGCGAAGACGCACCACCAAGCAAGAAGAAGAACAAGAAGGCCGATGTGGGTGACGAGACATTCTATTTCCATCCCGAGGACGAAGTACTGCACAAACACGCCGTGGGATACACGAGCTTCGAGTATGATACACCGGTGGATGAGGGCGCGAGTGACAGCAAGAGAGCGTTTCAAGAGCTGGGAGTTAAGCCCAAGGGACACATGGTGTTGATTGAGGCAGACAAGTTCAAGGGCGCTGTGGAGGCTGTAAAAACATTCTTGAACGGGCAGTAGATATGGAATCATACATGCATCCACCCAACAATAGAACCAAAGATGGCCAAGATTGACTCTGACTGGTGTTACATTGCAAGGACACAAGCTGAATCTATGTGAATCAAACCGTAGGAAATTGATGCTCGCTCCTATACACACAAGTTGACATCACCGCTGTCCACCACTGAAGAATTGTTCTGTTTAACCAATGACGACCTTGCCCTCCTCGGGGAAGTCGTATGCGGGAATCTCCAGGTTGAGCGGGGCAGGTCCCTTTCTTATGCGGCCAGAGATGTCGTAGTGGGAACCGTGGCAAGGGCAGAACCAGCCTCCAAAGTCACCAGCCTCACCAATGGGGACACATCCCAGATGGGTGCAGACACCTAGTATTGTCAGTTATGACTCGCAGATGGCATCTTGTATGCCTGACGTACCCAACATGATCAACCACTCGGGCTTCTGGACACGGTCCTTGTCGGGCTGGGGGTCACGGAGAGACTCCCACTTGGTGTCGTCGGCCTCCTTGATCTCGGATTCGGTGCGGTGTCGGATGAAGACGGGCTTGCCTCGCCACTTGATAATGACCTGCTCTCGTCAGCTCCAGTGTCCAAGTATTCCACATCGAACTGCGGAACTTACGTTCTTGCCCTCGGGAATGGCAGCGAGGTCGATTTCTACCTTGGCCTGGGCCAAAACGTCGGCGGAGGCGGACATGTTGACGAGGAAGTCTGTTGGGCGCAGTCGTTAGCCGTCCGGTCTTCATCAATTCGCGATCCAAATCATCTGCAAAATGGCCAATTGCTCTCCACCAGCTCCGAATATGCAGCATCGGGCGTTTCCTGTATTTTCCACCCCTCCGCTGGGCTATCGCATGGCTGGGGACCTACCCTGGACAGTCGCCTTCGCGCCAAGCGCACTCAGCGCACCCATGGTTCCGACCATGAAGTACTGGAACATCTTGGGGCCTGTCTCGCCTCCCTTATTCCTGTACGCAGCGAACGAGGGGATCTTGGTCGTGTCTGGGCCGCCCTTGAAGGGGCTGTCGAACGAGGAAGCCGAGGCGTTGCGGGTCTGCAGAGCGGTGGTGCCGGCCGCCCGAGCGACAGGCATCTGGTGAGCGGTCCATGAGCGTGCAATGGCACGGGTTGTGTTGGCGAGGGCGGGCATCGTGGACGCGGGTGGGCGGTGGGCGGTGTCGTTGATGGGGGAGAGCTCGGGTTGAGTATGTCGAAGTTTTGGCGGTTTGGCAAGGAGCGTTATGTCAGGTGTCGTGTGATTGGTTGGCCGCTCTCCGCCGCATCGCCATATTCACCTGCAGCGTCATCGGCCAACATCACTACGAGCCTCACACATTGTCCGATATCTATGTCGCATCCGTTCCCTTCATCAGAACGGCCGTGAGATTCTAGTAAGTCGTGTTTGCGGTTCCTTGCAAAAGTGAGCAACGGCATGTCCCCAGTATCCCCCATAGAATCCTGGCTCGAAGCCAACATCAACGCTTCAAGATTACCAAATCATACCAAGTCTATTCCCATCCCTCTCTCTTGAGCACACCATCGCAGGTGAAATAGTTTGTGGTTTGGGCAAGCATTCTGACTTGATTGTCTTGGCGACTGCCTGGATGCTACCTATCTAGGTAGGTACAACCATCTTTGAATCTATGCAATAGTCTTCCAAATTCAATTCTCCTCGCTTCAGGTACCCTCGCTTTTCGCTTTAAGAACTCTGCTACAATAAAGCTTTCTGTTTGAAATACAACATCATGTCCTCCAAAGACTCTAACATTAGATCCTACTTTGTGTCCAAGGAAGGAATCAAACCTACGACGAAAGCTAGAGAAATCGACGAAGGATCAATCGATCGACCGCCAATGTCGACTGCTACAAAGCCACAAGACAAAGGCAAACGCAAGAGGAAATTATCAGGATCCTCATCCCCAGTACTCGAGAAACGACGAGATACGGGGCTCTCAGAGGACGATACACCACCGCGCCACTTCTCGCACAAAGACTGCTCTTCATACCAGTTCCCCCCATCATCACTCTTGTCTGAGATGCCCAATACCACTCTCATCCTCACCCATCACACCGGAAACATCTTCGCCGCTCCCCCACATACTTTGCTAATACACGCTTGCAATACCCAAGGCGCTTGGGGCAGTGGGATAGCCAAAGCCTTTAAAGTCGAGTATCCAAAAGCCTACGCAATATATCATGCCTTCTGCACGAAAGAGCACCTTTTGAAGTCTCGACCTGTTCCCACTGGCACCGCCCTTTTAATTCCGCCTGTTGATGCTGGACACCAGCACTGGATCGGTTGCCTGTTCACAAGCGCAAAGTACGGAAAGGGCAAGGACAAGCCAGATGTTATTGTTGGAAACACCAAGCCAGCTATGGAAATGTTGCTGGAACTGGCGAAGATGGCGGGTGAGATCGAAAGTGTCAGGATGTGCAAAATCAATAGCGGGAAATTCGGAGTCGAGTGGGAGCGGACGGTGGGAGTACTGGAGAGAATTGTAGTGAGGGACGACTGGAAGGCTACTGTGGAGGTTTGGGACGCGGACACGGAATTGAAGGAGTAGAAGGCTGACGAGGAAGTTGAAGAAAGTATGAGACACATGCGAGCAGAAGCAGAGGGACAATCTAATCTGGGGTGTAGCAGAATTGAAACATCCCGCTTTGCTCAGAAGTAATGTATACAACTTCACATTCACGTATCCCGTTGGTTTACTTTCCATGTTCTTACATGAAGTCCTGATGCAGATCGTTGTTCAAACAACCCAGCGCTATTCCCATGATATATCCAGCTAACGCCGTTATGCAATGCAAGATAACATTCGTCTAGAACGTCGCCTCTCCCTCTCTCTGCTCTTCACGTCCTAGCGGATTCACTTTTGACCATTAATCGCAGTAAATCCACCGGTTGACCGCCTAGCTTCTGGACTCTTGCTTGCACTCGCCGCAGGTTGGCGAGGTGGGCCGCGCATCTCCATCTCGATTTGCATCGCTGCAGCGTCCTCTTCTGGCTCGCTGTCCTCTACCCGCTCGACCTCCTGGTCGACTTCCATGGCATCGGGTGTCTCGTCTGGTTTCGCCGGCGTAGGCGAGATGGTTGCATCGCCGTTGGTAGGCGTCTCTGTGTCCTTGTCCTTGTCCGCGACCTCCTCGGCCGTGTCAACAGGGCCATCCGATGTCTTTTGTCCATTCACCACTCCGTCCTTCTGACCATCCTTGTCCTTCTTCTTAGCGTCCTCCTTCTCTTTCTCTTCCAGCTTCTTCTTCACGGTTCCCCATGTGCTCGTCTTGGGCGCAACATCGACCAAGAACTCTAGATTATCCGTCTTCGCTATCGCACTGCTGACATCGCGGTATTGGATGTTGCGCCGTGGCTTACGTTCGGCTTTGACAACATTGTGTGTAGTTTGCGCAAGGTGCTGAATGAACATTTCTGTCGCTAGTGCGATGGCAAAGGCGGCATTCTTGGAGGTTGTAATGCGTTCGGGGTCCGCTTGTATGATCTTTTGCACGCGTGCGACTGTGCCGTCTGTTAGAATGGTCGCCTCCTATGAGGATGGGTGAGAGGACTGGAGTGAGAGTGAGATGTGAATTGGCCATTACTTACGAGGAAGCGATACATGGCCCGTAATTTCCTTGTTTGGCGCTATTGGTGTGTTGTTGTAAGGCATATTGAAAGAAGCAGCGACTGCTTGGTTTGAATGCGCGTAGGGTCGATGGGTTATGTTTGGGTGGTGCTTGATCCTAGGTGTTATCCAAAATGTCGATAGCAGCTCGTATGTATCGAAGGTACGACTTGACGCGGTTAGATCGCGCAGAATAGGCAGGGTGGGGGTGAAGTCGCGTGTGGTAGTAGTGGTGAAGTACGTTCGCAGAGCCAAATGCTCACACCCCTGCTCAATCGCCGCGGGCCTCCAACCGAAGACGACGGAGCGTCATCTGGCGGTGGCTACCTAGGTACCTTTCGTAAGGACCAACCTCCTTTCCTTCTCACCTCTTTCATACCTCCTTGGTGATACCCAGACCTGTGCTACGTATCTGTGAGATTTCCACCTTGCATTGATCTCTATTGAATCGTGTTTCGGTGCCTCTCGTCTCGTGTTGAACAACGCCATTACCGCCCATCAGGGTACCCTGCCAACCATGAAGCTCTCCATCCTCGGGCTGCTCTCCGCGACCGCAACAGCATCCTTGTTTTCGCAAGTGCCATTCCAGGAGAAGCCAGAAGCAGAAGGCTTTCAGATCTACCAAAGCCAATTCTCAGAGCACCATTCTATCCGGATTAAGCAGCAACAAAACAGCACCATTTGTGATGCACGCTCCAAACAGTACACAGGCTGGCTGGACATCGGCTCAAAGCATATCTTTTTCTGGTACTTCGAGTCTCAAGATAAACCCTCTGAAGACCCGCTCCTGCTATGGCTAACAGGAGGACCGGGTGGTTCAGGCATGATTGGATTGCTGGGCGAGCTGGGGCCTTGCCTCATCAATGAGTCTGGAAATGGAACCGTGTACAACAAATATGGATGGAGCAAAAATGCCAACATTATATTCGTCGATCAGCCCGCTGGTGTTGGTTTTAGTTACGTCGACGAGGGAATCCCGCTTCCTGCGACGAGCTTCACAGCTGCAGAGGATATGCATCACTTTCTGCAGCTGTTCACCAGCGACGTATTCCCAGATCTTAGCAATAGGGACTTCCACATAACGGGAGAGAGTTATGCTGTACGTCTATGTTGCCGTTACCATTTACCAGACGTGGGCTGATCACCAACAGGGCCATTACGTCCCAACACTCGGCGCCGAGATTGTCTCGAAGAACCTAGCTTATCCTAAGCGGCCTCAGGTCAACCTCAAGTCGACTTTTACAGGAAACGCATTTGTCTCGCCCAGAGATACTGCATTTGGTTTCTGGGAAACTCTATGCACGACAAACCCCGGTGTCGAGAGTCCCATCTTCAACCAGACCCGCTGCGACATCATGGCTACTAACCTTCCTCGTTGCATGGAGCTAACTAACGTGTGCTATAACCATCCGGACCCAGCCATATGTATTGCGGCTGAAGAAGTGTGCATGTACGGTGTTATTCTCTACTATGACGGCGAGGCTGGAGCGGGAGGTCGCAATCGATTCGACATCACGGATGGCTGCGAGACGAAAGATGAATTGTGCTACCCTGAGATGCAGAGGATACAAGATTACATGAACACGCCAGATGTTTGGAATGCACTGAGCGTGCCCCAAGCCGTGAAAAACTTCACGGGACTCTCCTACGATATCGCATGGGCTTTTGCCCTCACCGGTGATGGAGTCCTAAGCACGCAACCTCAGGTCTTGTATCTTCTTGAGCACGGCATCGATGTGCTCTTCTACCAGGGTAATTTGGATCTTGCTTGCAATACGGCAGGTAACCTACAATGGGCCAACACGATGCAATGGAAGGGTCAACCTGCGTTTGTTGCGCAGCCAAAGCGATTGTGGAAGAACGAGGGGAAGGAGGTAGGGTGGTTCAAGGAAGTTAAGACAACGACTGCAAGTGGGCGAGATACGACATTTGCGTTCGCTACAGTGGACGGAGCAGGCCATATGGTGCCAATGGACAAGCCGAAGGAAGCGCTGGCCTTGGTCGATAGATGGATCAGGAAGAGGAGCTACGCGTAATTGTCGCGTGATTGATGCATATCGCGTTCTGCGTCAAAGTTGCGTCTCGCCCATCGGGAATGCTCCGTGATCGCAATATGCAAGCTTAAATCAGCCTCAGGCACCACATCGGCCTCATGCATGTCATCAGGCTTCTCGCGTTTGGTGCCCGAAATATCCATGGGTGGTGTTTGTTTTCCCCACCATGATGTAATTGCTACCAGCTACGTCATCATGGGTCCTAGCCTCTGCGCAAACTTCAGAACCTTAATAAAGAGGGGAGAAGACACTCACACGAGAACAAACAGCAATCACTCATCACTTCTCACTTCAAACTACACTTTACAAACCTTCTACCACTCCCACATATCCCCCACATACACACATACAACATGTCTGGAACTTCCAACGTCGGTAACAGCGCGGTGTACGAGTCTCAGGACCAGGTCACCCGCTCCAACGCCGAGATCGAGCAGGAGAAGAAGGAGAACCGCTTCCACGAGGGCAAGGAGAACTCCCACAAGGCACAGGACTCCAGTATGTTTACCTCAGCCCTGCATGTGTTGCACTGCGGCGGTGTAACGCGATACTAGCCGTCTCTTCTCAAAGAACAATCACTAACCATGACGACAGAGGACGAGCGATCCATCGCCAACAAGCTCGAGCGCGAGGAGAAGCGTGAGAAGGAGGGCGAGGAGAAGTCTCTCGAGGACCGTCAGCGTGAGCAAGATGCCACCCTTCCCGCACGCGCACACGGCAACGAGCCCTCCAAGGGAGCCAAGATCGACCAGGAGCTGAGGGAAGAGGACGAGGCCATGCTCAAGAAGAAGGGTGCCAACTAAATTGGTCGTGATATATAACGATTTCGATACCCCGCACACAGCACAGTGTGCTAGGAGTTGGAGGAGGAAGATAATAACTTGGATTGACGATGAAACGTCTCCATGAAGCCGGCCTGAGACACGGCAAAGGCACGAATGAAATAATTTCAACTTACACTTCTCTTTGGCCGTATGGCAATGTGCGATGGGGCGGATCAAGTCATAGATGGTGACACAAGAACCCCCCCCCCACACTGTCGTGCTTACAGTACCCCTCCATGCAGCCTGCCTGACTCGCGCAGCCTCGGAGTTATGCCGATAGCTAACCTCATAACCATCCCGCCCGCGTCCCCAAATTCCCCAATTGCTTTCCCCCACGCTGTGCAAACCTCCATCGCTGCATTACAAAGCATTGCGACGTACATGCCTAATCTCCTGTCTTCTCGCCAATTCTTCCGCGCTGCTACCTCTCTCGCCAGAGCCCCGTTACGACCCCGCATCGCGCCCACGAGTATCCAGCTATCGCGTATCCTCCAACAACAAACTGCGAAGATGGCGACCAAGATGGCAGAGCGCCTCAAGGGCAAGACTATTGTCATCACCGGTGCATCCTCTGGTATCGGCAAGTCGACAGCAATCGAGTTTGCGCGGACACAACCCGATGACCTGAAGCTCATCCTGACCGCGCGACGAGAGGACACATTGAAGGAGCTTGCACAGGAAATCCAGGGTTTCGCAAAAGGCGTCAAGGTCCTACCAGTAAAGCTCGATGTCAGCAAGCCAGATGAAGTGCAGAACTTTGTTGGCAACCTACCACAAGAGTACAAGGACATTGATGTCCTGGTCAACAATGCGTATGTCATTACTCCCATACATAATCTGGTCGGCAAGCTAACAGATACATCAGCGGCCTTGTAAAGGGCGTCGCTCAAGCCCCTGACATCTCCCCCGCCGACATTGATACCATGTTCAGCACAAACGTAACCGGCCTAATCAACATGACGCAAGCCATCCTCCCCATCTTCAAAGCACGCTCCACACCCTCAGGCGACATCATCAACATTGGCAGTATCGCAGGCCGCGAGCCCTACCAAGGTGGCTCCATCTACTGCGCTACAAAGGCAGCTGTTCGCTCTTTCACAGACGCCATGCGCAAAGAGCTCATCGCTACAAGAATTCGCGTTATCGAGATCGACCCAGGGCAGGTGGAGACCGAGTTTAGTGTTGTAAGATTTGGCGGCGATAAGGAGAAGGCAAAGAAGGTGTACGAGGGCGTTGAACCGTTGACACCAGAGGACATTGCCGAGGTTGTCGTGTTTGCTGCAGGGCGAAGGGAGAATGTCGTGTTGGCTGATAGTTTGATCTTCCCGAACCACCAGGTATGTGCAGCAAGAGTCGATGGAACCACGAGGAGAAAGTTGCTAACTTCTTCCTTCAGGCAGCTGCGACCGTCATGCACCGAAAACCTGCTGGTCAGTAATGTGATGTTCGACGTGTATATAGCCATTGCTCATCCGCATATCAGAGATGAAGCAGGCATCCCGAATTCGACCATCATTGTAAAAGACTTATTTGCTGTTGCCCACAGCAACCGTTGCGCTTGCTAATCACTTTACTCTCTCCTTCCTTTACCTTTTCCCGCGATGTGCCCCCTCAGAAGTATTGTGTCGATGTTCAGATCGTTTCCCTTCTGGGCGAGTGAAAGGCGCAAAGATAGTCCGGCTTTAAGCAGAATATGGGAGCAAACGCAACCGCCGTTACCGTGGTAAGTGTCTTCAAAAAGGCAACCCGCAGGTAAAGGCTTTCATGTTTGATGAACAGCGACTCCAGTTGTATCTGAATCTGGTGTAAAGACACTACCACGCCTTTCGTCTCACATCACCCAACACAATCGGTCAAGTTTCAATCACTCAACTACACATTCTGTTGAGGAATAGCCTCCGCCTGGTATTGTCTATCATCGCGGATACAAACGTAGCAATAGACACACGAGCGAGATGGCCCGACTCCGAATTCCTGCATCGTCAGTTCGGGTTCGCCAGGCGACATCTACATACGCAGTCTCTAACAACCAGACAAGCAATCAACCCTTCTGCTATACTGAACCCGCCATTCATACACGTCCCGACCATGGCGAAAATGCATCAGAGACATCCCTACCACTGAAGCTGTCCACTCGGTTGCCCACAAAGGGCAGTGTAAAGAGTTCGACTTCAATGAACCGAGCTACGAAGAGCGATATTCAAGGATACATTGTAGGAAAGTACCAGGCTGTTGAGAATGCGCGCCACGAACATATTGACCGGACTGGCACCAAGGTTGTTTTCTTCCTTGGCCAAGAAGGGGAACAAGAAGAGGAAGAGGAAGCAACCGAGCTACCAGACGAAGACATGAAGGCCAATCTGGGCGCGTACGTTAACGACCAGGAAGATGAAGACCGATCATGGAACGATATGCAAAACTTCATACGAGAGAATCAGACCTTCAAAACCAAGTCTTCTGCGAGGGCGAAGCTACCCTCTTTGGCTCAATGTATGGCAAGGGCATGTGTCGATAACGCTGATTTAGACCTTGACTCTGACTCAGAAGACGACGGAATTGATCTCAGTCAAAAGATCGAGCATGCTGTATCGGCATTCGCTGAGAAGATCAAAGAATATGAGAAGGAAGACAAGGAATACATTAACGATGACCCGTTGAACAATGACTATCTCGTCCACCACCCACCTATGCTGTCGCCTCTGGAGTCTATCGGTATCTCCTACCCTTACAACAACAAGCAGAACTTTGGAATTCGCAGGCACAGCGACGGTAGGTCACTTGCGTCACTCGTCGCTCGTGCTGATGAAATCTCCGTTTATTTCAACGAAGATGTCTGCTTGCCTTGGTCGACTTTCGAATCATCCTCGCTGTCTTCATCGCCGAATCCGTCATCTGACGCAAGTGTACTGGATATATCTACGGACGACGCACTTGTTATGCTACGCGAGCGCTTCCGAATCGTACACAACGTAGGTGGTGGTACAGGTTACTGCCGTCGGGAGTGGCTAGATGCCAAGTTCAAGACGGTATGCAGCACGGTGCATGGGCCGTCCCTGTTGCGGTTTTCGACGAGCTGCTATGAGCATGTACAGCCACCGGTGATCACGAACGCGAGTACCGCCACGCAGCAGGACCAATACGACCTTGTATCTCGTGTCAGGATTTCGCCTTCCAAGGACACACTGAATACCAAGTCGTCTGTTTGGACCTCCGCCTTCTCGAAATGCACCTTCATGATATCAATATCTTCCTATCAGACCGATCGTCTACAGTCAGCAAAAGATGAACATCATCTCCATATCGATGGCCCCGGTATGGATGTCGAGAAGCATGAGCGCGATGACAGGCGGGATCGAAAGCGTGTTGATAGCCTACCTGTCCTTACCACTAAAGTTTGGTCTGATGAGCTACAAGTAGAGGATATTGAGCAGCTATATGCACCACTGTATACGTCCGCCGAAGATACTAGAGATGTGCCTACGACGTTCGTGGCAAACAAGACCCACGACTCTCCGTTAGTGCGCGAGCGGACTGTAGACGATAATGTCTCAACTGATTTAGATTATGATTTGGAATCAGAACCGGCGGCCCATGATAGTCCCAACAGTATGCGGAGTAGGTGGACTAGCAGGATGAAGCATTTCATTAAAATGTTGCCAAAGAAGTCAAAGCAAGCCACACGCGACTGCTTTGGGGCTACAAAACAGTTCTCACGGACGGCTTGGAACTTGGTACCAGCTGCTGTACAGAGCCGGCGACCCTCTCCGAGGATCGACAGCGTTATCTAGGCGGTCGGCCAGGGAACTATTTGAAGTTGACACGATCGGTCTCACAGACCGTTATAACGACTCCGCATTTCACCCAGAACGATGGTTCGGCGAACGTTAGGGCCTACCTCAGATCCGGACATATGTTGGGAAAATGGTAGTGCGCAGAATTCAATCGAATATCCTCCGCGGAACGTGTTTCATTGGGCAACACAGACGTATTTTGTACACTGTCTTTGTTTTTGCCATTTCTCTTTTGGCGCGCTAAGGAAACCCGGATCAAGACAACCATTTGTGTACAGAACTAGCATTTCATCTGTGAATATAAACCTTTGCGCGTACCCATGAATGTCCTCAAGCATTTTGTGCGAAAGCCAAAGTGTGGGTTACAATTGACTCAGCCTACGAGGAGTGAACCCTGGTTCGATCAAGGGTCATCCACCGTCGCAAAGTCAGCACACAACGCTTTCACTTGCCAAAATGTCTTCAGCCCCTCATTCATTACATAGTTTTTTGCCCGTCGTTTCCCTCTTTACGAATGACTGCGCACACACCATCATCGCAGAACCAGCAGGCATCAGGAGTGTTTGAACTCTCACCGTCACACACTCGCGATTGCACTTGCAACTTGTCGGTCCAGGAATCCCACCGCATCACGCTCTTTATCGAAAAGTCTTCTCGGCTTACCTCGACCTGATTTGGTTCGCCGTCGCGAAAGTTGACATATCGACCATCTTCAACCGTTTTACTATCCCTACACACTATCAAACCGACACATTAAAGCCACAGGATATGGCTTCCGAAGATCTTATTGTTGATAGCCGCAAGTTCGACTGGGCTGATGACGACGATGATGATTTCGACCTGGATAGCTGGAATGCTACCGCCGACACCTCCGCGCCTACCGCCGCAGAGTTAGGCCCTCTTCAAGTCCCTCCTACCGGAGATGCGACGAAGGAAGAAGATGAGACCTACACCCTGTCCCGAATTCGCAACGAGCGCGCTTTTTGGCATTCTCCCGTCGGCGAAGAGTCATCCGACACTGAGCTTACTCAGAAACAAGAGCCTGCTACTCAATTGCCGGCCGAATATTGGTATCTCGCCGTCCTTAACTGCCGCCCAGAGCATCAGGTTATGTCCGCGCGGTTCGATCGTATAACTCGCGCTATTGGCTTGCGCTACGATGGCAAAGAAGACGCAGAGGCGCCCGCCTATCCGGAGTTGAGCAGCACCAAGACCTATCGGTCTAACTACATGAAAGGGTTTCAGAGCTGGAAAATGAGACATAGATCGCCCTCATGTGTTAAGGTCTATCGTAATTCACCCTTAAAAATCGTCACTTCCATTGAAAACGCGCACGAAATCGACGACATGGACGACGGTGCGAGCGAAGAGGTGGAGGAGGTGCTCGATGAAGACGAGGCCATACAGATATTCGCCTTTGAACAACAAGAGCAGGATCAGGTTTCCGTCTTCGATCGTCGCGAGCACGACCAAGAGGCCGATCGCGAGATGAATGAAGAAATTGACCGCATGCTTATCGATCAAAGCAGGAACAACGTCGACATATCAGAACAATTCTCGCGCAAGGAGCTGGAGGACTTGTATCGTCAGTACAAATCTCAGCAACTGGAGATTGCCAAAAGCGATACTGAAGAGCTATACGCTAATTATGGGCTTGATGTGATTGAAGAGGAAGACACCGCTTCGATGAATAGCTGGGAGGCTGGTAGCTGGGGTGAAGAGGCTTTTGAACCTTACCATGCTTATGCTCAGCGTCACTCGATGCCGTTCTTGGTTACTGACATGACGGAGAACAATGGAGCCTTATCCTCGCTATCCATTCCGCTCAATGCCCCGGCAACGGAAGGGGAGTTGGATTTCAACAGCGTGGTCTTTGGAGACGAGGACGAAACCCAGGATTCCAAGGCTGGGGTCACTTCTGAGACCGATTCTGAACCTAGCGATGAGGGCTATGCATCATCCTCACCACCTATCACTCCCACTCTCGAAATCTTTCAAACTATTGGCAGAAGGCATACAAAGGACAGCTTTATTCCAGCTGAGATGCGACTGAGCTCGTCTTCTATGCGCCGTAAGACCAATGGTCGGACTCACTCCATGGATGCACTCAAGGAGTTTAGACAAACTGCCAGAAATGAGCAGCCTGTCGACGACGCCTTCGAAGAATATGAAAACCACACCGTCCAAGAGAGTGCTCGATGGGATACAAAGTCTCACGATGAGTTGGAGACTTCACTCAGAACCAGCAACAGCCCCGAATTTACCCTTGTCGTCGTGCCACCGGAAGGGGAGGAAATGACCAACGTCTGCCCTCTCAGCGATCTAGCGCTGGTCTTGATCGAGGAGGCCAATCGCGTCATTCCAGATGAGGTTGAACATGGAGACCATCCCACCAACGATGAAGGACGCGGCACCCTCAATCTATCCTTCGCCTTCCCAGGTCCGTCTACCGATCAGACCTCATCCGTAACGAGAAGTACCGGAATTACCACGTCGCCGCATGATTCTCCGTCATCCAAGTCCTCTTCTCGTCGCTGGTCAGATCCTCCAAAATATATTCCTGATCCTCCGTCACCCTTGCCGTCCCGCGCTACTCGGCACAAGAAACAGAACTCCTTGTCACTGGACCATCTAGCTAGCGTAGTCACAAAGAGCAGATTCTACATATGCGACATGCCTTGGACCCAAGTTGGTGCCATGGCAGCCGGGGTGGTTGCTGGTGGGCTAATAGGCATGGCCCGGCGTCATTAGGCTGGATCTACAAGGCGCTGCTTGCTTGGGCTCAAGAGGAAAAAAGGCCTGCGATAGCTATTATTGGCAGGTAAAAAAAAGCACTAGTACACGTTGCAAGACTGATAGAGGGCGTGATTTCTTTCTTTCATCATCTGGATTGGTTTGCAGAGTGAGTGTAGTTGTGTTGGCAGTTGGGGTGGCGTCATATACCCGGTGTGCTTTCATACACATAGCATCATCCAATTGAGGCAATATATTAATCAAAAGTTTAACAGTCAAGATGTTCCATTGTTTTGGAAACTCATTAGTATTTTTATTAAACTTATAAGCTGACTGCGGGTTTTCACAGCTCGAGTGAAATCAAGAACATTCGAAGGTTATTGTTAAGCTGCATGGGAGTCTTTCTTCACCACAACCAGATATGACGTGATCGTTTCAAACTGCATATATTTCTGATCACCGTAGTCATCAAGATAAAGGGAACTATATCAAGCTATTTATGTAAGTTGTCCACCTTCTCATACCGGATGAGCAACCTTAGCCGTCAAAAGGTTCCGAATATTTCCAACGAAGAAGCTCAAGATGAAGCAAACACCACCAAAAGCGATCGAGATCCAGTATGGCCACTGATACGCCAAGGCGAAAGCCTCTTGCGAAGCTGCCAATATCACAGGAAACGAATCTCGCTTCAAAACTTCAGGACTTGTAGCAAGGATCTCTTTGACTTCATCGAACCTCGCGTTACCCATGAGATTGGTAACGTGTGTGATAACGGCAAGCCCTTCAGCTGATAGAGGGTTGATAATGGCGCCATACGCTAAGGTCTTGGTGGCGACGATCTCGGTCAAGTGTATAGTGACTTTGCGGAAGAAGAGGTTGGAGTACACGGCGAACCCGATTGCGCCACCAAGGTAACGAATGCTGAGTGTGATGGCGGTAACGGTGGCAATGAGTTCGTCTGGACAAGCAATCTGCGCAATGATTGAGGACGGGATAATGACTCCACCGACTCCGACGGATGCCAATGTGACGACAGCGTAGACTACGTTGAGGTTATCTGGTCTCGCAATGCACATGGCTCCTGTGCCAGCTGTCATCATGGCAGTGAAGAATATCATCAACTCGCGGACGCGGCCTTTGGTAATGGGAATGAGCACCAGGCAGACAACCGCGCCGCCGATGATGCCAAAGCCAATGGGTAGCGAGCGAATACCAATGCCGACCGGGTCGTCACCTATAACACTTATGTTAGCACGATCGTGCCGTGCGGGACTACCGGGGTATGTGTTTACCATAGACATTGTAGACCTCGGTCGGCCAGAAGAGCAGCATGACGAAGTAGTTACCGCCACTGAGGAAGGTGATGAGAAGGATTACGATCATGGTCCTTTTGGCTTTGTGGAAGAGCGCCCGCGGAACCATAGGGTATGGAGCATACACTTCCCATACGAAGAAGGCGATGATAAGCACGATACCCAGGACGAGAGGCACCGCATTGTGCGGGCTGCCCCATTCATACTACAAAATGTCAACATTGCCGTGGATGCTTGCTCGAGATCATATACTGACCTGTGATGCGCCCCATTGTAGCCCCATCATGAATAGAGTGATGCCAACTGTACTTAGGATACCGCCAATGTAGTCGACCTGGCGGAGGACATGACGGGCAGTGTACTCCTCAGTCAGGCGGGACGGATCCTTGTAGCAGAAGATACATAGTATCAAACCGACAAAGTTCCATACTCCAACCAAGATGCCGTTGTATCTCCAGTCGCTTTGATGAGCGATCAACTGAGCCCACAGCACTGATGGGCAAAAGGGAAGGATGGTGATTACCACAAGGCCAACATACTTGCCGCGGTCCTTGATCGGCACGACTTCTGCTGTACCGGCGAGGGCGATAAGCTCGTTCAAACCGGCACCGATGCCCGAGAAGACCTGACCGGCTAAACCGTGTTAGTGTGTGGTATTTTATACAAGGTTGCGGCACTTACCGATGGCAATGTTCATAGTGTTTGCGGTCGCAGTTATGATCGGCCCGATGATGAGTGCTACCTGGCCTACGATAGCCACCTTCTGACGTCCGAAGAGGTCTGACAAGGCTCCCACAAATGGACAGAGCGCCGCGTTTGGAATGAGGTATCCAATGACAAACCAAACGTACCGATCAACACCACCAATATCTTGATAGATGAGCGGAAGGACTGAGCCGAAGAGGTAGAGCGGAATCTGAGAGCCAATCCAGAGGAATGACATGCAGACAAGAGTCATGAACAGCTTTGCGTTCATCTGGATATGCTATGGTCAGAGCTGAAACTGAAGTGCAAAGCGTTTGCACTCACCTTCTCATGCACTTCTGGACCTCTGCTCATGACAGGTGCCAACTGCTGTTTCTCGGGCTCGCCCGGTGGGGTGCGAGTAGTCACCATCTCGAGATGGTCTTGTCCATGTTTATCGAAATCGTGAGAAGGGCTTGCTGATCTCGTTGCCTCCTGCATGTTGACAATGGTGGAGCTGAGAGAGCGTATAGTCAGGAAGAAAAAGAAAGTTCAAGACGTTCAAGTAGTTTGATTGCTCTCTTACTCTAGTAAAGAGGGACTATCGATACGTAGTCCTAGCGTTCGATTCATCCCTCATATCTGTCGCGTGGTAGTAAAATAGATAGACTGAATCGAAACTAACTTCACACGAGCCGCGGCAACAAAACGCTGTGCGCGGGGCTGACTGGACCAGCGACATGAGCCAAGACACCCCTCTAACAACAAGACGCCGCCAGCCATGCCGTATTGCCCGTTTGACGACTTGTAGATCGTAGTGGAGTCTGTGGCGGACCCATTGGTGCGGGGGCCCCGCACGCTTGCCTACTAGTTGCAGTAGCGTCCGGAGTAGAAAGCTTGCCTCATTGGTGCAGCACGCTCTCCTTCTCCTTTACATAAGGCTTGCCTCTTGGTTCTGTGCTCTTGCAGGGTACCTTGAGAGATGTTAATCAGTGTCACTAGAAAGGGCCCTCGTTCGAGCGATGCTCTGCCTTGCTTGGTGTTTGCCTTTGGAACTGTTGTAGTCGTGTCGAGTTTCGACGCGGCTGAACGACTTGAGCGGTAACATGTGAACGTAGAAAGTACTAACGAGGACGTCGTTGGAATACTCGCACGGCCTCGGCAAGGTAACCCTTGAGTGCTTAAAAAATGCCTAAATTGTGGCCAGTCCTATGGGTGTTGTCGATCTCTTCTAGGTGTTAATTATTGTAAGCCACAGCCCTGAAATCCATGGCATTTGGAAAGTTACCGAGGGACATTGACGTACGGCGTGTGTCTGCATTGGCGTACAGATTAGCATGAGCCATGCTCGCGGGTACGTACGGGAACCACTGGGCGCCTGGACCAGGCTCCAATGGCTTTGGATTGGGCCTACATTTGTCACACGTCTTACAGCCGATATTTCGACTACACAATCTTCGTACATGCTATAAGCGAACCGTTTCCTGTGAATGTTTGAGTGGGAACGAGTGTGAAAGGTAAGATGTGAGGGCGTCCTTCGAATCCTAGTGCCTAGATCAGAGCATGAAAGCAACATCTCCGCTGTAATCTCAAATCGAGCCGTTCTCTCATGAGTGTTTGTATGGATATCCAGACGCTGTCACGGCCATCTCGCACTATGTTATAGTCGATTATCAAGACAGTCGTTACTTCACGTGGAGTGGTGATACAGGAAGCCATGAGAAGCGAGGAGCTCTCTTCGGAGGATAGCACGAAACCAAGCTGGAGCGTAGACTCATCAACAGCTTCGGCTGGAATGATACTTACTGAGATCCTTGGAGGGGAAAACACGCCGTCGGAAATGGCGGCCTCCAAATTCCAGCGTAGTTTCTCAAACAATGAATTGTGGTTGCAATAGATCGAAAAAGGTCCAGCGCTTCTCTGTTCGACAATGTTGGCACATGCTAGTTAGCACATTGACAGACCGCGTTCCTCTTTCACGCGCTGTCCTTCAAAAACTTTTGCCGCGGCACACAATAAGCGTAAGTCTTCAAATGCACCACGTGGGAAGACCCAGCTATCAGGTCCATTCGGGTAGAAGTCCGTTGCAGCTCCAACGTTTTCACCCGCAGCAGCTTGTCGCCTGCACTAGCTGGAGCACATCCACTATCCCAACACCAATGAATCTGGATAGCCTGGTCCAGCCCCGCTTGGGAGACACAGTGATGGGAATTGATAGCGTAGGACTTGATGTTCACGTCCCCAGGGTAGTCGAAGCTGAGCGACGAGGATAATCAGTGACCGCTGAGAGCTCCCGACTTCCTGAACCTGCTTGCGATGCGCGACTATGGTGACAACTCGGAACAAGATATCGAGACTGAAATAACATTTCCGCCCAGATTGACCGCAGCGTAGAACGGCAGCGCCATATATCAACCTTAAGTAGATGATAGCATCACGATCTGTGCTACTAGTGGTAAATACAGTCGCAGAAAGAAAACTGAAATATGCTACTGACCAGTTTCTTAGTCGGGTTCACTTGTAACAAGTCTGGGGGTAAATTATTCACGCCCGATCTTATGCTGTAAGAATGAACGAACAGGGTTCGCAGTGTAAAGTTTGTTTTTGGGATGTAGCTTTTCTCGAGCAGATCAAATGCTGGAGTGAGCATATTAGCAGAGGTCGATCAATCAAGTTATGTTTGGAACCTTAGGAAAAAAGTTCGAAAAGCTCTTCTGATAATCCCATAGCACATGGCTGAGCGGCTTGTCAGGTTCACAGAGACCAAGGGCCGAGCGTCGGCGTTTATCCTCCTGCTTGTTTAGCTTGGTGGCCAATGATCGACCAAGCTTCGAATGCCTTTCCTTTTTTTGTGCGCAGATTAGGACAAATCATATATTTGGAGCGTGCAGTGTTGTAAAGTTACACGTTATCGGTCGATTGTTGGGATAGCAAGATGCCGATGCCGGCATCATGCCGATAGCTGGAAGGAAAGAGATGGGGATCTACAATTAGCGTCTTGGCCTCCCCTCTCCCGCCCCTTCTAGCACAAGTCTATGAAAGTCCCCAGAGTTGCATCGCACTCTGATCGGATGCCAACATAACTTATTTCACAGCACCCAGGTGTCTTGCCATCGCACCATGATGTCAATTAACCCGAAACTTTCCTTACTAGCCATCAAAGGAGTATGATTCTGACCTTCCACTCTTTCGAGAAGACTCTCCTACTCGCGTGCGATATCGTTCCTGCAGAAGGTGCCCTCCTATAACGAGATTATGCGACACAGACCGCGCCAGATATCTTGCGCATATTCCAGAGAGACTCATATGGACCACTGTCTGCACATCAAGGCGACTCATTGTTGTCATCAACCTTGAAGGGCAGATCTGGGAAAAACTGCGAGCTTGAAACAATGTGTACAACATGCCTTTTACGACACAACCTAAACTCTTTGCTGTGAACATGCACTTTCCATCTACAATGTGGACCTGGCACGTTGTAACACTCTGATTTTACAGCACACCAAGGGCGATCCTGCCCAATGTACCTAAACAGCTCTTCCCGTCCCATACCCAAACCTCCGAGATCTACCACTCAACCTCGAGCTTCCACTATTACATCCTCGTAGCTGAGGCGCCTTATATTTACGGTGTCTCTATTCCGTAAGTACTTCAACATTAGACGTATGGTGCCGTCAATCAACGCGGATCCTGGCAGTATGTTTGACATGGAGTTCGACAACCCAACGTGTAGGTATACTCCATGTACGACCGACATATGAGATATCCGCTAATCTCATACATTGAATTTTAGGCGTCATGTGGGCTGTATTGGCACTTGCCCGTCTCAACGAGAAAATACCTTCAGATTTCGACAGTATTTATGCCTTTAGGCTTCGCAATGCAATCGAAGACGCTATTGGAGCTTTCTGTGATGACTACATGGAAGCAACATGGTCTACACTGTACAGTGATCGAGCATGGCAAATCGTAAGTACACTCAAGCGTACTGCTGCTGATTACTACAGACACACTGAAGACGTTCAAAATCCTGATGCGGAATGTGAATACCTGATTGAGCTATTCAGTCAGTTCTCCATGCACGTACACCAGCAACAAGATAGGGGCTTTACTGAAGCCTACGGTGCTTTAGGTATGTTGGCTGCTGTGGCGATTAAGATGGGAAGCGTCCTTGGACAACGAATCTCAGACATGTTCGACATGTTTAACAATATCTATGCTGATAAAAACGTATCTAACGATACTATTGCCATTCGTACGAATCAGCAAATCGATCTCCTATGTGCAACTATCGAGCAGTTTGTACGCGAGCAGCTTGAAACGAACGGCGCCTGCACCCCTGTATCGGAAGCGCGAAACATTGTGGGTCAGTCATTCGTTCGTCTGATCCATGAGCCTCTGCGACAACACGTCGAAAGCGTCTTCCAGATGCTAATAAATGACTTGGCGTTTTGCAGCAGTCATACTGTGAACAAGTATCAACCTGATATCAAAGAGAGGGTTGCTATGTTCTATGAATCCCTCAGTAGGTTTTTTTCATATTGTTCGCCGCTGCTGAGCGCCTTCTTCCTTCCAGACATGTCAGACGACGAAAACGAGCTCGACGAGGACGAAGACGAGGACGAAAACTATCAAGAACACATACCTGAACATGTGGCGAACCATGACTTCAGCCAGTACGACGATTTCGATTGGCATAGACGCGAGTTTGAAGTTTTTGATGTTCAAGATGTACTTCGTGGTCCGGAACACGCAGATATGGATGGTGTCTCTATAGCACTCGGCTCAACCGACTCATCCTGCCCCCTCTGCGCCGACGCAGATACTGAGATGCGGAAATTAAATGTTTGCAGCCATGCGATATGCGCTATATGTTTAGACGCACAGCTTAGAGTTCAGCATGAGTGTAGGTACAAGTGCGCAATATGCCGAGCAGAGTTCTTCCCTGATTGACCTTGGATAAAATGAGGCTCCCACGGGTATCTTACCTACTCCATTCTTCTATGCCTTATCCACTGAGAACTTACCATAAGCTCATTGTTCTTGGGAGTATTTCCCACAAGTATCATGAATGGGGAGCGCTACCTAGGTAGAATTATTAATTGGGTCTCGAGAACGAACGCGGTGTTACCTATGCAAGGGTGAGGGTCTCCGTTGGCGCACTTACTAATGGCAGATCTTGGAAGCCGTCAACTTGCAATCGCGCTGGTGTTCGATTCTGCCATACATAGCGTCAATAATGATCTTCATAATGAGTCGTAGTATGTCTCTAATTCGTTGTCGATGAAGTTTACGGAAAGCGCAATTAGATTTCGGTTGACACCTGGAGCAGTGCAATGTGAACGTGTTCGTGCTACGTGTATCACTGCACAAGCACCGTTAATCTCGCATGCTCCTCGCTTCCTAAAATCATGTACATAAGTATCATTTAGAACTGTCGAGTCTGGTACGGTGACTGAACTAGACACATATTAACGTTGCGCACAACGTTGGCGTCAAGTGTTCGCACTATGTATAACCGAAGATATTTTGAAACAGAGCGGCTTAAGTACAGAGTATCTGTTTCTGATTCCTACATGTAATGAGGTAGAAGAGGTCGATCCCCAATCAAGATCAATTCCTGCTTGGTGTACCGCGCTCGGCCCCACTGCGCTGCTCCATATTAGGACCCTTATCTCTCACCTTATCTCTCGGCACACTTCCACAACCTTCTATAACTCCCGGTACCTCAAGCAATACAACTTCGGTGAGATTTTGACACCTACTTAAAACACACGCTTGAGATACGCACAACTACCCCCCACTGTGAGTGTGTCATGGACCATCACTACCATCAACCCCTCTGGCCACTACTGGAAGGCGCATTCGATTACACGATGAACTTGGCGGGTGAGCTTTGGACGATGATTTGGAAACCAGTGGCGCAACCATACACGCAGCCAGCTAGCAAGATGGCCAGCCAAGGCTCACAAAGAGAGGACAAATCGACGATTGCTAGTTTGGAGGCAGGTCGGTCGGGAGAAGCAATGGAAGGTTGCCTATCTGAGCAGCTCAAATGTGGAAGACGAGAAACTTACGCACATATGTCTATGGAGGGGATAGATGCTGGGTAAAGTAATGGATGTCATCTACCCTATCAGAACGCAAGCTGACAGGATAGAGCCACGGTCACCAGTATGCAGATGGCCAAGCCTGGCAACCGATAGCTGAAAGTAAAGGTGAATTAGTACAAGTCGCGACTGAATGTCAGCCGACATGCTAACCGGTCTGGAGGGTACCAAACTCGACATCCTACGCGACTGCAAGTTAGGCAGTCTTTACGACTAGGAAAGGCGCCTTTACAGATCGGAGATGCATACAACAATAAATTTTCTCGGTTCCATCAGTAAGCGCCAGTTCGTCGGATACAAGTGGTGGTACTATGCGATATGACAGCATTGTGCGGTAGCGACGAAGTTTTCTGGGGTTTTAGCGATCACCCAAAGGCACATAATAAGTACATCTAAAACATCCACGACATCGCTAATGACGAGTCATAATTAGGAATTGACGCAGCGATGATGTGTGTACCACGCAATGGATATTATATTGCAGATACTCCTCGATAATGAAGCCTTACAATGCAAGTATGCATCTATTTCCAATTCATCCAAGTACCTGACTTATTTCGAAGAAAACAATCAAATTTGCATAACAAACAAGTCGATCTAGCATATCATAATGCATCTCTAGTACACCCATTGGTGTCTTCAGAAGCTCTCGACACATCTCTGGTGTTAGGTACGAGCGTTACTATTCTTCTGCCTGCGATACACATACCTCAGGCTTGGAATTCCAATGCCAGTGCTACATATTCTAATATTGCGGTGTACATGGGGCGATGTCAAAGTTGATTGATGCGGACCTACTCTCGGGTGAACCGGAATGGTACGGAGGAGGCATCGCCAATAATTGTAACCTGAAAAGCGTGAACTTCACTTTCTTCCAGATGTCCGTGTTGTGAAGGCAACCTCTTAGACGTAGTTGCTGGAATATGTGCTCTTTTGCAAGTGGACCTTCGATTTGTTTGTCACCTACGCACGTGCCGTTTGCGACTTCCTTGGCCGCTTCTGTCGCTCTCACTCCGCAAAGCCATTGATCGGATCAACTGACAATTAGATTCTGCCCTTAACCCTCTCTCAGTTCGCCTAGGAATGCAGGACGCGACTTGAATTTCGATAAGCAATAAGCGTGTCTTAGCAACTCTGACAGTAAGTAATCTTGATGCAGACGTGCTTTACTGCTCTTGCAACTGAAGCTGCTCTGGCGATTATAAAGATCTCAGCTAACACTCAACAAGACATCTGCGATGGCCTCGGTACAGCAGAAAGCGCAATGCGTTTGGACGCTCCCACCGGCGACATCGAACTCCGATAAACCGCTCGCTGTCGCTCTTGCTACATATCCGGTTCAGGAGGTAGGCGTGCAAAGGCTATTCTTGTACTCCATTCAGAATACTGATACCAATCTGCAGGCACTAGTCTCGTTCTTGACACCCGACGATCTCGTCGTTCTTACCCTGATCTCGCAGGCTTTCCATAAGCACATTCGTATGGACGACGCCAATGCAAAGGCCAATCTTCTCTCCAAAACTCTGTGTCCAGGAATTGGTTGCTTTGCTCGGGCAATCAGCCATTGCATCTGCTCAGTAAAAACGTTCGAACCCATAGTTCACTGTGCTGGACTCGGCTTCGCGACAGAATCTCGCCCATGTGCGAAGTGCGGAGTCAACACCTGCGACGAATGCCGGATACATGTTCTCTATAACTTCCTCACAGAAGACTCTGGATTTGACCAGCGTCGCTGGTGGGCAGGCTTCTGCTTTCTCCAGCCTGAAGCCATCGCTGTGTATCCACTCAAGAACTCGGAAGAAGATGCTTGGCATCTACCTATCAAAGACATGAAACCTCTGCATGACCAAGGCCGTACTCATATTCCCCTGAATATTATTGCCATTGGCGACCCTGAGCCCTTTCAGCGCATTCTCGACCTTGACTTGGGCACCCACCAATTCATCGAGCCTATTGGTCGCACAGAATACCCATACTCTGGCGTTCAAATTGTCTCGTTGCTCAACATGATTGTCAACAAGCGCAAAGATTTGACTTGTCCTTCGTGTTACCGAGAACGCCGGAAGAAAGGCCTAGCGCGATGTTCTTGTAGCCTACGCAAGCGCTTTCTACACCGGTGGCTGTGTGCGGCCTGTTACACCCAAGAAGACCGTGCAGATGAAGATCTACGCTGCCATGCTCCAATAGCAGACGAGATAGGGGAGGGTCACAGTCATGTATGCGGCTGTGGTGCGGAGTTCACATCGGAAGCTGAACCGAAAGTTGTGTGCAATTGGTGCAAAGGAGAAGTTCAAGGGCCTCAGCAAGGTGCCGAGAACGATGTCGCTAGTGAGAATGGCGAAGACATCAGCAACGACGAGGAAGAAGGGGGAGGAGAAGGGGAAAACTACCCTGACGAGGATCATTCGGCTGCTGACTTCGCGCATGTGCCACAGGACGATTTTGGCTTCGTTGAGAACCATGACCATTCTCTTTCGGTATACGTGAACGGAGAGTGTATCCGCGGCGAACGTCTTGGTCGGTCCGTGGTTCGTCAGTGGATGAGAACTCAAGGCATGCATGTTGAGTGCACATGCTGTAAATGCAGTAATCGTATCGCTGACCATACTCACGCGGAAGATGAAGAAGACAGGGACGATACAGACGAGGCTACAGAAGATGACGATAGCAGTGAAGATGAAAACTTACCTGACCTGGAGGAAGTTGAGTCCGCGGCTGGCTTCGAAGATCAGTGGGGACTAGACTGAGCACCAACGACACGCTTGTACAGGATCAGATCACACAATGTGTTACCGGTGAACGTGTGGACTCATTAGTGCCCAGAATGAATAGACTCAGACATGACTGTCGCATGCCATGTATAGTTAGTGCTGTAGATGTCGTAGGAATTGCCCGTGACCGCTCTTCCTGCTCAGCGATATTTAGCCTATCCACAGATGCAGCGCCATCACAATGGAAGAAAGAACAAGCATAGCGATGTTACCAAAAAGTAAAGCCAGCGATTACTTTCTCCTTCATTCATAGTCAGTGATTGGCATCTGAATGACAGGTGCTGAGACTGAGTTAGTAACTCCCCGCAGTCCACACACGACCTCTTGCCCGAAGTGGGTCGTGGAAGCTTGGCACTGACACATTGATGTCGCTCGGACTGTGCCTGATCGCTTCGTCGCCGCATCCCCATCATCAGCTGCACCTTCCAACAACCCAGCATCGTCCAATCGCGACTTTGCCACACCGACTTCCGCTGGCCGAGATGTGTTCGAGCACGCTGTACGTGCCGGGAGACCTGCTGGCGAGGCGATTGCTACCTGGATATCCATCCTGAACAGGCCGCGATTGTAAGGTTTAACAACTCGAACACGTCAGACGCGACATGGAGGTTTATGGCCGTTCGCAGCTACCAAACCATGCTCTTTTACAATCAGAATGTCGCGCGAAGTCCCAAGACGGGGAAGGACGGCGGTGAGTCGCAGTACCTTATCGGTGCGACTTCGCCAAGACCTATCGCCCGATGATTTCGGGCCATCGGTAAAATGCTCCAAGCACAGCGCATGACAATGCGTCAGATTCAACGGAGAACACATCCCGGTTATTACAGAAACGTTCGGTCCGTCTATTCATTACTTGGTGGTTCCCTTTTCCTTCGCGCACATTGCTTCCGTTATCATTACATTAGATTCACGACCTACGCCTGCCGACATACCAAGTTTGATTGAACGCAACTACCACTACTCTTATTCTTGTTCCATCAATTTAGAACGTTATACGTGCTCTTTGCCCAGCAGAACGCTGGATATCAACACTGGGATAATGAAACTATTACCCACCTTCTCGGAGGACCGTAGCGCTCAGACGACATCCTTCAAGGACATTGCGCAAGATACAATCGGAGAGGCATACATCGAGGAGGACCCGTCGGTAGCAGAATGGTTGCGCGAATGCGTCCCGACTTCACATGATGCCGCAGAATACGTACGCGAGTTGTTTCCGAGCGTACGGTGGCTGAGACGCTATAATCTACACTGGCTGGCTGGAGACGCTATCGCAGGTATGCAAAGTAATCTCCAGAAACTCTTATTACACACGGCTAATTCAAGAAAGGTATCACGGTCGGTCTTGTTGTGGTACCGCAAGCCATGGCTTATGCGTCGCTCGCGCGCCTGTCACCTGCTTTCGGCCTATACACGACCTTCACAGGCGCGTGTCTATACTGGATCTTCGGGACGTCTAGAGACATCGTCATAGGTGTAAGTAAATCCTCTAGGCGAGCTAAACGCAGCTAATCATAACCAGACGACAGCAGTCGGGTCACTACTGATCGGAAGCGCAGTCAGCAATATCGAAGCCGAACACCCTGGTGTGTATCAGCCCCAGGAAATAGCGCATGCGATAAGCTTCCTTGCTGGAAGCATTATTCTAGTCTTCGGTATCCTTCGTCTCGGCTTCATCATTGAGTTTATTCCATATATCCCCATCTCCGCCTTCGTCACATCCGCCAGTATCACTATCATCTCGACACAACTGCCGACCTTGATGGGGGTGAGAGGGATCAACACACGTGAGTCCCCGTACAAGGTGTACGTCAACTTCCTAAAGGGCTTACCCAGGGCAAGGCTTGACGCGGCTATTGGTATCACATCCATTGTGCTTCTTTACCTAATCAAGAACTTGTGCGCTAAGATGGAGGTCCGCCAACCACGAAAGAAGAAGATGTGGTCCTTGATCTCATCACTGCGCCTCACGTTCACTATCCTGCTCTACACTCTCATCAGCTGGCTTGTACATCGAACGACCCCTGCAGGCCAAGAGAAGTTTCGAATTGTCGGCCACATCGAGAAGGGATTCAGTCACGCGGGCGTACCCTCGATGAATGGCAAACTCTTTGGTTTGGTAGCATCAGAGCTCCCGGCAATGATCATTATCCTCATCGTCGAACATATCGCCATCGCTAAGAATTTTGGGCGAAGGCATAATTACACCGTCATTGCTTCACAGGAGATGATTGCACAAGGTGCCGCCAACATACTAAGTCCTTTCGTCGGTGGCTACGTATGCACAGGCTCTTTTGGTGCTTCTGCCGTTCTCTCCAAGGCTGCGGTACGTACCCCACTATCTGGCGTCTTCAGCGCAGTGGTCCTAGTGCTGGCGCTCTATGCGCTTACCGCTGTCTTCTACTACATACCAAATGCTGCGCTTGCTGGTCTGATCATACACTCCACCGTCGACTTGATCAAGGGACCCAAGGACTTGCACAAATACTACCAACTGTCACCGTTCGAGCTCTTCATTTGGGTTTGTGGCGTTGTCATTGCATTCTTCACCGACCTTGAGACTGCAATCTACATCACTGTGGGACTGTCTTTCGCAATGCTTCTCGTCCGAATGGCAAAGAGTCCGGGCAAGTTTCGAGGTACCGTGGAGGTGACGCGCATAGTTCGCGACGATCGCTTCTGCAATAAATCTATGTCGACAACAGGCACATCGCTGCCTCCACAGACATATGGAGAAAACACGTATGACACCAGTACTGCAAAAGATTCCCGACAGGTCTACATACCTTACGACGCCACTGACAACCATAACCCGGACATCAATGTGGAACCGGCATATCCTGGCGTCTTCATCTACCGTTTCAGCGAGAACTTCAACTACATCAATCAGGCCTACCACGTTGACTATCTTACCTCTTACATCACCTCGCATACGCGCCGAACCCAAGCCGATGACGGTATCCGGGCTTGCGATCGCTTGTGGTGCGACGCGCCGCCTAGCGAGAAGCTTATTGAAGAGTCTTCCTCTCTTCCAGTTCTGAGGGCTATTGTTCTTGATTTCTCCACTGTCAACATTCTAGACATCACGAGCATTGACGGATTGAAAGGTTTGCGCGAGACGCTCGACCGGCATGCTGCGCCCGGGCTGGTTGAGTGGCACTTTGCTGGTGTGCACAACCGGTGGACACGCAAGGCGCTCACCTTTGCAGGATTTGGATTCCCTGCAACGATCAACGCCGACCATATGGGAGTATGGTGTCCAGCCTATACCGTCACGACCAGTCTTTTAGGTACAACGGGTAATGAGCGTAACGAAATGGAGGCTGCACGGCGGCATGTGCAGAATAGAGACGAAGAACAGGGCAAGGAGTTGGCGGAAACGCATGCTCTTGAGGTACAGTCGACTTCTGCGACCGAGAAGAGAAGATTTTATCCAATCCATGGAGTCGATAGGCCCTTCTTCCACCTCGATCTTCACGACGCCGTTGACGCTGCGGTTCGTGATGCGAAGAAGGCTGACCAGCTTGAGGCGCGCACGAGCTGTTCGTCAACTACATGGTCACAATCACATGACCAAGGGGGTGAGGCGTAGAGATCCGTTTCGTTATCACGGTTTCATAATTCATCGATACTGTTGGTATGCATGGCGTTCAGCGTTCTGGCGTTTGTATTTGGCATTACATTAGCATTGAAGTCATTAGCATATCAGGACGGCTACAGCTTCAGAAGCGCAGGATATGATACTACCAGGATGATATCTCATCTTATCCCTATAAGCTATTAGATCTGCAAGGGATCAAACAGTCCGCAAGACAATAATAACGTATGTTATAGAACACATCTAACAGCTGATATGGATCCTGGTGACTAATGACTTGCCTCATGTAAAATGGTTGGGAATAGAGGTTCAGTGTTGGAAGCTGGCGATGATGTAGGCAAATAGCAGAAACTAAGATCTGTTGTTGTCACTGCGCTAAGACGTTAGCTAAAGCAATGGTACAATTGCTTTCTATCATATCCCTGAGTTGAACCAATAGCATGGTTTGAGATACAAATATCCATTCATATCAGAAGGTCAGAGGTCTATCAATACTCGACCATGAACCTATGAATATGTGTATCAGGGATTCGCTAGCGCTAAACATGCGTCAACTGCAAGACCAACACTAGATATTTGTTAGTCTTTATGGGTATCATTTTAGTGGCGTTCGAACAAGACTCACCGACCCTCCTTCTGCCGCACCACGTCGTCGATGACATCCCGGTCCAGCTGGGGAAACATGCCTGTCAGCGTCTCGACTACGACCTTGTGTTCCTGACGTTGTATGCGCCTCGCTTCCTCTGCTTCAGCTGACGCCTGTCGCGCAGCGACATCTTCTGCCGTCAACCTCTGCCTTTGTCGGTCGTCCTCATGCGATGGTCGTTGCTTCTCGTTCATGTTAGACTGAGGAACCTGACCGGGAAACTCCGTTGACGCGCGTGGCGGTAAATGCGGTTTCTGGGCTGACGCAGGTCCAGATGGATGGTGGGTATCATTGTCCGAGAAGATACGACCAATAGTGCTAAGTGGCCGTTGTATTGTGCGCAATAGGCCTGCGACAGCGGCATTCTCTTCTTCTGGCTGCTCCGCCTCAGACTTGCGATCCTTTAGACTGGTCGACCGTCGTGGCCCTGCAGTCTCTGCCTCCATCGAATTTCTTTGTGTGAGTTCCGGCCGTAATGGTGTCGTCTTTTCCGCTATGTGATGATAGTGAGGTGAGGGCATACGTTTATGGTTAGGCGCAGTAGGGTGTAGTAACGCAGATGAAGACGAGGATTCGGCTTCCTCGGCTGCATGGCGTTCAGCGATGGCTGAGACGGCCGCTTCAACGTTTTTCTCGAATTCCTCATCAGTCACGGTCAAAGAGGTCTTGTCAAGACCTTCGATGAATTGGATGGCGCCCATTAAGGATGATATGTAGTAACCTGCTTCTCCACCAAGCTTATCCTGGTTACGGAACCGCAGAATGTATTGTACGTTCGAGACAAGATGATCGGGGTTCGCTTGCAGTACCGTATAGATGAGAAGCGGTACGAAGGCATCGGCAGATTGATCGGAATTTGATGTCCGCAAGAATCCAAAGATGACCTTGCAACAGTTCAAGATACAGATTATCTTGTCTCTGGGTGCTCGATAGCTCTTTATCTTCAACAGCTCTTGTTGGGCCAGATGTAGAAACTTCTTGCCCTTGTCACCTACAGGCTTGATATCCAAGTGCTCTTCACTGACCCATTTGTATATCCGCACCTTCTGCGCCAAGACCTCATCTCGCTCTACGTCTTCTTGATGCTGACCTCTTCGGCCTGGTCCTGGCGGCTCTTGTCTCCGTCGACCTTTGCGTGGTGATGCAGGCTCTGGAGGCGGGATTGCGGGCGAGAATGTTTGAGTGTACAACCGATTCATGACTAGTTTCTCCATGCCTTCTCTTGCGTTATCGAACTCGGCGTCGGACACCGTCCGCCATACCTCGCATTGTGCCATCTTCTTGCTGATGAATTCGAGGAAGTCTCCAATAATCTTGACTTGCTCATGTACCATCCATTGCTTCTTCCCGAATTCCAAGAGGAAAGAGCGCAAAAATTTGGCGACAGGGTCTGCGGTCCGGTGACGGAGCTGTTCGAGAAAGCGGTGGAAGTCGAAGGGTAGGTCTGGCTCAGGCTCTGGTGCTGGCTGCGCTGGCTTGTACTTGGAAGCATGTGCGCTGGGCGAGGTCGGTTCTGCAAAGGAGGTACCAGTGCCAACGCGGTGTAGAGAGGAAGTGCGAGGAGGTGGAGACTGAAGTGAAGTCATCGAAGCCGCATCGTCGGCCGGAATAGGCAAGGGCTTGTCGAGCGGCACAAGACTTGACCTTCGGGGTGGGTAGGGAGTTGAAGGCGACTCTAACATGGGGGTCGCTATCTCCAGTCTGGGAGACATGATCTCAGTCTCGCCAGGCCCACCATCCCCCTCGAACTGATCCATGATGCTCTGTATCTCCTCCCGCGAGTTATCTACAGCGTCTCCTGTGCCGTCATGGTTCGCAGCATAGTCGTCAGCCGCAGCGTCTTCGGAATTTCTTCCACTTGATCGTTCTTGCGACATTGGGGAAGTAGTTCGGCTAGGTACGTTACTCGTCGTGAGGTATCTGTCGTCTTTGGGCGGTGGAGGGGGAGGCGAAGGTGATCGTATAGGTGCTTTGCCTGCCGATTTCTCGCTGAGCTCAGGTGGTGGTGTTGATGCGCGGTCCAGCGCTACAGTCTCTGTCTTGGTGGTGAGCTCCTCGATTGGCGCCGTAGACGATGTCTGCACAGCCTCCATATCTTTACTCTGGTCCACTTCTGCACCAGCGGGGGTCGCCTTCGACTCCTCCGGGGTCTCGTGCACTTTCTCTACCATCTCCGACGACCCTTCCTTCGATACGTGCCCCTCGTCTTGGGCCTTCATCTCGACTGGCTGCCCCGCGCCGGTCGTGGTATTCGTGTCGTCTGCCAAATCCGTTGGATCTGTGGCCTGTCCGGATAGAGGCGCGCTCTCGTTCATCGTGGCCACATCTTGTTGGTCATCGACCTTCTCTAGCTTCGCTTCGGCGTTGCTGTCTTGGGCTGCATCGTGTTGCGGAGTTGAGTTCGGGGGAGACATAGACCGACTGCGACTGGGGATTGTGGAGAGGCGATAGGTGGTTGATCAAGTGTCCATGGGTCTTCTATGGAGCTCGAAATAGCTCTAGCAGGGCATATATATGTCAACTATCTCAGTCGTGGTCGTCTGTTGCGCCTGCACCTGCGCATCGTCCACATGGTCTCCCGGCATCTAGAAGCCGAGTCTCCGAGCGGCCCCCACTAGCGCGTCAGGCAATGTCAAACGTGCCGTTGCCAAAACCATTTCTCCACTGCGAACACCAGCCCGACCATGTGCGGCATCTTCTTCTCGCTCAGCCGAGCTGGACATGTGACGCCTGACACGAATACTCAGCAACTGCTCCAGAACAGAGGGCCTGATAGCACAGGGCAGCATCAAACTGTCATCGAATCCAGCCCCAAGGCATCTCCAACGCGTCTTCACGCGACTTTCCTGTCAACAGTCCTTGCTTTACGCGGCAACGACGTTGTCAAGCAACCTCTCAAAGACGTCGCCACTGGCTCCGTTCTTTGTTGGAATGGCGAAGCATGGAGCATTGCTGGACATGTCATTGATGGCAATGACTCTCAGCTTATCTTCACTAAGCTCTTGAATGCATGCGCCAGTACAGGCGAGACATCCATTAAAAGCGTCATTCAGCTGCTGTCAGGCGTGCGGGGTCCGTATGCCCTTGTTTTCTTCGATGCACCTAACAATCGCATCTACTATGGACGCGACTGTCTGGGACGGCGGTCGCTGCTCCAAAAGTCAACTCCAGACGGCACACTTGTCTTGTCTAGCGTTTGCGATAACGCTTCTGGTGAGTCTTGGACTGAAGTGGAAGCCGATGGCATCTATGTCCTAGATGTCGATGCCGCAGACTCGACGTCGAACTCGTTGCCAGTTACAAAGATTCCGCACCGCCGCTCAGACCCGAAAGAGGACTCTGGACTATCTTTCGTAGGTAGGTCATCTGGTGCGCGAGTCCTGCTAACAGACTCAGACCCTGCCATTTCCCACTATGAATCCAACTGTAGACATCGAACCTGCAACACAGAACACGGACGCGACCGAGCAGTTGAGGTTATCGTTGGAAAGGTCGCTCAAATTGCGTACTCAGCATATACGAGAGGCAGTGACCAGCAATGCGACGCCGGGAGCTCTAAAGGACGCACAGGTCGGCATCCTTTTCTCTGGTGGCCTTGACTGCACAATCCTCGCGCGCATGTGTCACGACCTCCTACCGCTCAGCGAATCTATCGACCTCCTCAATGTCGCTTTTGAGAACCCTCGAATCCATTCCAATCTCGAGTCAGGAACCAGTCCGTACGAGCTTTGCCCGGACCGTATCACTGGACGATCGTCACACGCCGAGCTCATAGAAGTCTGTCCAGGGCGAGAGTGGCGCTTCGTCGAAGTCAACGTGCCCTACACCGAGACGCAAGCCCACCGTAGCACTGTCATGGCGTTGATGCATCCGCACAATACGGAAATGGACCTTTCCATTTCGTTCGCGCTGTATTTCGCCTCACGCGGGAATGGTCTAGCGCACCTCTCAGACAGGGCTCGCGCAGAGCCATATACCACCAACGCACACGTCCTCCTATCCGGATTGGGGGCCGACGAGCTTTTTGGCGGGTATCAACGACATGCCGTAGCTTTTGCTCGGCACGGATACCCCGGCCTGATTGAAGAGCTGGAGCTTGACTTCAGTCGACTAGGAAAAAGGAACCTGGGTCGCGACGATCGAGTTATCAGCGACAGCAGTAGGGAAGTTCGATTTCCGTTCCTTGATGAAGACTTCATCGCATTAGCGCTGAGTCTTCCGGTGACAGCCAAGTGCGATTTCGGCCTGACGCAAGTGATTGATAGTGAAGATCCTATGCAGTTCCTCGAGCCTGGAAAGCGCGCTCTTCGATTGCTGGCCTGGCAATTGGGCATGAAAAGAGTAGCTGCGGAGAAGAAGCGTGCGATCCAATTCGGCGCTCGCACTGCCAAAATGGAGACAGGCAAAACGAAGGGCACACATGTTCTAAGTCAATAAGGTTAGTCATCTTCATCTTTTTCCTTTGGCAATGATTACAAATCGAGCAAGCGATTGAGACACCGGTGTATATCCTCTGGGCTGTCCTATCTAGTGATGGATGGGCGAACCTTCAAGCACGTGGTGTCGTTGATTCGTTTTCAGAAAAGGCAAGTCTGAGCCTTGTCAATATCATTGTGTTATCTTGGGTACTGTACTGTGCTTGTACTAACACAACAAACAGTATGCCCATCACTGTCTAGTCATATCGGTCTGTCTATCGCCTGGTATTTGCATGCTGCGTGACATCGTCTCATCCTAAATAAGCTTAGGAAGGAAGAAAATGAAACGACTATCCGCTAATCTTCACCTTATCCATTCACCATCTCCGACCGACCACTCAAAACTCGAATGTCAACAGGCAAGGATGCACCGATCGTGAGGTAGCCCGATCGACACAAACTGCTACTTCATAAGCGCAGCCGCAACCGTACGAAGCGCCACCCAAACCAGAATCCGAAAAAAACGTTGAAACGGTGAAGTTTGAACCAGTGCTTTTCTGTCTGGCAGAGGCGCTTCCGTCAGGCCGTACACCATCGTGGCCTCCATGTCCGCTAAAACCATCGCCGCCAGAAATATGATCACCAGAACCATGACGGCCTTTTCCATGACCTCCATCACCTTTCTTTTCGAGCAAATCAATATCAACCTCTACTCAAGTCAGAGTATGTGATGTCGTAAGGACGGTGAAAGCCATCATCAAGTCATGTAAGTTCATTGCAGCAGGAATCATCGATACCAAATGCAAAGTAGATGACGTAACCCCCAATGAGAGCAATAACAAGAGTAGATAAAGCAGGCTAAATGACCTTGGTCCAGATGAGCCGTTTTCGATATGGGCCTTCTTTAAATATGTCGCACTCGACTGAGAAGGCCAAAGGTTTGCATCGAATGGCAAGTCCTCTACTGGGGCTGACATACTTACTGGCCGGCACCACGGCCCAGAACTACGCGACTCTCTCAAGATGAAGAGACCTTTGTATGGAGACTGCAGCAGTCTTGACGGCATACATCGCCTGAATGAAATATGGTGTAGGTTCTAGTTGCAGCATCTCGTAGGGAAAGAAGCTCTAAATACGATGACCGTGAGGAAAGGTTGAGGATCCCTAACGGCCTTGCGTGTCTACACACGCCATCACTTCAGCTCTTACTGAACAGAATTGAAACCAACCCCATCCATGTTTACGCGTATTGGACTGCCGAAATGAACGTGCATCCTTATGTGCAAACTGTCCTCACGTGCGATGATTGATTCTCGATAATCAGTGGCGAATCACATGTCGTAGAAGGTTCCAGCCACAGCTGCACCGCCACAATGACGCAACGCTATGTGTCTATATAGCAGCCATCACGCACTCCTCAAGCCCTTCTCATCATTACCTGCAAAGTCTCAGTATCATTCAATCTCCCGAACCAGACGTCTTAGTATACCACTCAACGACACATTCACCAACAACCAGCAACAGCCAGAATGCCTGTCCCAATGCCTTCCACCACCTCACAATCCACCCCAGCGACGCAGTCTTCAGCTGCTGCGCAGACGGCGCACAACGTACAGAATGCAGCTACGCAAGCTCTAGCGAGCGCGACCCACAGTGAGAAAACCGAGCAGGAGAAGGAAGCCGAGCGACGATACGAGGAGGCGATGGAGGAGGAGTACGCTAAGAGGGAGGGTGGAGCTTAGGCTTCAACATGTCAGCCATAAGAGGAGGGAAGGATATATCACAGGCTCAGAACGATACCCAAAACGATCAAATTCACATCACGAGTAATAGATGAAAATCTCCACTTTATTCAACATTCAAATTCACAACTGTGTTACCCTGCCAGCGCCTTCTTCACTAACTCCATAGGCCTCTCTCCCATAGGAATCTTCAACGCCAACTCATGCCCTTGATCCGTCATCTTCCCCCACGTCTTCTGCAATATCCTCACAATCTTATCTTCATCATGTTCCTTCTCAAACGCCTCGAACTGGTCATCCAAGAAAACTAGGCAAGCCACGTCCTCCAACACCATTGTCTCCTCGTTGGCCTTCAAATCCTCTTTCCGTATCAAACTGCCCACTGTCTCGCTGTCCTCTTTACTGTACCCAGAATCTAGGCATATTTGCTCAACGAGCTCGGCTTGTCGTTTCTTGAGGTAGGTACGCCAGGCGTGGTAGCCGGGGCGTGTCATTGGGTAGCTGGACCGTGGTACCTCCCATCGGCGAAAGTGTTGGGCGCGGATTGCTATGCGAAGGGGTTCTGAGGCATCAGGGGCGCGTTTCTCGAGGTAGGAAGTGCATTTTTGCGCGTAGTGGAGTTCGTATGGCATTTCTTCATTGTTGATGGTTACTTTGTTTGGGTCGAGCGCGTGGGCGCCGTCGATGGCTGCCAGAGCGCGTTCCAGGGGTGTCGACATCGTGACGGTGGCTCAGGGTGGTTTTAAAGGATTTGGTGATAGTGCGCTATGTTTCGATGCGTGCGCGAGGGTGTAGTGAGGCATTTCGTCGGATGTGAGACTGGTTACTGGTGTTGTGCAGAGATAGCGGCGGATGCCCCGCGGTTCAAGTGGGGGTCGTCCATGTCCGGCGGTGGGTGCCCTGTCGATCTTCGCACCAAAACATACCCATTCATCGCAACGTATTCGTCATAGTCCTGCTGCATTGCTGTCTCCTGTACGAGATCACTGTACGCGAATCGCGTCTTTCTCGCCCTGTTCTTCTGCCTTGCATATCGCATGGGTAAACGCGGTGGCTTAAGCCGATTGGGCAACAACGACCGACACTGCTGTATTGTCTTTTCTAACCTCGCAACTCAACTCGCTCACCTTGTTTCTCAGCCTCATCATATATTGTCATTGCAACCCTGCACTTTCCACCATGTCATTCGCAAGTCCAATTCACGTTTTTGAGGTGACTGCTCTACCTTTCTGTTTATCTCATCACCTACAGTTCCGTTGTCTTAGCCATCATGGCTCATGACTGGACCGCCCCGACTGATTCCGGGACTTTTGAGGCCCTCTTCGCATCCGATCCCGCAGACGACTTTCTACCGCCACATTATTATGACGGCTTTATACCAACATTGAGCGACTCTTGGCTATCAACTGCAATGGCAAATGACATAGATTTGCCAGACCCGAGTTTTCTACAGTTCGACGGTGGGGTGGACGTCACGTGGAATGACATGAACGATAACGACGCCTTTCCTGAACTCGACCAGATCGATCCTTTCTTGGAGAGTTTGAGTCTTGATGGACCTTCATCGAACCTCGGTAGTCTCGAGTGGAACCAGCAGATATTGTCAGATTCAATGCATGGCCAGATACCCGACCTAATGGAAACCACGATCGCGGACTACGAAAGGGATACCATCATATCGAGAGCGCTCGTGGTCAAAGCTCAAGAATTGAACGGTAGTCAGTCATCGTCTTTAGGACCGTCTGATGTACACAAATCTACGAAGCGCTCGGCATCGAACACCGCAAAGCCTCCGAGGACGAAGCTTCCTGAGGACGTACGCGCAACATTAGATGAGTACTTTGGTTTCAATCCATACCCTTCAGAGAGCGAGTACGCTTTGCTCTCTGATAAAACCGGGCTTTCAACACGAGTGATCAGGACTTGGTTCGCGAATGCGAGATCGCGCAAGATTCCACAAAGTAAGAAATCTTGAGGCTCCATTACCCTAGGACTTAGTGCTTGACTACTAGGATCCGACTCTGGAAGCTACTCCCTTTTTACAATCCTGCTAATAGCTTGTATGCAGGCAAAACTTACATGCGCCAAGATGTTTGTGCTTCTGAGCTCTATGACCGAACCGAAAGGAACTCGTCAACAGGAAATGCGGTAGCTTGTAGTAGTGTACAGCGGTTTGATAGACCTTCTCCTACACCCAGTGTAGTTTCTCTTGAGCGATATCTGATTCAGCCCACGATTCTGGACCCGATCTCTACTGCAGTGATTGAGTCAACCTTACAGCCCGACTACAATCAATTTGCATTGCCCTTACCTGTGGGGCAGGAACCGCCTATCAATTCCTTAGAGATACCAGTTCAGTCTTGTTCCGCTTGTCAGCGCGGAAACATTCCCTGCACCGGAGAGACTCCAACTTGTTTTCCCTGCCAGATACACGAGAGGCTTTGTGTATACCTCAAACCACCCAACAATGCAGGCTGGAATTCATCAACCACGAATCTCTCCCAGATCCCAGAACCCAGACACCGCTCTCGAATACGTACCTTCAGTAGGACGAGCTCAATGAGCTCACATGGTTCCCATACAAGCGTTAAAAGCTCGCCCAGCCGTATCTCGGTCGATTCAAGGGGGTCCCGCCGAGGACGCAAACGTTGGATTCCATCACATGGCGCCAATGTAAGTAAATCGATTCATGTTCGCGCTGCTCTCTATTGTCATACATACAGCCAACTGAAACTTACGGCAGACATCTACGAAAAATAGGCCGTCTAGGCAGAATCCCTACTTTTGCACGTCGCCTGATTGCGATAAGCTTTTCAACAATCGATCTTCGTGGGCACGACACGAAGAAGGCGTTCATCATTGGCCTTATCAGTGGATCTGCTGCTTAAGCGTAAATACAGTCATGCGACTACCAAAATGTTTTGTTTGCGGTCAACGCGACGTTCTCTTGAGCCACCTGGTCGAATGTCACTTCGGAAGATGTGCGACAGAGTCTGAAATTGATCGGACTTTTACACGAGAAGATCACCTTTCCCAACATATCAAAAGAGTTCACATTGGCCGAGAGGGTGAGTTGGTTTTCATGCCCAAAGATCTCCTTGAGGAATGGAAGAGAGACAATCCTTCTTTGTCTCAAGCAGCTCTAAACTGTGGTTTCTGTGGTATGGTCTTTAGCACTTGGATGCAACGGCTGGACCATGTCTTTGGTCATCTTAAGAAGAGTACATGCAAATCCGCTTGGTGGCCGGGTAGATTACCAGTCATACCAAGGAATATCTCAAGGTAGGTTGCAAGGACCTAGCTTTGTTTCCTCGCTAACATCGCGGTAGTGTTGGCTCGTATACCTGTTCGGCTTGTCGCTGCACATTTCCAAGCATCCAAGTGGCTCTTCAACGACATGGGGTATGCTCTACATATTCATGCCGCTATCTTCACGACTGGCATTCACTTTTCCGAATTCAAGTCGAGTCCAGACCGCGTGTCTACATTGTGTGGTGCAACCTATGTAATGTTAAGATCGATTCTTACCCTCGCAAAAGACCACCCAAGGAATATTTGGATACCCTGCAGACACATGCAGAGTCTCACGCCCTTCGGGAATGTGCACAGGAGGTTTTTGCCGATAGATTGCAGTTTTGGGAGCACATGCGCATGGAACATGCCGCAGTGCATTCGGAAGGCATTGATTGGCAAAACGTGCAGTTTCTGGAGTCGACGGATGAAGGCCCTGTAGTACGCACAATGCTCGTGACAACAGAGAGCCCTTTTTGCGATACTAAGCCTTCGAACTATCATATGATCTCTTCCACTGGGATGTTCTTGTAATGAGTCAAAGTTGTGGTTCCGAAGCCGGCATGAAAATTGTTCCACCAGTTGGGTAAAGAGTAGTCATCGTGCACTACCGTGCACCAAATAGTGTACGCCATGAGAACGTTTTATCACTAGATCAGCAAGGTATATGGGCAGTGGTCACATTCCAATTTCAACACCAATCATATCATGGACCGGGGCTACAGCGTATACATGTAGAGTGAACTAGCTAGGCCGCCGTGGACATAATTCGACATTGTTAGGCTATGATTTTGGCTTCACGTGAGCGCGCCATGCACCATTCGAATGTCATTTCTTGCTAGATGTCGATCGCAACAGTGCAGTTTTCATCCCCAGTTTCCCTGCGACGGATCTTGCGTCCACGAATTACTATGTTGGTGCGGCATAGAAGGTGGCGCTTGGAAGTAGCTGTTTGTATCTTGTTGTTGTTGCTCCTGTTGTGGCCATCCATTGCTATCCTGCCCAGATATCGACGACGCACCAGGACTGTGACCTTGTCCGGACTGCGGCGCCGGTAAACCTGGGCCATATACCATAGCTCTTCGTTTCTGGCCGCCGGATGGTTGTGGCAACTCAGGTAACGGCTGAGGTGACGGAGTTGTCCACGTCTGTTGGCCAGGGCTCGCGTCGAATGTCATACCGTGTGGTTGGGGACTATGACCGGATCCGTCGTACGAAGTGCCATTATATGACATGGAACTTGCGAAAGGACTAGATTGCGGGAACAGACTTGGTGGTGTTGTTGGGCCTCCTGGGTACATGAGTTGTGGCGCCTGTGGAGATACCGATGGCATCGGTACCCATTGTGGAGGGTAGGTAACAGGTGGCGGAATTTGTTGTACTGGAGGCGAAGTGTGCGGTGATGCTTGTTGGCGTTGGTAAAGCTGTGCAGATAGAGCAGCGGACTCTCTTTGGAACCGATCACGCCAGTGGGTAAAGCCAAACCTTAGGCCAAATTTGGATAGTACTGATGTGAAGTCATGGATAGCGTTGATGGCACGAGCGGTGGGGTCTAATGGCAGCATCTGTCCTTCAGGAAGTAGTGGTGATGGGAATGGTGGTGCGCTGACCTGTGCAGGTGGTGCCAGGGGATCTTCGGATTCTGTTTGAGGAGCCAGTGGCGTTGGAGGTACCGGTGGTCTTGGGTCAAGGATCATCTCCATGTTGCGTGACAGAACGTCCACAAACTGCCGGCCTGTCATGTAAGCGCGCATAGCGTCATAAAAGGTGACTGGAGGCTTGACAGTGTTGGAAGGTTTATCCAGTATGGCGAGTAGGTTCGTAGCGTATGCAATGCAATGTTCGAAAATCAAACGCTGAGCATACTCGTGAATATGAGGTATCCGCGGGCTTGGCGAGAGAATATAGACGTAGCTGTAGAGAAGTTCGAGCTCGAAGAATGACTTCACGGCAGGAAGAGTACTCAGAGGCATGTCTTGGAACCACTCTGACATCTTGCTATACTGCTTCCAGATGTATTGATATGGCTCTTGCCAAGGCTCCCGTCCAGATTGGAAAAGGTCCATATACCACTCTGACTGAATCTCTCGTATCCTGAAGAGATCGACAGCTGTATCGAAAGACTGTTGGAAGACTTGAGATGTAGGCGAAGCAAACTTTGGTGAGATGGAAGCGTTGTGGAATGGAAAGCCGACATTCGCAGCTTCATCCGAGAATGAGAAGGCGCGAGTCTGAACGAGCGATGTCGATCTACCGGGTGGTTAGCGATCAAGAGGGAGAAGAGGAAACATGGACTTACCTATCCAAAGAGTATACACACCAATATACTCTCCTCCTGATCTCTAGCTTCGGCCGTGACATTGCAACAGTCTTGGACGGATCTTGATGTATGCCGAGATCTACCATCGCTCTGGAAGCTGCGCCGACTAGTGTCCAACTGTCAAAATGATGGGGATCCATAGTGGCGTAAATGGTCCAGAGTATCAAAGCTTGAATACTGGAGACGTAACCAGGATGTAGTACATCTTCGGCATTTTCAAGAGCCGCATTCATGTGGCCAACAGCATCGGAGTAATGTGTATCACCCCTCGATTCGGATTGGGAGAGACAGGCGATGGCCAAAACCATACGCACACTCCAGCGATCCCAGGGTTTTGCATTGTCGCCCTGTGAATAGACGGCCTCTACGGAAGAGTAAAGAGTAGCTTCCTCGAAGACTGGCCATAAGGTGAAGATGTTATTTAAGTAATGTTGAATCAGTGGTGTTGCTGCGTATTTTGGAGGCAATGCTTTGATCAAGCCGGTTGGGAGTGGCTCTTTAGCGCTGGCCGATCGAATCAAGCGGGCGTAAGACATCTCTGTTGTGAAGCCATAGAAGTCTCTTGCTGTAGCATTCACGGCGCTTGGGGAGTTAGTACAACACACCGGGATTAACGGGTAGCACTCACAGGAGACCAAAATCTGAAACGAGGTCGTCGATTTCTGAGGCTTCCCTACGTCTCTCAGCCCTCTTGCTGATGGGTCTCGTTGCCTTTACGGTATCGACAGATGCTCTACGTGGGGTCGAGTTCTCAGACATGTCCAACATCAGAACGCCAGAAGACTTGCGCCTCGCACGGGCTTCATGTATCTTCTTCTCTAGTTTCTCAACTCTAGACTCGAGAGTCGCGACATAGCTCCTTTCCTTGCCTCTCGCAAACTGGTCGTTGGTGCTCGAGCACTCTGAGGCCCGATTGGACTTTTCGCATGCTGTGCATGCGGGCAGTTTACCGTCGCACTTGACTTTTGCTGCTCGACATCGCGAACAAGCGGCGACTGGCCTGCTCACCCGTAATAATGGCGTTTCCAGCACCATCTTCCTGCTATCATGGGACAAGTAAGTATGCATCGCACGATCACCTGACGCTGAGTGGATAACCATCCGAGACGTAGTCAAATAGAGGATGACATGGAAAGAACAGGCGCAGGGACTGAACGAAAAGAGCACTAGACACAATGCATGGATATGGATGTAGACTACATGGTGAGGGCGGCAGTGGAGTGAAGAGGTCCCTCGCCTTACGACCGATACGAGACGGGACGGTACTTACCAGGCTCGGTCGAGTCGACGTTGTGGGAATAGCGCGGCGATGCAGAAAATGCGTTCCGCGGACCAGGTTGCCGAAAAGGCGGTGCAGCAAGCGATGGATATGGTGGTTTGGCGCTCTCGTGGTGTTGAACGGTTTGACGGGTGGCGTAGCGGGCTCGCTGAACCCTTGAAGGTCGCAGTGCCGCGGCTGTATGGACGAATTGGGAGGCAGCAGACGGCGGTGTTGCCCCGCTGAGTCGAGCAGCAAGAAGACAATGCAGAAAGGGACAGCTGTGACGCTGACACGAGCGACGAGATGAAGATAGGCAAGTGCTAGAGCGGGTGCTGGGAGAAGGGGCAGCCTATCAGGGCGCCGTTGCAGACGATGCCCACGCTGCACGTCAGTCTCTCGGCTCCCAGAGTTTGGACACGTTCTCGGCCTGTCACCACATCAGCCTACGCCGCACCAACGACGGGGCGTGTCATGCTTCGTCTTCCTTTTTGCGCCGCCTGATTGGGGACGCTCGGTAATGCGCAGGCGTTTTTTTGTGGCCCATACGACGACGCGCTTTGTTCTTTTGGTTAAAGAAACTCCTGCCGGTCGACTCTCCGAAGGTGACTGCTTGGCCGTCCCGTAGACTAGGTGCCGCTGTCGTATGCTCGACTCTCCCCCATCTCCGCCTCGACATCTCTCTCCGAACTGAGAGCACAGGACCACTCCTCGCCGGCGCGACAAACCTCTCGGGCATGGACGTGCGCGGCGATCTCCCCCACATCCCAGGCCGCCGAGCATCATAAGCCAGCTCCCTCGTCCTCGCCCTGTCCGCCCGCCTGGTGAGAGACGAGCGATGGAAGTCGCGACTGCGACACACACCAAGACGGAAGGGGCCCCGCACCCGTCTGAGGAAGGAACCACCACCACGGGCCAGAGTCGCATCGCCCACACCCTCACGGCTTGCTGTCGCTGCCGGACGGTAAGCACCCTCTCCCGTCTCGCTGGCTACGTAATTGTCCACTGACCTTGGCCCAGCGCAAGACAAGATGCGATCCTGGACTCCCTCGATGCGGGCCATGCGAGCGCACCAATTCCCACTGCGAGTACTATGACCCCACCAAGGGACGCAAGATTCCCCGGAATTATGTTGTGCACCTGCAGCAGAAGGTGCGCGACCTCGAGAAGCAGCTGGCTGATCTCGAGCGCGACGACGTCGAGCCGGACCCTGAAGATGTGATGCGTGGGGCCGCTACAGTCCGTGTCCAGGATTCTGACGAGTCCAAATTCCTGGGACCTTCAAGTGGAATCACCATCACCCGCCTGGTCATGCAGCTGGCCAAGCAGTTCACAGAGTCCAAGAGCATATCCGAGATTGTGCCACATGCCGAAGCAAAGAATGTCAAGGACACCTTCGCCCAGGAAGACCAGCGACCCACCTCCAAAATCTACCCCATGGTCAGCGACGTCGCTGCTGAAGAGCTTCCCAACAGAGATCTGACCAATCTACTGGTGGAATTGTTTTACTGCAAAGGCGCGTACGGCTGTCTCAGTATGACCCATACACGAACTGACTTGATTAGTGCACCCCATGTATCCAATCTTCCACGAGCCAACTTTCACTAAAGACGTCGATGAGGTTTACAATGGCTCCACCGACCCGTACCAGAACTACTGTCTGCGCATGGTCATCGCCATCAGTCTGCAGAAGATGGATACACAGTACGCCGGTCTCGCTGATAGCTACTATCTCGCAGCCCTCAAATACTTCGAGGCTGCCATCAAGCCAATGAATCTCAAGACTCTGCAGTGCTTTGGTCTGGTTGCAGGCTATTCACTCCTAACGCCAACGAGGACGGCCGTTTACTACATCATCGGTCTTGGTGTACGGCTGTGTCAGGCCCTCGGCCTACATGAGGAGAAGACAATCAGCATGGGCCCTGGCGGACGTTCTGCAGACCCACTCGAAATCGACATGCGTCGCCGGTTGTTCTGGAGTATACTGACTATGGATTACGGCTTGTCGCATAGTCTAGGAAGACCTGCCCATTTTGCAACACGACGAGAACACATCGATGTGAACTTTGGCGAGCTTGTCGACGATGTCTACATCACTAGGGAGGGAATTAAGCCTGCGCCTCAAGCATCGCTCAAGAAGTGGATTGGAATACATTTCTACAAGATGCGATTGCTGCAACTAGAGATCCGCAAAATGCTCTATCAAAGAAAGAAACCCGAACCCAAAGACGACCAGCACCCCTGGTTCGCTCAGATGCTGTCGAAGATCGAGGCCTGGCGAGACACAAGTCCTGAGATGGACGGCGGATCGGGACTTAACAAGGTCTGGTAAGTATTGGCGCCGTCATGCATGGTACATTAACTAAGTCGCATAGGTTCATTGGTCGATACAACACCATGGTCGTATTCATGTACCGTCCGTCTCCACAAGTTCCTCGCCCATCCCTGGACGCCGCCATCCGCTGTTACGATGCTTGCCAATATAATATCTACATGACTATGAAGCAGATTGAGACCAAGAGTGTCGATGTCACATGGATTTTTACGCAGTCCATCTTCATGTGCATCAACACCATGCTCTGGACACTGTCATACTCTGAAGTGCGAAGACGTCATAGCCGCGAGGAAGTAGAGGGTCACCTAAAAGTGGCAATGGAGTCAATCAGACAGGCTTCCGAAAGATGGCCCGGCGTACAGTCTGCTATTGGTCTGTATTACAACTTGATATCTGCTTGCATGAAGATCTTCGACAAGGACGGCGACGTTCCCATCTCAGCCAGCTCTCCATCTGACACTGCATCTGTCGGCACTGGCAATATTGTGGACGGTATCAACCGATCGCGAACTACAAGCCCGGCAACGGCGTCTACCTCGTCGGTACGGACACCTTCCGAAAAGGTATCAGGGCCTTTCGGCTTCCTACCCGAACACAATCAACAACTCTTCAACTTTACCAACGGCCTCTCAAATCCGCCCAATCCGTTCTCAAGTGCGCCGAGCGCGCAACAAGCTGGATTGCAGACGTCACCTCAGCAAGCTCCACCAATGGCATACAATGAACTAAGTCCAAAGACGTCCATGGAGAACAGCATACCCTCATACAGCTACGCACCTACGACTCAATTCGCGCCTCTACCTACAACTTTTGCTGAACTACCTCAGTGGAACCCAACATTCACGATGCCGGCGCAAGATGGTTACAACATGACGAACATGCAAATGGCTTCGCCATTTTACAACGAGGCCTATGCGGCAAACCAGGGTTATGAGATGGCAGATTATCTCAATCCGGCCTGGAGTCAGGATGCTAGGGGCACCGGACTCAACCAGCAGCAACAGATGGAGTTGATGCATGACTTCGAGATGAACGAGGCAAAGAACATCGAGATGATGATCGAACAGAGTCATCAACTCTTCCGCCCACCTCAATTGCAGCAGACATACTGAGGGAGTGCAGACAATGTGCGCTCACAAAAACACCCCAGAGAATTTCACACGACTCGTCTTATTCCAACTGCTATGATGTACGAATACGAATGCGAGGCGATGTGGAGCCGACAACAACCCGGTTGGGTGGCGGACATCTCGATCCGCGATGACCCAATACGTCCTCCGTTCCGCTGGAAACATCATCTTCCGGCTTGGCTTCCGCGTTTGGAAGTTTTTTGGCATGTCGATCATGTCGATCACGTCCTGCAGGTTTGTCCAGTGGCTGTCGGATTGGGCATTGTTATCGATTGTAAAGCAAAAGTCCACGCGGGCCCAGATTCACATCCTCGCCCCAGAGATCCTTAACGCCCCCGATGGTCCATGCACCCATCACAATTTTGCGCGAGGCATACTCCGCGCCTGGATCGTTCCATGGCAGGAAAGCGGTCGGCTCCGACATGAGAATAGTAAGACAAGATGAACACATAAAATTACCGAAGAACACATCCATAGCACATGTCGCGAGCTCGAGCATGGATAGCCAAGAAAATACACTTGAAGTTCATAAGAAGAGCAAACTAAGATGGCAGACACGAGGTTCACGCCTTGATGTTTGAGATTAGCGCTGTAGAAGGCGGATGGACGAAAGAGCCTCGGAAGCAACTACACAATACACAGGGTTGGTTCTCAGCTGGCCTGAACAATCTTGATACACAGTATAAGACAACCTCGATCAACTCTGTATCCTTCTACTTAGTATGATGCGCGCTTCAATTTCCGTCACCTCTCCCGCACTAATCATGAATCTCCAAGCCTATACCTGTTTACTGCCACGCAACCTCTCCATCTCTCTCTCAACCCATTCCGCAACTCGTATCATCCAGTTCCTCTACCAAATCGATCAGACTGGCGAGAGGGTCAGCCTGGTGGTCCGACAAAAGGTTTTCGAGTGCGATTTGAGCTCCGCAAAGGTTGAAGCGGAGGTTACTTGTAGTGGTGTCGGAGGCTTCAAAACTGGTATCTTGGTGTCTGGCAACGACGGCCCGGGTTTACTGTGAGTGACAGACGGGGCAGAGGACATGTCGTCTTCAGGTTCTGATGTAGGTGTGCGTAGACGAGCTTCCGAGAGCTTGACAGGGTAGGCAATGGCTCCTCGTCGTGGGCGCGCTGCAGAGTTTCTCCTTGGTTGCGGAGATCAGACGCATCCTTTTTCGCCTAACCTCCAATGCGGCGACAACCCTCGCTTCTTCGGTGTGCTTCGTCTTCTGCCCACCACGTATGCGCTTGCCTTTATTCTTAGGAGGCAGTCCGTAGTCAGAATCAGAACTGCGATTCTCTTCAGAAATCTCGTCTGAATTGTCGTATTCGATTAGTGTCGCTGATGCGATCGCTTACCCATCTTCTTGAGAAGGCCCGATCGCATCCTTGACATCCTCTTCGGCGAAGGTCATCATTCGCAGATTACCTAAGGACAGAGGTTAGCAAAAAATACTTCAGACTTTCTGGCTCAATCTCGTTTCTTTGTAGACTTATCTCGTGGTACTTGATTTCTTGGCCGGATATTCTTTGAGACCCCGTCTTTCGTGCTCTGTAGCCTGTCCCAGTAATTCACTAGGTCAACATGACGCGGGTCTCCTTTTTCGCTTGGTTGTCTAGAGAGGATTCGAAGATCGTAGGTAGTAACGTATGATTCGCCGACAGGCGTAAGATACTCTGTGTCCAGCGTGCTTTCATTATCGTGCGTAACTGCGAAGATGAAGTTGCGACCACGCTGTTTGAGCCACTCGCTCATGAGCAACGGATTGCATGTAAACCCATCAGCCCCAATCGATAGGAGTACAGGCGTAGTGGTAGATTGTGCGAGTTCGTCCAAGTCCATGGTGATCGCGCGAGTCCACTCAATCTCACGTGTTGGCTTCTTCGCGCTCCAATCATTCCTCCCTGATGCAATAACATTTTCATGACAGATCATGGTATGGTTGCGCAGTTCTTCGTGTGATGCAAACGCGAGGCCACATTGGTTTTCTGTAATCATTGACCACAGAGCTGGTTCTTTGGCATGGACCTTGTCACAATGGCGCAGCAACTCTGCTGGAGTGTTAAATAGTTGCCGACACGCAGTGACGGAATCTCCACATGGACAACGGTTTTCGGTCTCAGCCAGCAACAGAGTCATACGGCTCTTCAAAGCACGCGGTAGATTTTCCCAGTTCTCACCGAGTTTCTCGGGTGTGAAAAGCTTATAGTCGCACCTGAACTCCGCGTCGACCGGTGCCGCGTGGGTTTCATATTGATGCAGCCGGAAGTTCTCCTGATTGCTGAACTTCTGTTCATCTGGACAGTAGGAGCATCTCCGAGTAAAGACATACTCTCCAATAATGAACTGTAGAGTTCGTGATACCCCAGACGCCGTCTCTGTATCTTGTGACGTTGAGATTGTTGGGAGTTGTGGAGGTGGCGATGAGCTCCCGCGTACAAGTCTGATCTTGCCCAACTGTTCCTTAAGCCATTGGTGGATGTGCTTTCCAACTTGATGACGAAGTATGTGAGACGTCACTGTGGATGGCTTTGCCCCTTCCACCTTTTTCTTGCAACCCGGCCAATTGCACGAGGCGTAGTATTTACCCGTGGTAGGTTTCTCCACAGGTACCTCATTCCCGCGTATATGAACCTTAGCCACGTGAGTCTTGAATTCCTCGGTTAACTCGGACGCAAGATGCTGTCCTGTGAGTTTCCATACGTCGTAGTCACTACACACAGGACATGCCGGACCCCTGTACTCGGCATTGTCGTACATGTCGTGGCCAACTGCGGGAAGTACGAACGTTTGCAGCCGGGTTCCGGCATAGATGATGAGATGTGCCGGACCAGTATCGGCAACAGATCGCATATACATGTCGGCCCATTTCGCTGCGATACCCATTTCTTCCCGATATAAGACTGTCAGATCCGGCTCTATACCTTTGATCTTGCAATCATGGACGTGGGTTTTCCACATGTGGGAGCGACATGAATAACGCATAACAGCAATGATTGATGTTGTATCAGGCCCCTTTACGCCCATCTCGATGCGATACATTGGCGCGGATACAGTCGAGGATGGGAGCTCGCCGACTGTGCCTTCCATCAATTCTCCTGTTATAGGATGTGTCCATGGAACAGTCTTCGTGTCTGCCTTCGACAACCGTACATCTATCCGAGTTTTGGAAGCCGAAGAAATGTTGGTCCCAGTATTGGAAATGCTTCCAGCAGCGTCCGCATCGCCAAATCCCTCTGGACATATTGCCCGCATAATCCGACCACTCTTGGCCGCCAGTTCAGCGAGTAATTCTCGCACGCTGTTGTTGAGTTGGATGTCGTAGGGCTGAACATCGTAACGATTTCTCGCTTCCTCTAGTTCGCGAATGAGATTCACTTCAACGTGACAATCGATGGTTTTGTCGATATCATCACCGCAGTCAGCTGCGCGTAGGTAGTTCAATGCTGCGTAAAGACGGCGGTCGTTGTCTTTACGCAAGCTTTCGATGTTTCCAAACGTCGGTAGTGGATCGGCGAACCTCCGCCCAAGCGAGCACGAAATGCCTTTCTTCTCATCTACGAGACGCCCAACACATTCGCTTCGTGTCCATTCCCCAAACTCACGCTTGTCAATCTTTCGTGGTAAGTCTACCGACACAGGCAGATTGTAGAGCCGACGAGTGTAGCAGAAGATGCTCATGGGTCCGCACTCGTGGTCGCCTGCCTGTTGGGGACAATCCACTTCCTTGACCAACACGTCTTTCGCCTCAAGTCCTGCAAGTGGCGAATTTGGTTGAAGGCTTGCCAGGTGGAGCAGCTTTGGTAAAGTATCCTTGACCGCCTTGTAGCTTGGACCTCGCTGTGATGGATGTTGCACCGAGTTGTAGTAGAATAGGGTGGGCAAGGAGTCCCTCGTTCCCAAGACGAATTCGAATGTGAGCCAATGAATTCCAGACGGATTGATGACGCCCATGATACGCGCATGGTTGCTTGTCACATCTTGGAAAGGGAAGCCGAATTCCAACATCTCTCCCGATTCCGCCCTCGAGATTTCCTCGTCTAAGCTCTTCTCGACGTAGATTTCATCAAGGAATATCCCAAAGTCGAGCTCAGTGTAAACATCAGCTTGAAGCGGGCCTTCGAGCGCCAGGAGTGCGAGAATCACCGCGTCCGTGAACCAAGCGCATCTTTCTAGCCCCTTGATATGAAGAAGGCTTAAGACGTCCAATTGTTCCAAGCAACGCCCTGGGCATATATCGATCTTGCGGTGAGGATTACTGCTGAGGGTATAGAGTTGTCGCACCCGGTTTGTCACCTCTGACCTAGATTCCTCGGCTTCAAGCATGGCATCTTCCAGTTTCTCGATCTCTGGGCGACTGATTGACTGTGCAGTAGCTTGATATTGTAGATTATTCAGAAGTTCCGCAGTTTGAGACGGCTTTACTGGGAGCCGCTTGGGAATGAAGTTGCCTTTGTTCGACGTCTTCGCAGGCTGTTTGGGAAGAGCTTTGCCGAAGAAGTCGTCTTCGTATTCAGACCCGCTAGGAGTATCGTGCTTATCGTTATTTCCGTCTGAGTCTTCGTGGTCAGACCCGCTGGGAGTATTCCTGTCTTGCTCGTCGTCATCTCCAACAACGACAACACCGTTGATGGTAACATCTTGAGAAGCAGACATGGTTGGGTCTGATGCTTGAACGTTTGTAGTCGACCTGGCTGTCGACATCCCTGACGAAAGATAGGCCCGGGAACTCGCATTTTCTCCATGTGCCGCACCTGTAACCGTGCTTGGAATTGATCCGCTGAACTTCGGTGATGTGAGAACAATTTTCTCACCCTGACTCTTCGATGCCGGCTGCTTTGGTGGTTGCATGAGTCCTGGAGACACTGACATCTGCGTATGCCTACTGTTCCGACTGTTCGATGCCTGCTGGTTCCGTGGACTCATGGATCCTAGAACCATCTTCGCGTTAGCTCGCGTAGTCGTACCCTTCCTGGTGCGATCCCAGCTGCGTCCAAGCGGAGACCTTGTATCGGCCTCGGATCTAGTAGGAGATCTCGAGCGACGTGGGGACTGAAGTCCATCACTCGGTTGGCTCCAGTCATCTCTACGGCGTGAAGATTGACGTCTGTCCCTCGATCGGCCTCTGTATTCCCTGGGACGTGGAGAGTAACGCCTGTCCCTTGATCGGCTTCTCGGGTTCTGGCGCTCTTGACGATTAGATAGTCGAACCTGTTTTCGGAGGGATTCATTTTTAGACTGTAGTTGGTCAATTTGTGTCAGCAATTTCTCCCTTGAGCTGCTCCGCAACTCCCTACGGTGTGAGGATTCGTGCCTCTCCCTTGAGCGGCTCTCCTGGTACTCGTAGCGACGCGCTGGTAAGCGTTCAGCCCGTGAGCAACCTGACCCTGAAGGCGACCTGCTGCGGTATCCAGAGTATTGTGATGACACTGATCGATCCCTTGAGCGGCTCCGACGCCGCTTTACACGGTTGGATCTCGCGGGCGATCTGCTGCGGTAATCAGTGCGACGCGACGATACGTACCCTTCGTTCGAGGGCTCTCTGCTGTACTCTCGCCGGCTTGGTCCCTCACGAGATCTAATACGATTGTCAGTGCGACGGTACTTCGTGCCTCTACGATCCGGTGAGCGAGATCTCCTCCGATCAGAAGATCGGCTTCCTGATCGCCTGTTTCGTGAGTCAAGCTTCACATCTCTTGATCGATTGTGCTCCGATACCACCCTGTCGCGATTAGTGACACGGTGTCGGTCTCGCCTTTCTGTCCGATTCACCGAAAAATGAATGTCATAGGAAGACATGATAGTAGTAATGAAAAAACGAAACCGGGCCACAAGGACACAACGGAATCGTGCAACCACACAAGAGAGACCTTACCGCCGCAAGGACAGGCAAGAGCTCAAAAGGCCGTTGTAAGAGGTATATCTAGACGTGCTACAATGAAGAGCACAGTACCAGACGTGCTACAATTAAGAGCAACGATGATCTTCGCGAGCAAGAGCAAGAGCTAGAGCACTATAATGGGATGCAACCACTATAGGAAGATAAAGAAGAAGAGAACATATCTGAGAGACTCAGGTTATCTCGAAGTGTGGGGCGCGCGTTCCGTCGCGTCGTGCTTCGAAGTGGAAAGAGCGAACGTGAGGAACTACCCTCGATCCTCACCCACTCACATCGCACCACCACGCAAACTCTACCTAGAGGTATTAAACATGCTGCGTCCTCTGCTTTGTTAGCGTCAATTGCAGCTCATACCTTCAACATAAAGCAAAGCCAAGATAGAACTCATGTAAATCGAGCATCTTCGTACGAAACTGAATGTGTCCAAGTGAGTGTCAAGCGTGGAAGGTGCCTCCCTCTTCGAGGTGACGCTAACATGATAGGAGAAAAATGTGTATCTTTTGATGGGTTACTCTCTCATACCACTTGGGGTCGTTACTGTATCCTACGTATGTCCTCCATGACCCATAACTTCGTCTTGGCAACAAGTTGCGCCTTGACCTTGTTGATGGTCTCAAGGGCATCCGGGGCGTCCTCCTCTTTCTCTCCTCCAGTGAGCTCCTCCGTGCTTGAAAAACGGTTGGTTGTACGTATCTTTGGTGTTACACCGAGCGCAAGTTCCAGAGCATGGATGGCCCCAAGACAGCGGCGCACTGCATAAAGTGGACTGGAAGAATCTCTTGCTGTACATGATTGAGGCTATGAACTACGCAGATATCCAGGCTCGAAGTTTTGACTTTAATAGCGTTAAGATTTCTCTAGATATAAGTTAGCACTATTCAAATTTGATTAACGCATGCAGCATGCCTTATCCTTTATCCACTCATATAGCGTGTCTATCTGAAAATAAAGCGCCTCTGCTTGCAGGCGATTGTATAGGTTATAGTCCAAGCCGTTTATCTTGCTGTAGAAAAGAGGAAAGACTTCGGGACGGCGCATGAAGCGAAGAAGATAGGCTGCCTCTTAAACCAGCCAGACTCAGACTTCAGCGTGTCACACGAGAATTTGAACTTGCGCCCACCAACGTCAAGTGTAAGATGTCTTGGGTGGGACACTCGAAACCTTTCCCGGAGACATCCTTTGAGCATCTTGCGACCACATCGTGCCCACGGCTAGGTACGGGTTTGAAGACCTCGATATCACATGATATGTTGGATATGTTTCGGGTATGGTGACAGGCGACACCATGCTTGACGTGACCGTATGGATGTTGTACGTTATCAAGTGGGATCATGCACACTCCCGAGGCTCTCCCCTCGTGATGGGTCGGGAATGGCAGCCATAGTCGTGAGGCCTTCCATGAATTGACCCATGTGTGTAATGACTCCGAGGATTTGGCGAGCGAGTTCTCGACTAGGCGCGAGCGCCAACGCTTGCGGTCGAGGGTTGGACAGGTCGACGCGGGAGAGGATGTTTAGTGAGAAGGCGGCGGTTTTGGTTGTTCCCGACTGCGACTGTGCGATCATGTTGGCACTTGCGAACTCATGCCACCGGCGGACTCGTTGATATCGCCGAAGCCAGTCGCGTCGCCGCTGAAGCTGCCTCCAGGATTCTTCAACTTCTCTAGCTCTTCACGCTCTTTAGCTTCAGCCGCACGGTGCTTCCTAGAGTTCTTGTGACTGGCCCAGTCCTTAGTAAGGATCTGGCGGTCGCAGATTTCGCAAAGAGACATGCGAGCGACAAGCTCCTTCGCCTTGGGTTAGTGATTGGCCACAAGATTTGACATGATGGCAGTACTCACGCGTTGCGCAAATATGGTGATCAATGTCAACGGCCCCACACGTAGCTATGATACTAACGTGCTCCATTCAAGATGGATCCCCTCCGTTGACGTTCCCTTGTTACCAAAACAATATCACCTAAATGCTAATCTTGGAAGTCAGCGTACACCTCAAAGTCAGTTCGCACAAGGGAGTTTGCTTAGCCTATCACACGACTTTACCACTGGGTCTGCTGACCCTGACCGGATTCAGTTCCATGGCCAGAGCCGCCACCATCTTCGCGGTCATCCCTCCTGCCCTTCTTAGCGCCGCCCTGGCCACCACGCCTCTTTGAGTTCTCTTTCTGGACTCCCGCAGGCCTCGAGGCTCTCAAGAGGCCACCTTCACGATCACCAGCGAATCTTACATTCCTTGGAGGTGCCTGGAAATTGTTCTGGACTGTCGTCGTCATCCTGTTCTGGCCTGTCGTCATCCTGTTCTGGCGGGCTGGTGCCTTGTTAGGCATGTTGTTAGCTGCCCGGGACGTGTAAGAGACAGCGTCCTCCAGCGATTTTCTGAAGTTGCCGAAGTCATTGGGTTTAGAGCCATCGCGGAACCAACGCTCGCTGTCTTTGTATGCAATGATAGACTCCATCGAATTCAATCGGCTCATAAAGTCGAAGAATCCGGAATAACGCTTGTTCTTCGAGATGGTATGATTGTCTATCTGCGCCTGCAAGAAGAGTTTCAAAGCTCCAAATGTGTAGCGGGCGATCTTGCAGCGCGTCACAGAGACGTTCAGGTTCTTGATGTCTGCAACGAACCCAATGGGAAGGCGATCTTGCTGGGCCAACCTAGTGGTTCCGTCGGCGAGCACGGTGCAGTACATTGTGATGTTCCTCTCCTTACCTTGCACTTCTGCAGTGGTATGGTACAAGAGGTGCTCAAGTTTCGCCAGATCGAACTCCATCTCCTCGGCGCGATGTTTCACAGCCTTCCTGAGCTCCATGACCTGGCCGGTGAAGTTGGAAATGAGACAGATGTCCTCTGCCAGTATCCTACGACATGGCTCGCCTTTCGACTTCGGTGGCTCGAAGCTGAGCATATCGACAACAGTACAGGCGATTTGACGAGCCTCATGGCGATTGAGCCTCGTCGTAGTACCTGTCAAGAGTTCTGATGCAAACCCCTCGTGTGTGACGTCGATGCCGATCTCGGTAAAGTTTCCTGTGAAGTCGTCGGGCAAGCGATTGGCCCAATATCGCCTGAGGGTGTTACGGAGTGGCATATCTCTCTTACCGGCGTCCTCATGAGACTTGACCTTATCATCGTAGAGGTGGTGTGATGACCAATCAATGAGAGATTGCTGCATGCGGTAGCAGGTGTTCAGAATTATGACCTCGCAAGGGCTGGCCTCATCCTTCGCCTTCTTTATCCCGGCCAAGCTCTCGAAAACGTTGCGCGCAAGCAAGTTGTAGCCCACGTTGGAATCCTGACCCGTGATGACGCCTGTGCCTTGCTCGTAGTCACCAGCCCAGACGATGAGCTTCACGCGTCCATGCAATGTACCGAGCGCTACTGCAATGCCCGCACGTGTTTCTCGGGCTGCCTCATCGATGACGAGGATGTCCCAATCACCACTATCCTGGACGAGAGGGTGCGCAGAGGTCGACACGGTACAGAACAGGACCTTCACTTTCTTGAGGAAATGGACCGTGAACTGGTGTTCCAGATCATCAAGTTCATCTTTCGCCTCCTTGCGTGCGCTGTCATCCTGCAAGTAAGGCAGATCGTGCTCCAATTTCAGGTAGCGTTTGGCATCAGTGTAAAGGCCTTTACCGTCCGACTCGTCGTACTTATCGTTCGCAGCAAAGACATCGATCTGTTGCCTGACCTTGTAGCCAAGGGTGCGCTCATAGTGAGGAACGTTTTTGCGATTCTTTGCGTCCTTGACGTAGCTGGATAAACGCGCGTTGGCATTTTCCAAGTCTTGAATGTCTGCATCTTGACTCTTACGCAGCTTCCTGGCCTTGTCGATGGTAGTGTAGCCTCCAGTCACGAGCACCCATTCGTTGTCCGAGTACTTCTGCTGGTCGGTTGCTTGGTTGTACTCCACGAACTTGTCGATCAGCCCGTGGACGTTCGAGTTCATCGGTGCGCAGTACATGACTCGGCGATCGAGGGCTAAATGTGCGTGGCCAATCTTGTCGATAGTTGCGGACTTTCCAGTCCCAGGAGGACCGATTATGACAACATTACCGGTGTCTGAGCGACAAGTGTTCATCATGGCTTCCTTTTGTGAGGCATTGGAAGGTGGATGCATCTCGTCAATGCTTGTCTCAAACATCCCCAGTCGTGTCTCGTCGAACTCAGTCTTCAGGATGTCGGTTTTGAAGGCAGTATTCCTGCAGCCAAGGACTACGCCTCGAGAGTCGGGACCATACGATTCTTTGTTCGTCTGCAGCAAGGCAATACCTTCCAGCATGCGCTTGGATGTAGTCTTGTCGACGAGGTAGCTGATGAACAGATTGTACTCGACGGAGCTATCTGCCACAGCGAGAGCTTTATGACGACAATCTACCACACAGATAAAGGATGCCTTGGTCCCTAGCGAGTCGTAGACGACAATACCTTCGAATGACACCGAGTTCTTTTTCGAAGGCTTCTTCGTTGCGTCCTTGTCGACCGCGAAGCGGATCCGAGTTCCGGGCTGGGGTATCTTGATATTGGCGTCTGCCATTTCCTGCTCAAGACCCAAGTAGACTTCGACAACGTAGACGACCCCCGTGGTGTTGGCCCTCCGGAAACGACCCTTGAACCACTTGGTGCCGTCGCTCTGCACAAGTTCCTTGAGGTCGCGAATCTGGCGTTCTTGCTCGTCCCTAACGCCGAGCTTGAGGAGGAAAGCAGCCTCATTCGAATTTGGGTACCCCGACGTCGGGAACTCGAGGGGTGACCACTTATGAGGCTTGGGTTTAGATACAGACTGAGCAAGCGTCGATGAAGTCGTCTTCTCGAATGACCACTCGGTCACAAGCCAGCGAGGTACTATCCAGTCGATAGGTGCGAGAACCGGATTCTCAATACTCAATGACACGTCGTGTTCGGAAAGCTGGTGCTTATACCACCAGAAGTTTCCGTACGCTTGAGCCATGGTAAGGAGATTTCGCATGTAACCGCCAAACTTCTTCCATTGCTTGGTTGGCCCATCGCTCGTCTTGCAGGTGAAGTAGAGTTTGAATGTTGTCTCCTGGTCCAACATCTTGACAAGGTTGTTCCGTGTCTCAAACCGACTCTTGTCCTTGGCAGCAGCCCAATTGTTGGGGGGGATATATCTCCGTACCTCTCCTTCCTTTGGATCTTGTGCATTCTCACTCCGGATGGCGGCCAAGTCAGCAGCAGAGATGCCTTCCCAGTGGCGATGTGAAGCCTGCTGGACATCGATGGTGACCGCAATGACACATGTCTTTTGGTAGCTTTGCGACATCTTTTCGAGATGCCTTAGACCATGGTGTTCGCGCTTGTCGCTAGGCTTGCTCCTATCTATCGTCGGATCAGGCAGGTACTTCTCGACTTGGAACTTGACGCGCGACTCGTCATAATCCATATCTTGAGCCCATAGCCTGCACGACATGGTATTATCCGTCTTGGGATCCTGGGTGACGAACTCGATGTTCGGAGTCTGTGAGTCCAAGTGGAAGAAAACCTTGACACATTCGTGCGCCGGTGGCTCTGGAATCGAGGGCTTCGTCAACGCCGATGTGGATGTCGCTGAGAGCTTGTTCGTCGCCGACCTGATGGGTAGATTTAGCGAGAGGCCCGTCGTCGGTGCGTTCTTTGTGTTCGGGGCAGCAGCTGACGCTCCGGTTTGCTCTGCAGCCGCATCTCGAAATTTGGCGAGTTCGGGCGATGTCTCCATGTGTATGCCCGCGAACAAGTCCCCTCCCATGACAAGGGCCTTGAGCTTGTTCCCCGACGCCATACCTTCGGGTAATGTGGATGACGAAATGTCTTGTCCGCGCAGATTAAAGAACTTCTCTGAGTCGACAGGGGGTGCGTTACCATCAGGCTTACCCACGGCGGTTTGCGGAGCGTAAAACTGCTCGTTCAACTTCATGACGAGATCTTTATGGTACGCAGGAAGATCTTTGGTCTTTATGACGATGGTCTCCGTCACTGGCTTTGTCTCGACACCTTCCATGGCATCTGAGTCAGAGTCATACGCGTCACTGACCTCAGCCTTGCTTGGAGCGTCCATGTCATGGTCGCCATCAGAATCGACCGTCTGTGGCTTTACAGGTGGCGCCTCGCCAGTTGGCGCCCCGCTTGGAGTGTCCATGTCATAGTCGCCCTCAGCATCGACCGACTTTGGCAGGTTTACAACCGGCCTCTCTGATGGGCCTTCAGAAGGAGCAGGAGAAGAATGTCTGTCAGACATGGAGAGGAATGAAAAAACGAAACCGGACCACAAGGGCACAACGGAATCGTGCAACCACACAAGAGAGACCTTACTGCCACAAGGACAGATAAGAGCTCAAAAGGCCGTTGGAAGAACCCAGACCGTGCTACAGTTAAGAGCACAGTACCGAGCGCGCTACAATTAAGAGCGACGAGGGGTGCGGTCTTTCCCGCCGTCAACTCGCAATCAACGGTGCGAGTATCCTAGCTGATCGCGAAGGTCTCTCTTTCGGAGGTCGATGTGCACGTCGAAACGTGCGCCTATGAGATTGTGTTCGTGATACAGAAAAGAAGGGAGCAAGAACAGAAATTTCATGTAACCCAACTTTTCGCCAAGGAGCACGGACAGCAAACGCGACCACAAACAGTCAATGGTGAAGCCCGTGGTGAAAACCCAAATGGGACTACCAGATCGCTTGAGAAGTGGGAAGAATAGCCATGACCATCAGTGGTGTAGGCAATTCCGTCATCATCCGTAGCTTCAGCTAGCAGTCCTTGTTCACGTCCTACCAGAACTCGAATGTCGTCTAAGAGTTTTGCGATCCTGATTCCTTTGTTGCACTTGCATGGTATCCATGAATTTGTCTCTTGACATAGCGTCCACTGCCAATCAACCCCCAGGCCGCTTCGATAGCGACAAAAACGTACACATTTGGACCCATAACGAGACCGACGACAAGCAATACCCGTCAGGTCCGACCGACAACAGCACGTACTTCATGAGCGATTTCGTGAGTGGATCCAACTCCTTGCCGATTGCAAGGGCCCGTATACATTCACGCAGTTGCTGACTGGCCGAATGCTCACGATTCCGAGCCCTGCTTCGACCCATGCGGTGACTTGCCATGGGAGTTGCCGCTACCACCCGGTCCATCTTCTCCACCGTCTGTATTGCGACACGCTAGATCGTCTTGTGATTGAGTGCCTCTCCACAATGCGTCACGATGGCTCCTCGGCACGAAACCCTGAGCCACCAACCGCACGACCTTCGTCTCTATTTCAATGCCTTGGCCGCCATGGCATCTTCCTCAACACGATATTTCTGGCTCCAATAACATGGTGGGCACCTACGAGAAGACCACCGCTTTCGACGATCAAGCCAGTTGTCACGATCCAACAAAACACGCACACTATACCTACCCTAAAAGAATTTTCTCGCCCGTCGAAATCACACAATCCAAAGCCGAATAACGCCGGCAAAGAGGCCTAATCAACGGGATACATGCAATAGCACACTGGGAAGCAGAGTTGGTTCCAGGGATAGAGAAACATACTTGCATCTACGTACTGGACAACATCGTCTCATCCGTTCCTACCGATGCATTAGATATCCATTAGGACCACCAGGACACTCAGTGCCTTCAAACGCTCATTGCCAACAGCAGAAGCTTAATTAGCGACATCGCACCATAGCCTCTTATAGTACAAGAGAATTCTCTTAAGCACCGCACAGTCAGCGAATTAAATAGAGTCGCTTTATCTTAGCTAGAGCGTTCTCCTCTGTTCCGATTAGATCTTGATGAACTCAGAGAATATTTAGAGTTGCTACCTAGCTTCTCCACCAACGGCATAAAGATGAAAGAAAACGGGACTGATATTGCGGCGTAGAAGGCATGGGAAGGATGTATGGAAAAGACTGTCATGAGGGAGAAGGACGAAGGGCGAAGCGGAGGGGATGTAGTATCATCGGGTAGTGGCGTGCGGTTAAGACCACTTCTACCTTCTCATGAGCATCACTAAACGAGATGCTTCCATCTACTGGCCAGCCCCACTAAACGAGCCTCGCGGGTGATGTGCGCGTGTGTAGCTAGATTCAAGTAGTGCAAGCTCGCATTATGCTTCCCAGTCTCTAGTTCATATTTCCTAGACCGCGTCTATCTTCCAGCGAGCCTCACTAAACAAGGCTCGCTGGTTGGACGCCTCTGCGTGGCTGTGGCTGCGTAGTGCGCGCTCGCGATTGAATAGGAAGGTACAGATAAGAGTGATTGTATCGAGAAGAGAGAATTGAGTAGACAATGTGTATGAGAGACGGGGATGAATGAGCACAACCTAAGTATGAGACTTGGAGACACTGGGTTCCCTGCACGCTCCATACGATGAAGATTGCACGCTGCTGGGCCGAGTGCTTTCATTCTCGATATAACGGAGGGTTTGCTGGCTAGGCGTCTTCGTTCTCGGCATGACAGGGGATGTAATGTCTGACTTCTTATGAAATCGAGGACTACAGGGCGTCGGGGTATGAGAGGAAGAATTAGCAGAATTGTCTGATGTCTTTCGCGATCTGCAGAGCCAAGCTAGTCCTGTGCCGTACTTTTGAAACGCACGCTTCCCAACATTGAATCCGACAAGAAAATGGTCTCAATGATATTAGCACCGAGGTAGCACGAGCGCGACAACTGCTTGCCGGCAATACATGCGAGAATGGCGCCTAGTACGATGGCAGGTTATAATGCAAGTCGGACTCCGCCAGATTTGAAGAGACGGAGAAAGGCATACACGAATAAGGTAGCTAGGTATGATAAACGACAGTTAAGCGTACAGATGATACCTGGGTACAGATCTGCGGCGCTTTGCTACTGAGCCACTCATCCGTTATAACTTCGTAAAGTATAGCTAAGTCAATTAGTATGTAAGTAGCAGATTGAGGTTGTAGTAAACTCGTTCAACTAGTAGCGGCGACAGGGAATAGCTACAACAACATACGACGCGGATTTGATACCTTTGACTACTTATCTACATACTACAATAAGAAGCCGGCTGTTAGATTGGCTGCACTAATCTCAATGCTAACGCTTTAATACATATTGTTAGAACCAGTGCGTAATGCTTGCAACAGTACACGACTGCTTATGCTAGAGCAAGGCAATACGATGCACTTAGGAATATTAGTATAAGGAGCTTGATGCAGGTGTATTGCTAAAGCATTGAGTATTTACTGTGCAGCTAAAGCTATTGATGAAAATCTTTAATATCAAAGTTACTACCGAGTATTGTACAAGAATAAAGGTGAATGTATTAATCGCTGCTGTGTAGGTTCGTGTCTGATTCCCTTTCAAATAGCTCCTGGAGATCTCGTACTTCTCTGCGTTATGGCCAAGTCTGACAATCTTCTAGCTCTTCTGTTTCCTGTGACTTCTCGAGAACAGTTCTCTAGTTGTATGTGCCAACAGAGCCCGAGCCCGAGCCTGAGCCTGAGCCTGAGCCTGAGCCTGAGCCTGAACCTGAACCTGAAGCCCCAGTTGAGCCACCTGCGCCAGCGTTGCCGCCAATGCCAGCTCCGACACTTCCAGATGCTCCGCCGTGAGCGCCGCCAATGCCAGCTCCAGCTCCTGCGTGGCCAGAAGCTGCGCCACCGATACCAGCGCCCGCTCCTGCGGAACCAGAGCCACCAACGCCAGCTCCAGCTCCTGCGGAACCAGAGCCACCAACGCCAGCTCCAACTCCTGCGGAACCAGAGCCACCAACGCCAGCTCCAACTCCTGCGGAACCAGAGCCACCAACGCCAGCTCCAACTCCTGCGGAACCAGAGCCACCAACGCCAGCTCCAACTCCTGCGGAACCAGAGCCACCAACGCCAGCTCCAACTCCTGCGGAACCAGAGCCACCAACGCCAGCTCCAACTCCTGCGGAACCAGAGCCACCAACGCCAGCTCCAACTCCTGCGGAACCAGAGCCACCAACGCCAGCTCCAACTCCTGCGGAACCAGAGCCACCAACCCCAGCTCCAGCTCCTGCGGAACCAGAGCCACCAACGCCAGCTCCAACTCCTGCGGAACCAGAGCCACCAACGCCAGCTCCAACTCCTGCGGAACCAGAGCCACCAACGCCAGCTCCAACTCCTGCGGAACCAGAGCCACCAACGCCAGCTCCAACTCCTGCGGAACCAGAGCCACCAATACCAGCTCCAGCTCCTCCGTGAGCACCGCCGCCGATGCCAGCGCCCGCTCCTGCGGAACCAGAGCCACCAATGCCAGCTCCAGCTCCTCCGTGAGCACCGCCGCCGATGCCACCTCCTACGCCAGCACCAGCATTGGCCGAGCCTCCAATTGAATCAGCGCCTCCGTGAGCGCCTCCGATTCCGCCCATGAGGCCACCGAGGCCACCTAGACCTCCCTTGCCAGAGCCACCGAGACCGGGAAGACCAGCACCTCCGCTGAGGCCGGGAAGTCCTCCCTTGGCACCGCCTGAACCGCTGAGGCCGGGGATGTTGAGGCCGCCGGAGAGACCAGGGAGCTTGCCAGAGCCGGCACCCATGAGGCCACCGAGCATGCCGCCAAGACCTCCCTTTCCTCCTGCAGAGCCACCGAGACCAGGGAGACCGGCACCTCCGCCGAGACCAGGAAGGTTGAGGCCTCCCTTGCCAGAGCTGGGGGTCTTGTCGCCCGAAGAGCCAGAAGAGCCAGAGCCAGAGCCGTAGCTGGGGCCTGAGCTAGCGCCACCAGATCCGTAGCTAGGACCAGAGACACCGGTAGAGAGAGGAGCACTTGGCTGAGTGTAAGATCCAGTGCCGTAGTTGGGGCGAGGAAGAGCGCTGGCGATGCTGGCCAAAGCGAGAACCTGAGCAGCGTAGAACTTCATGTTGACGATTATTTATTGGTTCGAGATTGATGAAATAAGTTGAAAGTTGGTATCGGATGGATACGGTATGTGATTGATATGGATAGTAAAGAAGGTAAGTGCTCTGCACAAACGAAAGACTTGAGACTGAAAAGTCGAGTAGAGTAGTAGTGAAAGTAAGTGTTTTTGGTTGCTGAAAGCGAGAGTGTTGAAGTAAATGAGATCGAAGCTGATGCCTTTTACTTTTTGCGCTGGGAACTGGTTCTCTTATACTCAAGAACCTCGATTTGCATTCTACGTCTTCGTAGTTAGCAAGCATCGGTAGTCAGTGACTGGCCCCTGAGCACCATTGTGGCGAGGCTCATAGTAGCTTCGTTTCGAAACATGACGACTCTATTGAAAGACGTGATGTGATGAAAGGGTTGTCTAGACTGTCTCGTTTCACGCTATCCTCTGCGGGATCGACGACAAGTGTACGGGAGATGCCTGGAATGCGCAGGGTAGGTTGAGGTTAAGCAGGTTAAGGTTACGGGAGATGGCCCGATGTGCGCAGGGGAGGAAACTTAGCCTTCTTTCTCCGCACCGTGCGGCTTTACAGCCTTGCTGCCTTGAAACTAAAGTGGAGTGAGCTTTGGTAGTTCGAGGGGAAAATAGTAGCGTTAGCGTGTCCTTTACTCGTGCCATATCTGAGTCGCGCGCAAGCAGGAGTTTGCCAGGTCGGCTATTTTGACTTCCATTTGAGTCGGATGGCGGAAACCGCCGTTCCGAGGTTATTTAGCGGGAGCTGCTAAGCTTGTTTCAGCCACCACACTTGACGTTTATCGTTCTACCCTCTCTTACTTGACCGTAAATCGAGCATCATGACAACAGACAGGTATGATGTCCAAAATATTACACATAGTCGCCCATATTCCTTTCTCCATAGATGCAGCGACCACCGGGTAAAAGACTACTGGCCTGTGCGACATAGAGTTTGACGCGGCATCTGAGCTCCTGGCCGAGGTCTTTGGCCTAGGACTCCCCGACTATTCAAGCTTTAATTGCGCAAGAGCCTTTCCCTTACCAGCCCCACGGGTAGCATTTACATCGCTGTTTCTAGTATACCCCTTTGGGGTTCGGAGACCTTGCGGACCGTCAGGCATATCGGAATAGGTTTCTGCTATGGTGGTCGATCATGGAGATCTACCAGTATACCAAGGTACAGTGATGCTTGAGGGTTTTGCTAATGACACCACGAGGTTCTAGAATGATGTCGGTGGTACAAGACGGGTACTGATGACGGAGACTGTGACGAGATGTGCTCGACAGTCTATCGAATACGGCATGTTCCTTCTCCTGCCATCTTGCACTTGCGTCGCAGGATTCTCGTATACTCGGCACGCCTTGACTCGCAACTCCGCTGCCGCAACAAGGAATACCGTTCCCTGTGTTCAAGCGGTGCCAAGCGGCCCCACAGAGACACTGGCCCTTCGCTGTCGCAAATCGAGCTAACAATGCCAGCTCGCCTGACAGCTTGGAGCCGCGCTTGCCACTTTTCAGCACTCGTCGAGAAGAAGACAATTACTCATGATTTTTTGGCGACTGCGTTCGTTGTGCAAATATTGACTCACAATACTGTTACCATTGACCGCCAGTGCTCGCTATGCACATTCAGAGATAAGACCATGACTATTGCAGCATCCAGCACAACTGGATATTAATCACAAAATCGATAGAAACGGTTTAACGGGGATATCTCGATAGACTAGGGTGAAAGTGGTACGTCCAGCCTTGCACACTAGCATCCTTCAGGATATGTCACACGAAGATCTCAACCGGATGCCGCACTAATCCGAATACACACCAATACTCTGAACATCGCTGTGGTCAGTGTCTCAGGATCGCAGGAATTTGACTATCGAAAATGTATAGACGTAATTTCCAGTGTGTGTTGCCAAAGTTCAAGATCATCTTAAGGGTATCGAAACATCCACTCTATCAACCCCATCGCAATCCGAAAAAGGAATAATCTTACCAAATTTTTTCTACACAATATTCTTTATTCCTTAAGGGATTCAAGGGTTCAAGGGTTCAAGGGTCCAGGGGCCTAGAGCGCTGCATCGTGCCTAGTTTCGAGTTGTGGATTTACTGTCCTGACCTTCCTCTGCTAAATGCCGTCGATGACGGCCTTGTTCGCACAAAAAGGGGTGGTTGCAGCTGCTTAGGCACTTGATTTTGCAACGATGAGATTTTTGGATGGACGTGGCAGAGTCAGCTAGGCTGTGCATCAAGGGAATCGCGCTTTCAGTTCAGGAATGTCATCTTCTTCGCCCAAGATTGCGTCTGCTTCTTGCGCGTATTGCCCAAGAGACCGAGGTCGTAGAGAAGTCATACATTCTCCTCATAGATTAATGGCTCGAAGTTCTTGCATCTATCTAGGGGCTTGTGATTGTAAGCATCGCTATTTTGTAATCAAGGAATTGCCAATCGTCAGGTTTTATTCAAGAAGCGCATTGAAATAGACGGGGTTGGAAAGATAACCATGATCTGTCACCAAGGTTGTTCACGGCTAGATGATCTCTGGCAAGGACTCCTACAGATATCGGGGCATAGCAGAAGTATGACTATCATTTATTAAGCCGCACCGCTTTGTCAATACAAAATAACTGTGCAAAGACGAGACATTCAGCTCTCTTAACACAAGATGACTTTATTTTCTGCGCATCATTGTTGTGAGTTAACGTGACTTGATTTATGGCTGTGATATCTCTAGTCCATGGAAAGGGACTACACATTAACATATATTACAGCATACGATCCATCAAGTAGTACTTAAATGTTCGTGAACCTAGATTACCAAAGGAGTCATTAAATAAGAATATAAGTTATCGCAAACAACATTTTGAAGGCTTCATAATGTTCAGAAGTATATTTGAGCGCAAAGGTTGTGTCCGTCATTTACTTAGAGTGTTCGTGTTCAACGTTACTGGCTTTTGATTTGCGGCGAATCATCATTCAGACCTCATGGTCTTGTATGCAATACATTTCCAGACTACTCCTATACTAGCGGGTCAAGCTTCATTGCAGCATGCCCAGTATGGCCTCCCATGCCCTCAACTGTATCTTTCCACTCTTCGCCTTCTCGTCCAACTGTCGTTCGTCATAGTTGCCAGCAACCCATTTCTTCACCTTGAGATCTCCCATCTTCTCCCATGTTACTTGCTCGCCGCTGAGATTTAGCAAGGTGATAAAAGCGTTCTTCTCACTCCAACGCCGAAATGCGACGATCCTCTGGTCTTCCATGTCAAGCATTTCAAAGTCACCATACACGAAAACATCTTTGTTTTCTTTGCGACACTGCAGACCACGCTTCCAGAATTCAAGCACAGACAACATGCCGGGCGAAGGCTCAGGGTTTTCTAACTGAGCTGCTGCGTTGACCTTGGGATAGTCGTCGTTGACACGCATCCAGGGCTTTCCGCTAGTAAAACCAGCTTGGGCAGACGAGTCCCACTGCATCGGCGTCCTGGCACTGTCGCGAGCTTTTCGTTGCATGATCTCAGCTGCCAAGGCCTGCTTTTCAGCGTCGCCAGGATACATGTCACGATATCTACAGGTGTTAGCGGAACGTCAAGATGGTGGGTAGGGGACTTACTTTTTGAAGAAGTTGATACTTTCGATATCTTTGTATTCTTCTGGCTTCCAGTCTTTAGGCACGTTGCGCATTCCAATCTCTTCACCTTGGTAGACATACAGCGTCCCTGCCAAAGTAGTTTGCATCAAGCATAACAACTTGGCGCCGTATTCGCGCCACTGATCACTGTCGTCAGTGTACCTGCTTACGCTTCGAGGCTGATCGTGGTTCTCGACGTAGAGCGAATTCCATCCATCGCGTTCGAGCATCAAACGCTGCAGTCTATTCACAATCTTCTTGAGGTCGCGCGCATCCCAGGGATGCAGAGTATATTTGAAATCGCCTGGGATATTATCAATATCCACCAAGTCAAACGCAAAGATCATGTTCAGCTCTTCGTTTTCGGCTCCCACGACTTGGATGACCTCGTTTTCATCTCGAACAAATGGCATTTCTCCAACGGTGAGCGTGTCGTATTTCGAAAGTACTTCACGTCGAAGCTCCTTCAGCCACTCATGAAGTCTAGGTCCGTTTGCGTAGTACTTAGCACCCGGTTGGTACTTGTTGTTTGTGACCGAAATCTCCGCATCGGGGAATGTCTGCACCTTTGAGATCAAGTTGATGACATCCATACGGAAACCAGATGCGCCTCGGTCAAGCCAGAAGCGAAGGATGTTGTGAACAGCTGCACGAACATCAGGATTTTCCCAGTTAAGATCTGGTTGCTCGGGCGTGAAGAGCGATAAATAGTACTCCTGAGTGGTCTCATCCCACGTCCACGCTGAATTGGCCTCCCCCAGAATCTGCGCCCAGTTGTTCGGAGGTTGACGGTTGCCATCAGCATCGTATTTGGCGGGTTTCCAGATGTACCAATCACGTTTCGACGATGCCTTGGACGATCGCGAGTCCAGAAACCAAGCATGCTCCTCTGAGGTATGATTGACAACAAGGTCCATAACCAGTTTCATATCACGCTTCTTGATTTCTTCGATAAGGTTGTCAACATCAGCCAAGGTGCCATAACTGGGGTCGATGTCCTCGTAGTCTGCGATGTCGTATCCCATATCAGCTATACAGAGGTCAGTACATATGTTGCATGGATCCATTACTTCCGAGGCTTACCTTGTGGACTCTTATAGATTGGCGATACCCATATCACATCGACGCCGAGGTCCTTCAAGTAGTCCAATTTTTGCGTGATGCCAGGAACGTCGCCCCAACCGTCACCGTTACTGTCCAGGAATGAGGCGGGGTAGATCTGATGCTTTTGTTAATACTGAGAAAGCATGTAGAGTCGAGTCGATATACCTGATATACCACCGCCTCCTTCCACCACCGGTGCTTGTCGGTTCCGACATACAGATCTAATTTTTGCGTTACGGGCGACATCTCAAAACTACCTTCGTCA